TACGAAAAGTATACCCCAATCATGGGGCCCCATGGGTTTAATTATACACTATCATAATTATAATACACTGTCATAATTTTAATATATACATAACTTTATATAGAATTAAAGTCAGGTTAGTAGACAGGTTAGTAGAGTACAATTTCAACAGAATCACTTTATATATATAAGTAGTATAATATTATATTATTATATATTATACTACTATTTTTGAGGACTAAATATAAGTTTGGGAATCCTTTTTCGAGAGGTTTGTCGAGTCGTAGTATTGGAAAGAGAGTCTGCTTTACGTTTAGCAGAGTATGACTCTATTGGAGTAGGTGTAGTCGACTGTCTCTGACGCGGAAGTGGTATTGCAAAGTCGATATCTGAACCTATAGTAGGGATACTCGCACTTTCCTTTTCTCCTACTAGCTGATTAGAAGATGGAGTAGGAGAACTTGGAGGAGGCGAGCTCTCAAGGTCATATACCTGCCGGCTTTGACGGCGGCTAGTACTCGACTCTGCTTCCAAGGCAGCAATATATCGTTCCCGCCGTATCCTACGAGGGGTTTCTTGATGTAAAGATTGCGAAGCGCCAGCAATCTTTTTCGGGCTAATACGACGACTTATTGCATAATTAGCAGCGTAAGCTTCGACTTCGGCCTCATCTTCGTCGCTAATATAACTTGTCGTTAACCTTTCCTTGAACTCCTCCTCACGGCGACTTATTTCTTGATCTTGCTCCTCGAGAGTAAGCTCGTCTACCATAGTCGTTCCAATATCATCATTAGCTGGCAGTTCATCATATGAGCGTCCAAGCATAATTGCTCGGATCGTGAGTGGAGCTAGCCTTGCTCGACGTGGATCGCAGACATCCTTTGCAACATTAAATACGCGCTCAACACTAACAGCTGCAGCTGGAGTGGCCAAAATATCTCGTGCAAAAGCAGCTAATGCGGGTAGCTCGGCCTCTTGGTCCTTCCACCACTCTAGATCGGTCCTACTATCACTTGGCAGTTTTGGAGCTAGAATCAAAAAAAGGTTAGTAGAAGGTTAGTAGAAGATTAGTAGAGCGGAGCACTTACATTCCCGAAGGTACCTCTCCAATTCTGACTCGTCATTATCAGTATTTGTACCTAGCCAATTCCTGCCCCAAGTCGAGCTAAGAATCAAGTGTAAGTCGTGACGAGCACGGGCCGGCTTCTGACGTTTATGTACAGAGTCCCCCTTTTTCTGATATTTCTTAGTATATATAGAGGTTAGCTGCGAGGTATATTCGTATTCCCAGTCAGTACCAAACTCAGTAGAAGAAAGCCCACTATCTGTTTGAAACGATGATGTTTTAAATCCAGGTGTTAATATCATTGCAAAGGCGTAAAGCGATCCAAGGTCTTTGTATGTTTCAGTGTAATACTTTCGGAGCTTTTCCTGTGCAGCGCCTAGCCCTACTAGTAACTCCTGTATCCACTTTATCTGTGGTCCATGCCTTCGCCCAACCTTGACTTCGAGCTGTGCAGTCATTTGTTCGATATGTGTAAACGCTATATCATAGAACGTATATACTGCGCCAATTGAAATCCCTTTCGACTGTCCGATCTGGTCTGTTAAAAGTACAAATGGTTTTGTAAGATCAATAAGATACTCGACCTGCTTCCACTCATGTTCAGTAAGACGAAACATAGATGGTGTACCCCGGCGTGTATACTCGTCAATCGACAAGCGTAATTTCGTTGCGCGGATTAACATTAAACATGTCGAATTCCACCGAGTCTTAACATCTTGAATAAGCCGAAGAGGTGGTTTATTATTCCTTGCAAGCGATCGCTGTATATTATCGAATGTAATCCGGCGTTGTGGACTTGAATTGATATATATGCTTAGTTTTCGAACCTGGTAAATTTAGTTAAAGGTTAGTAGAGGGTTAGTAGACATAGTACATACCTTTGCCAGAGTAAACGGCAGCCCCTGGGACCCTTGTTCGGACTGAAACTCCTCCTCATCTATAGTATGCCAATTCTGTTTGAGCTCGTCGTTGGTCGGGTTTACCCGGATACCCCCAAGGATCGCCTGCAGGACTAATTGAAAGATATGAGAAAGACAAGGAACACTAACAATCTGCTGCGGGAACATAGAGCGGCCAGCTACTGTAAGCTTCGAAGTTCTAGCTTTGGTAAGAAGCTCGTTCATCTCAGCAACAAGTGTTTTGTTATTACTTGCATTATCTGCAGTAATAGTTCGTACTAACTCCCGTATCCCAAACTGCTCTAGTACATTGAATAGAACTTCTGCAAGATCAAGCCCGGAATGTGTAGAAGTCAATGGTTCGAACCCTATAAGCTCCGTGATAAAATTCCAAGACGAATCGATATAGTGAACGTTAACTGCCATAAAGGCAATATTAGTTGGACTAGTCCAGCAATCTAGTGTAATTGCAACCGATGCATTTGGTACTCGATTCTTCAATGCAGCTGGACCTAGTTGGTGTACTTTATCCATAATCCGCCGCTGAATCGTAGACGCAGATACCATAGCTTCCCCTGGACATAGATGCTGAACTAGTTCGCGAAACTTTTCATTTTCGACTGTACGAAAAGAGAGGTGGAGTGAGAGGATAAATCGAACAACGAATCCAGTCGAGGTCATATCATCGTAACGAGGTGTGGAAACAGCCTATTGAATAAGTTAGTAGAGTCTACTAACCCTCTTACTATATGTAACATACCACTTGTCTATGTGATTCATATATAGTCGACTGACGATATATTGTACCATTATTGCGAGTAAGAGCCTTCTTGCACTTGTCTGACCGGGTGTGTGCAATCAATGCCTTCGTCCCTGTTGATATACTCTTCGAATTCGGATGTGATAAAACCTCTTGACAAGAGAGACATACTACCGCAGGCTTCCCATCTCGAATATGTGCGCCCTGGGCATAGTTTGACCAGCTTGTTGAAGTCCGCGATCCTTCCCACTTAAGTGAAGCTGGGCGAGGTAGTGCATTATTAGCAGCGTACCAGGAAGTCCCGGACCACCATAACTCGAACTCGTGCTTCTGGGCTACTGACCATTGGTAGAACTGCTGATACTTTCCAATACGTTGTAATACGGATTCTTGATTGATATCCGATGTATTATAGACTCTGGGGGGGGATGACTGGAAGGCAGACGACGATAATACAAGCTCATCCATAAACTGGGAATCACTGCCGAAATTGGGTTCTTGGGAAGCGTTCATTGTATTAGTAACAAAGAGTAGACTTGTAATTGTCGGGGAGATATAAGTTTCGATTTTGGAATCAAGAGTTAGAACTTAGAAAAGATAATAATAGGGACTTCGAATCTTAATATGTACTGATATCTATTACGTACTACATACAGTAGTACAGACTAGCTAAGCTTACTAAAATAAAAAAGGTTAAAACTATTCTTTAAGTAGAATTAGTTACATAAATATATTATACTACTTTATACTTTATTCACAATATACAACTATATAAGACTTAGTAAGAGTTATTTGTATCTGCTCTACTTAATTATCTAAACCAGTACTGCTAGGAGTTCTGAAGAAATATCCACCGAGAAACTATCGCTATTAACAATAGTAGAAGGGTGAAAAAACAGCTGTGCCGCAGTTACTTTAAACCGCTCTGGAACAAATGCAAGTAGGAAAGCATTTGCACAGATTTGTGCATCCTTGGATCCAACAAACCCACAAGCTATATCATCAGTTCCATTCCACCAACGCGCAGGGCCAGGCAATTCAACCCATTCTTTTCTGTTCCATGACTGCATACTGCTCCACATTGCAATCTCGGATGGCTCAAAGTAATCTGTGGGGGCAAGTTGAACAAATGGTTGGTGCCTTGCAAGGGTTAGTAGACGTCTACTAACCTTATATAGAAAAACTTACCGAGCAGTAGTTGCTTTGTAAGACGCCGCATTAATCTCATAATAGCCACGTCGAGAGAGTCGGTGTAATTTTTCACGAAGACTGGCATAGGTGCTAATCCAGTGGCTTTTCCAGAGATCGTATCCAAATAACATAGCCTTCTATTCAAATATTAGTTATATTCGGTAAAATATTAGTCAAGAATAAACTTACTAGCCGGAGTTGGTCCTGAATTTTACTATTTGCAAGAACAGGAATGACCTCGTTATTGGCCAAATCATCTGCCCTTGTGAGCTCCTCATCCTCATCCTCGATATCGTCCCAATTCTCAGCCAGTAGATCTTTCTGCGCCTGAACCACTGAATCATAATCGACTTTATCTCTAATCCGGCCAGCCATAACATCAGCTTCCGCACGTGTAATAAGTGCTTGCTGCTGTGTCTGATCCGAGTTCTTATATCCATCAGTGCGCTTTAACTTTCTAACTGCATAGCTTTTTGCTGCCCTATCACGTTCCCGGGCCTTTTCGCGCTGCCATTTTCCCGGGTCTGCCTTCAGCATTTGCTGACGGGCACGCACCTTGACGGTGTTATGGTTCGTAGACAGGCCGCCTGGCGGGGTCGAGGGCATAGGTGGAGGAGGCTAGTAGACAGGTTAGTAGACAGGTTAGTAGGCACCAGAGCTACTTACTGCAGAGCGTGATTGGTCATTTAGACCAGCTGCCGTTGCAGAGCGCTTTGGAGGCATTTTATTGGTAGAAGCCCAAGTTGCAAGGTGCAGGGTCTAAGGTAGAGTGTTGTGGGGCGGAGGTGTAAGGTTTAAAAGTTCGAAAGCTGGAGAGGTTGAAGAAATTAAGCTAAGCGCGTTTGGGCGGTGAGCCGATTAAGCGAGCTCAGGCAGCCAGTCAGCATAAAGTAAATTTCTCCCACCTTTTACAACCTTACCTTCTATTTATCGGTCAACTAACCTAACTAAGCTGGTAAGCCCCTATAGCCCCTACCTACTATTATTTTAGGTATAGAATACTAACTTCACTTGCCTAGCTACTTTGTCGCGTCGCGTCGCGTCTGAAAATAAAAACAAAGCTCACTTTCAAGTTTTCGCCTAGCCTGCTGCTATACCTTCTGCTATGGTAAGTCTACTAACCCTCTACTAACCTTATTATATGCTAAATTGTAATAGTCTGACTTTGAGTCTGATTTCGGTGCTGACCAGGTCGGGGAGGAAAATGGCGATGATGACCTTGGACCAGATGCTGGATTCGTCCCTGGACAAGGACCTTTGGCTAGTGCCCTGGCAGGGAAGAAAAAGGGAGTCCGTAAAGGAGCAAAAAAAGCACCGCGAAAAGCTCCTACCAAAGCACCCCGCCGCCCCAAGCCTGCTCGTGGAAAGAAGCCAGTAAAGGGCAAGAAGAAGAAAACTGAAAACCTGCGAACGCCAATCTATAAGGCCCACCCTACCAAGGATAAAAATCCCAATGCACAACTCCGCCGTGTAAGGCCTGGAAGTAAGTCTACTAACCTTCTACTAACCTTGTACAATTTGCTGATATTTATAGCTCTTGCACTTCGTGAAATTCGCTACTACCAGAAATCCGAACTAATGCTTCTCCCCAAAGCACCATTTGTTCGTCTAGTCCGTGAAATCACACGCGGTGATCTGCAACATCATTTCATAAGATTCCAAGCTAGTGCTCTAGAAGCTATTCAATCGGCAGCTGAAGCTTTTCTTACCAAGGAATTCGAAAGTAAGTACATCTTAGCTGTCTACTAACCCTCTACTAACTTTACTAGTGGCAAACCTCCTGGCGATTCATGGAAAGCGTGTAACAATTATGCAGAAAGATATGAAACTCCTGCGTCAGTTGCGGATGCTTATGACAGGATCTGAGGTGCCAGGTATTTAGCATGGGCTGTAATTGTTTTTACTTGACTTTTTACGGCGTTATGGACAGAGCAATATACCCATCTGGCAGTTGCAGTAGTCATAGTAGTTAAGGGCTATGAATCAATGAATCAATGAATCAATGAATTAATAATTTAATTAATAATTTAATAATAATTTAATAATTTAATAATTTAATTTATAACTCTATTGATTTAATTATTAATAATATTATTTATATCTTACTCTATTCTTTATATTGAAAATATATATAAAGAGTTTATAGATTTCTTTTTCTAGAATAAATCGCTATTTATTATTATATAAGAGATCACATGATAACTCACATGCCCCATGGGCACCCGTTGCCCCATAAGCCACCCCCATGGGGCGCCCATAGGCTGGGTCGTAAAAGTACGCCCCACCCCATGGGTGGGTTGAAATCTCAAAACCCACCCCATGGGGCCCCATGCTGCACCCTAACCTCGAATTAGCACCAAAGTAGCGAGAACAGCTACTTCTTCTGGCAATTGCAATCTTGTCCAATCGGATAGAACACATACTGGGCAACAATGCACTTTTGGAAACGGTGATATACTGGCCAAAGATGATGATAATCTTAGTGGGACCGAAAAGTTTACCAGCGTCAGTAATGGAGTTGGCCAGGTTGGTGTGGATGTTGCTTCTTCTAGCAGCGTTGCAGGCGCTACTGGTACTATGAATGGTTTATGGAAGTTCCTTGTTGGTTGGGCTGGGTTCAATCTTCTTGCGGTTGTGATGTGATGGGAGCTCGAACCTCCGTAGTGCTCTAGGTACAGGTTGGTTTGGAGGCGTGGCGTCTATTGAAAGGAGTGGCTAGAATCTACTTTGGTTGCCGCATACTTTGGTTGCCGCATAGTTATCGTGGAATTCGTTCTGTATCAAAAGAAAATTGTCTTGTTCTCGGGCAGGTACCTACGGTGGTCAGCTTTCTTTCAATTCGATCAAGAAATTAAAGCAGTACCGTACCACTTGATCGAAGGGGAGATGAGGTTTACATCACACAAGAGATCGTTGGAGTTCTAGTAGAGAAATCCGCTCAATCGAAGAGGAAACTAGGTGAAGTTTGCTGAATGGGCGTCGGCTCAAAAGAGTAGGCCTTTCGATCAAGCAAGAAGGCGTTCACTAGATCTAAGAGGAGTTTACTTATGAGATCTCAGGCATCAATTAACGCCGTCTATATCACTATCGTTTCATCAGCATGGTCTCAAACTTTTCTTTTAATAATGTTTTGATCAAAATAGGCTGGGTGCATAGCCACAGATGTCAGTAGAATTTGACCCCCGCTAAAAATAATTAACTAAAAATTAGCGACACCCAATTCGCCTTCTACTGTACAAAAACAATACATTTGGTCCATGAAGTGCTCCGGACGGAGTATGGGCAAGCCTGCAGCCACCTAATGCGACAAATTAGGGGTTAAAATCAGCTCGAGCGAGAGTTGGCTTTGTGTGTAAGGATATACAAGAAACTCTACGACACGTTATTTACACGCTACTTCTTGTAGTATAGTCGTCATAGCAAGCAAATAGCTGAAGCTGTTAGCCCGACCGACGCTTGGATGAGGAGATCGGCTTAGGGCATCTAAAATAGGGGGATAGTGATCCTTGAGAAGGACGGAAAATGCGAAAAGAACTACAAGGCCTGCAAGGCTGGTTTTGAGCTCATTATCCTAGGAGTAAATAAAACTTTTACCAATTCATATTTAACAAAACTAGGCAGAATCAATATGAACGAAGGATCTAACTACCATGTTATATGATCATTTGCAACTGGTGAACAAATACAAGCATTTGGTTTCTCTACCTCAGCAGTCAAATAATGTACAGTACCTACCTAGGTACGTAGGTGAGGTATGTAGAATGTCTACTACGATGGACCTCGTACACCCAGGACTAGATCCGAGTGGCTGTCGTCCGTAGCCCCATGTACCCGTCCGCCACCAGGCTCCACAGCTCGGCCCGCTATTGGCCAGCGTTCGCCTAGCCGAAAACCCACCACACCATCAATATGTATTGAAATAATCAAATAACCTCAACAGCAGCACAAGCACCTGTGGTGTAGTTGGTAGATTCAAAGCCGCATCATTGGTTTAGTGGTAAAATCCATCGTTGCCATATAATCACGTGATTCATCACGTGATCACAAGCTCGATGGGCCCCGTGTTCGATTCACGGATGATGCAAGAGCGACTCTAATCCATACATTTTTTGGCTTTTTTTTAACCTGCTGAAGCTTTGTTTTTGGTCCCTGAAGTAGCTTAAAAGAGTTTGGTCTTTGTCCTTGGAGGAGCCTTAAAGAAGATTGTTTCATAAACCCCTAGGTCCTGCTAGAAGAGCCCGTTGGCCTAGGTACCTAGGGCCGAGGTAGTGTTCGATTCACGGATGATGCGTAATGCCAAATTAATTTTTATGGCATTTTCCCCGTCGCAAAATGAGCCTAATAGCAATAATAGGTAGGGTATGTTAAGAATCCTCAATCTAAAAAAGGATTGATGTGGTATTTTTGGTTGTAATATAAGTCATGTGATCATTATTGTGTTGTATAATCTACGATATTATTTTTAGGGTTGACGGTTGCTGCTTTTATATTACTACCCCCTGAGTTTATCTAGCGGTCGTTAAAATAGCGATAGCGCTACCGAAAGGTGCGTATTGCCGTTGAATGCCAGCGGTTCCTGACTCCCTGGCAAGGACGTTGACCTTTAGTCACCCCAGCCATGTCGAGAACAGAGCGTTGCGAAAGTGATTGGTCGGGTTTGAATTGACGCTGGAGCGACTGTTGAAGCGACTGTTAAAGTGACTGTTGAAGTGACTGTTGGAGCGACTAACCAGAATCGGCTTACGCTCCCCGCCGGAGGGAACCAATCTGCCGGGCACATGCTCTCCGCTGGAGGGTCTAACCAGAATCGGTAAACACGCTCTCTACCAGGGGGTATTACCAGAATCGGTAAACACGCTCTCTACCAGGGGGTATTACCAGAATCGGTACACACGCACTCCACCGGCAGGGGTAGTTCGTGCTTCGGTCTTAGTGCTGTTTCTGCTCGAACCCGGTAACCCAGCCTGGGTCAGAAATAATCTGCCAGCGAGCTACCTGGGCGTGCGAAGTGTATCGAAGTAGACAAGAAACATATCTCACCTACGTACCTAGGTGCTGTACATTATTTTACTGCGGAGGTAGAGCAACCAAATGCTTGTATGTGTTCACCAGTTGCAAATGACCATAGAACAAGGTAGTTAGATCCATCGTTCATATTGATTCCGCCTAGTATTGGTAAATATGAAATTGGTAAATGTTTTATTTACTCTTAGGATCATGAGCCTCGTAACCATAGGGGGAAAATGTATACTACGGAAATGTGAAGTCTCAACAAACACAGCCGCATACAGCACCGAAGTAGGAGTCCGTGGCTGTTGACCCCAGGTTTATTCGGCCGAGTCGCTCAACCCAACTCCATTCCTAGAAGCTAACTTCTCATTGTGCTCCACCTCCTTAATCGTACCTCTTGCAAGACGATGTTTTGCTGACTCTGCAATTGGCTTTGAATATCAAACTGACGAGGCCGTTGTTCGATGTCTCCTGAAGGTAACGGAATGGTAAGTATGGGCGAACAATGGAACTCAAACAGATAGTAGACTCACTTGATATATCTCCGGGGGCATGCTTTCTCCATGTAATTACCGCAGTGGCGACCCCAATCACAGTAGCAGCAATGCCGAACGCCAATGCTATGATATCGTTTGTAGACACTACAATGAAAGTAAGCCAGCTGATGGGCGAGACAGAGAATCGAGAATAAACTTGCGCATTATATCTCTATACTGGCTGTAGATAGATAAGCTGAAAATATGACGGGCGAGAAATGTGAGAATGCAAAGCTCATATCGCCATCGGGTGGGCTTTCGTTCCTTAAATTGTCTGTTGGCCCCCATGCATACTCGAGCGGCGGTCTACAAGCCCAAAGGTACTCGTACGCTTCAGCCGAATGCGCCACCCAGCGACTGGCCTTAGTGGGGGAGGACATAACCACATGGTTTCGCGGTGGCTTTGCCGACGTGCAGTACCGCGAATGAGCAAAAATCCTTATTACCTATCTCGATCGCCGGATTACTCGGTGGGTCTGGGGGTTTGAAGGTAACACAACCCCTTATACCGCAAAATTACCATCAGAGGGCCCTGCGAGTTTGCGAAGTCATTTGGAGAAACTAAGGATGTTAGAAATGCTAACATTACAGATTCATGATACTTACAGGTATAATGAAGCAGTTTAACCATACCGTGATCTGATATTTGATGTGCACGCGTAGGATTAAGATGTATAGCAGCGATAGCTGGGTTGGCGCATTCGGTAATGGCGAGGTACCGTCCAGTAAAGGGAATGTAATAGGCATAATTGGTATTTATTTATCTGCTACTTTGACGGTAAATCTTGGTATTCTTGTCAGCCTCATTCTATCACATTCGTTTTTGGACTTGCCTTGCGGAGGTCGGAGGTCGGAGGTTATTATCGTTATTTTATTGGTACGCTTTCATGGCTTACTGTGACAAGACACTGCAGTGTGCGGCAAGGCAGACCATGTGTACCACAACATCTGCCTAGAGGCTGGTGCATATAGTCCGAAACACTTATTTCGCAGGCCACCAACACATCGTCTTTCACGACGCAGTACCCAACTAGCTTAGGTATATTCAGCCACTCTACCAGTGGCCTTGTCGATCGGAAAATTGAAGATGGGGTTTCACCGCCCCTCGACCAGGTGTCACGTGAAATTGGGGTGAGATACCAACTGAGCAGAATTAAAGCACTCAAATGCACTTGCATGATTTCTCTTTCAGTTCCATCTCCCGGTGGAGAAGCACGCAGGCAAAATCGACAGTCCGACAGGACCTTCAGCACATTGATCATTTATTTCAGCTATCGACTCTATCACTCAGCCGCAGCTCCCTCTTGATCCTCTATCCAATCCCCCTTTCCTGTTTCAACCCCGTCCTCCACCCCCCCTAACCACCCATCCCTATAAATACAGACCCGGTTTCCGACCTCCTAACCCTCTCGCCATTTCTTCTCTTAATACACAGAGCTATGTTGCATCCTCATATCCACTCTCTTCTATGCCCATCAAGCCGCCCACCGTTTCAGCCTTCTCAAAACCAAAAAAAAACCCAGTTCGTACAGCCGAAGAAAGAGAACACCGGAAGATGCGAACGCCGATTCCCAATAGGTATCATAACAGCTACCTATCCTCCCTAACAGTAAATGTCTCGCTTTATCAAATGAAGCAAACGAATGAACAAAGCTGGTCGCTTTCTCGAGAAAATAAAATGAATCAACCAACTTTCCACTAGATCGCTGGCGAAATAGTCGGTCTAGAACTAAGAAAGTAATGCTCCCGCCACTACAGAGTCTGGAGTCGTCTTTTTTGAGTGATCCTCGAACGAGAAAAAATTGGTGAAAACCGGGAACATCTTGGTGTTATAATGGGCTCTGCATCCCCGGATTGTAGGGAACCACCTCTTCTGGAATATCTTCTTCCCGGAATTTGATACCACCTTGGACTTCGATCCCAGCCTTAACCCAGGGCTCCTGCGCGACTTTCTCCATGGTCCATCTACTCCTCGCTCTTTTCAGCAAGTTTTCGGTTACGATCATGGCGCCCAGGAGGTCCTTGTTCTGGAACTTTTGAGGATCCCCTTCATGATCGCCTTCATCCCCAGCATACTCGATCCATCGCCACTCCACCCGAGCAATACGATGGCTTGTCCGGCTGCGCTGTTTATGCCCTTCGGACATGCCTGGGTTGGGATCAAATGGTAGCCTGCTTTCTAACAATGCATACAACAGGACGCCAAGAGACCAGGCATCTGTAGCCCGGCCATCGTACGGTTGGCCCATGATAACTTCGGGTGCCGCGTAGTCGTCGGAGCCACAGCGAGTAGTAAGTTTCTCGTCATCAGCCACTCGTCGCGAAAGACCGAGATCAGTGAGAGTAATAACAGAGTACGGATATGTAGCCCAATTGAGAGGCCGGGAGAGCTCAGATTGAGGAAGGTTTACCAGGACATCTAGCCAAATAAATTAAGCATTCACGTGACATAGGTAAAGGGGCAGAACATACTCTCAAGCTTGATGTCCCGGTGCACTATGTGCCTCTCATGTAGATACCTTACTGCTCCGACCAATTCGGAAAACATTCTCCTCAGTAATCCCGGAACAAGAAGACCTCGATGTTGGCTCGCGACATCGAAGAGATCGCCTCCCGGGCAGTAGCTCAGAACCAGAATCGCTCGGCTTTCCTCAATACTCCATGCTTTGAGATGCACCAGTGAGGGGTGATGTATTGACCGCATGATTTCCAGCTCTCGTTTTAGGGACATTTCAACACGCTCCTCAGAAGCCCCGCCTTTAGGGCCATGCTCACATACTTTCACGGCGACGAGCTTCTTACGGTCGATTTTGGACTCGGTTTGCACGGGAGTAGGGAGGCCCTCCACTGTTTGTGGAGACACATAATTTTCGTCTATCCTGCCATCTATATCGGCCACTTGGCTAGTTGCAAGCATTACCCTGCTGAATGTCCCCTGGCCTAATGGTTTTACCGCCCTCCATCTCCTCCTTTTTGAGTCATTGTGCGTAATGGCTTCAAAATACTCGTAGTGCGGTTTCCTGTGCGCTCGAGGTAGGTTGCTTGATAATGAGGAATCGCTATCACTACTCTCGCCTCCAGTGCGACTTGATGGTGGGGTTGGAGGTCTCGGTATGGGACCCAGACCCCTTTGCAAAGCTAAGTGAGGTTCTCTTCGCATGTGAGTATCGAGTGGCGTAGCGGAGTCCGGTGTGGCATCGAGTATCGGTGCGTGAGATCCTGAAACTGTGATATGCCGAATTTTGGGTATCTGCATCGAATCCGGCATGTACTCACTGACACTCCGGTTCCTTGTATGGCCTTCTGCGCTCTTCTCCTTGTTTACTTGGGCATTGGCAAGGCCAGATTCTGCGGGACCTGTGATTAATTCTTGATAGGCGCGCCGTTTGGACTGATTTGCTAGGGCTGATGATATCGACTCGCCGTTGCTAGTGACTAACGCTGAATCGGAGTTTACGGGGATCATGATGTCCCGGGAAGCTGGCCGAGATCCAAGTTTCTTCCAAGGTCCAGGGGAATCTCCAGACATGAGTGGTGACGGCAGGGGGGTCACATCGGCCATAGCATTTAGCATCGGAGACGATAATGCAGAGTTTGGCGCCGATCCCAAATTCGAGTTACTCCCCACACTGCTCGCTAATATGTTCTTGATACTCGGTGTTCGCTGTATCGGTTTGATAGGGATATTCGCCGAGTTGGAAGGAGCCCTCGTCGAGTCACTTGAACTTCGTGCCGTGTTATGAGCACTCGCTGCTGTGACGGTGTAATTGGGTATAATATCGGTTTGGATTCGTAGGCCTGCGCTTAGAGGACTCGAGTTCTGGCTCCCCGAATCCCCGCGAAGAAACCGGGAATTTGTATCAATCGCGGCAAGGTTTAGATGGCTGCTAGCAGACTGGGCGTAGCTGGCTTGAGGGGGAGACGGCGCAATCGTGGTGGACATAAAACAGTTCGAGAGATTCAAGGGATTGTCGACCGCTGGAAAGGATACGGGGAAGTCTGTATTATGACTTGCGCTCTGCTCATTTACAAGAGCGGCGTTAGTCGTTGTCCACTGTGTTGGCCCAGTCGCTGGCGGAGGCTCGTTGTCGGCATCATTGCGGTCGCTGCTCTGTTGTGTCGGTTCTGACCTCGAACAGTCAGGGCTGGACATGGCGAGGAGGGAATTCCAGCGACGACAGCGTTCAAGATGCGCTGCTGCTACCGGGAAAGATATACTCGAGTAACCTTCCCAATGCTTATTAGGCCACAGTCAGAGGGAGGTGGGAGCAGAGCGCGGTTGGGGGTTTGGCCGAAGCCACATAGGGTTACGGGGCCTGTGAGTGGACGAGACAGCACGGGGTTTGCGGATTGGGGCTTAGAGTTGAGAGGCGGAATCGAGGTGGATTTGGAGCTGGACCGCAAAAGATCTGGAGGTGGGATGAATGCAAGGATGAAGAAAGAGAACAAAATTGGACGAGTGAAATTTGGAGATCCAAGAGTCCAGCCGGAGAAAGACAGTAGTCAAGACACGGGGGGGGGGGGGGGGGGGGGGGGGTAATAGAAACTCGAGTGTATAATGCAAGTAACAAAGTAGATTGAAGCGAAGCAGAAAGTGGGAGAGAGAGGGAGAGGGCGAGAGAGTGGCAGTGGTCGTGGATGTGACGATGGATCCGGGAGAGGCGCAAGATCCGGCGTGACTTGGGTAACGTTTAAGGACGTACGGATCCGGAATAGCGTCCCTCCTGGAGGAGCTTAAAAATATCTCGACCAACTGCTGGGCGTTGCCAACGGTAACAATCATATTATCATATATATTACATATATTAAGACACGGCTTCAAACGGCACAGGTGGCCATAGTCCGTATATCCCTCATTCCCCAATCTCTCATACGGCAGAGCAGTACACGCGCCCTCCAATGGAATTGTCGCTCGCCATGATAAGCCTTCAGCCAGCGAAACCCCAAGAGCCCAAGGGCCAGAAGCCCGGCGCCGAGCCAGAGCTAAAATCGTCGAGGAATTGCGGAAATAGCTGGGGGGCCGTTTTAGGTCCTCCGCTACAACGTTGTATTTCTTTCGACGGAGGTACGTTGTACTCCGCTATTGCTCCCCAGTCCCAATAAGACACGAAGTAAGCACGGTGCTCCGTCCGCCCCTCCGAAAGTTCGAACTGGCATGGCGCATCTTTCAAACTCAAATCCGGACCCCAAACCTCGGACTCGAATTGGTGCGACGGATGGGTGTTCTGCAATCGCTAAAACAGCGAAACTTGAATGCAACAACTGACGCTCCCCGATGTGATCTAGAAGAGTCGAGGACCCGAAGCACGTACAGAGCTCCATGGGAGATTTGCGATACAGATCCGCACGTTCGGGAACGCGATACACAATTGGCCAAGCATCTTACACCAATGGAAATGTCTGCGGAGCAATCTCACTCCCGGAAATCGCTTCCAAGCTGCGGGTGCAAGGTATACGGCTGATGAGGGCTGCCACATGGCTGAGACGGGATTGGATGGAATCACCATTTGAGTTGCACATCGTCATACGGAGTACAGCAAAGTACCGTATGCCTGCCATCTACCGGATTCTTTCGTGACGTTGTGAGATGATGTGTTAATATCAATTTGCTGACCACTGGCCAGGCCATGTGGGATAGCAAGTGCGCAAGTCTCATGTGAAAATAGGCGAACTGTAGGTGAGAAGTATTTCATGAGTTCTAGTCTATGGTTTTATTTGCAACTCTTGCTCTATCGCTAATCTATATCATCAAAACCCCCAATATTATATACACTTCTATTCGTCAGCTTTCCATCATACACACTTACAACCTTGCTCTGATTTTGTCCTTGCCCTTCTTTGACGGTTCCCCGCCTGGCCCAACAATATCAGCCCGAACGGTGGGCGCGTCCTTCTTCTTCGGCGCAGAGCGATACCCGCCCTTCTCATTATCCGTATTGGTAATCCTCCCTTGGGCATCCCGGGCGATTCCTAACTCGATCAACTTCGCGAAGACCGCCGCGAAATCCTCGAAGAAAACGTCCTTGTCCTTGGCATATAATTCGACGTATTGTTTGAAAGTGTCGTCCGCGAGGAGGGCCATGTCGGAGGGCAACATCATCAATTCCGTCTCGCTATCCTCGTCATAGTGGAAGAATTGCTCCACTCCATTGGGAAGCGTCTTCGTCTTCCATTGTCGCGAGAGCAGAAGCCGGTAATATTGATTCGAAAATCGGGTTGGATTGTTGACCCATTGGCCTTCGAAGCCCGACCGATCGATATGGCACCGGCCCAAACTATGTGCTCCTGAAAGAGCCACAATTTCCCGATCGTTGAATCCCATGCGATTGAATATCCAGCGTAAATGGTCGGCACCCTTCGTAGCATCTGGCAATCTACCCCTCGGTGACAACTTTGAGTCGTCGACGAAATCGGTGCGTCCTCCTTGCCACGGGATTTCGGGCCCGTCCATCTCTTGGATCGCTACCACGCCGGCAAGAGTCCAGAGGTCTGAGTAGGTGATCCAAGGGTGTTTGGTCTTTATCGACTCCATGAATACGCGGGCGTGTTGGAGTCCTGCATTTGCGGGGTCTCCGCCCTCGTGCTCGTAACGCATACCGGCTCCATTCGAACCACCAGTGTCTGTTTCGGCGTCGTAGGTCCCTGAGCTGTGCCTGTTGTGTGTTAGTATAAGTTGCAAGCGGTGGGGGATGGTTGCCAGGATGATGGGATATGGCCGTGCCTTAAAGGACGCTTGAAAGGGAATATAACAACTTACCAGGCGAGTCTCACAAGAACCGGTCCTATGCTCCCATCGTCGTATCCGGGCTGCTTTAGCAGCTTCACAATGTCCTTGCGGACCACGTCGAAATTTCCTTGACTGCTCATCTTGTCCTGTCTATGGGGTGGTACTAAAAAGAAAGACGGAGATATCAAGTTTATACGGCAGGGGATCTATGATCTATGATCTATGCAAAACCAACAAAACAATACGGTAAGGGGGCAGGAGTGTATAAGTACGGGAACGAAGTGTCAAGAGTCATGTGGGGATTAATGGAGCATTGCCGTGCCGAGGCTTCGCGCTTACCTATAGTATGCTATCTTACCGCGCGTGAAGACCCTTATCTTCATCCGTATTGGCTGAAACGGCGACATGGTGGGCTTGTGTTATGCTTGTGATGTCTAAAATAACGAAATTCGGGTCATGTATTTGCCTTACTCGCCACGCTTAAAAGTTGCTCCAAGCATCAAGTACCGAGGTCGGACCTGCGCCGAGCCAGGGTAAGCTACACCTTTCCTAAAACGGTATTTGCCCTGAGCATTATCACGTGCTTATCGGAAGCCAAATAACAATTGTTAAAGCGGTTTTTGTTTACCGTCAAACTTCCCCAGGATTTCGGGTCACACAATTGCGTCCTAGTGTTGCGATTAGCTATCGTAGTAAGTGCTGCGTGTATCCGTCTAATGGGGAGCTACTCTTCAATATCCATCGAGCAAAGTCTTTTTGCTGCCTTTTGGCAGCTTCCAATTCCATGACTCATATTTTGCCTCGGATCTAATTACCACTTTCCATTATCACCGCTTCTTGGCATCCAATGACCTCATTATTGTGCTTGATGTGCGAGATGCACATCTCAGGCCACACTCCTGCAAGGTTTCAGGCAGAGCCAGCTAGTGTCAATTGATGACTTCCAATCTCCCTGCTGAGGTTCTGGCAGACTTTGCATTCTACCTGCGAGACTATGGGGCTAGATGGTATTAGCTAGTGAGGGGTTGTTGAAGCGTAATTATACGCGTATCCAAAAAAACAAACTCAGCTAGGTACAACTGCAGTCTTTGCATGGGAGCAAAGACGAGTAAGCATACCCAATACTTGCAGGAACTAGGACTGCTGTGTATAATATTCTGGTGTTCAGAGCCGTCCAGTGATTTTGGCTTCAGAACCTGGTAGCGGAAGTATCTATTTATGGTTAACGGAGGAGCGTGAATACTGCATGAGCAACTGGAGAGTAATATATGGAAAGCCCCTATTGTTTCAGCTCTCAAATCCCGTCCACGAAGAGTCGTACCAGCGTGCCACCATTACCTTCCATTGGACTCAGCCTTACCTATTTTCACCTTCATCCTGAACATACAATTGATCCCATTGCGTATACATTTTCCTCATTTTGGGAGCGAAAAGTTCATTTCCTTCTAACCAAGTACACATCAAACCATTTTACCGATTTCATAGCGCCTTCTTTGATGCTTTTATCTCCTGGACACTAGCACCACAAGTGCACCAGCAGGAGGTACTGTATGATTCGAACTTAGGATCGACTTAGGTCTTAGAGACCGGGAGAAAACGAAGGGAATAATTGGTTGATAGAAATCCTTTATATCAGTCCACTACGAGCTGCTTAAGTTTTACCCTCTTAAGCTAGCGTGTCAGTATCTTACTTCACTACGATAGAATCCAATCATGTTAGTATCTATATCGAGCACTCGTCATCTTGTCATCCAACGCCCGAGTCCCTGTGTAGCGAGAATACTAGCACGTTAAAAGAAGCTATCTGCGTTACATACCACGGCGGCGTGCAGAAATACACGGTAAACTCGAAGTTTGGGTCAAGATAGGTTCCGCCGGCTTTCCCCACATTGGGGACGCTTTCGCCCGATGTAAGGACGCCGTGTCCTTGATGAAATCAACCAGCTTAGAGTTCTGTGGCTGAACATTTTTACCTCCGCAATATATTCGGGTATGATGAGTGATACCGAGTTCCACCCGTCACGCTTTCATACGCCAGCCACGGGACTATGATCGCGACGGCACAAACCGAAATCTGTCGATTTGTCATTGTCTCCCAAAGGACAAGAATATCGCTCGGCACTGAAATCCCTGGATGGTTGCAACTATGGTTGCACGGCATCTTTGTTAATAAATCCTCAAGTTTGCCGCCGTTAGTAATTACTGACAGATCTTAGTACAACATTTTTGGGCGGCAAATGTGATTTCGGATTTCTGTTTGTAGACGGACTTGCATAACGTCACCGGCGAGGAACAGAATTACGTGCATGCATATCCGCCCACATGCATTTAGACACTCCGCCGGTAGTTCATGTAACTGCCATTATTAGAGGCACATGAGCTTTGTCCACCTACCGAGGTATGTTAAAGTACGAAGCTTCAAAATCTCCTAATCCGTTCTTTCTGCCTTGGAACTCATTTCGGATACTCTGTGGAGGCATCGCTGTTGTCTTGTCCTCAATACTTACCGCGAAGATCGAACTAGAACACCAAGCTCATCGGCATCCGGTTCTGCTTAGGTATTGTTTGCATACCGGAGTCCGGCCGCTTGCAAGCTCCCGTTATTATAGCTAGAATCCGACGGAATTACCCTTCCGAAAGCCTTGAGGATAACTGTTCGTACCTTTCCAATTACTTGCAAATTTCAGCGAAACTTAATTATCGATATAGCCTACTAGCAATGTGTTAGCACTCCAAACCTAAATTATTAATTCTGTTATTGCTCACCAGCCAGCAGTACCGATGAGCGATGCTATTGCCCTGGCGATCGGCTTGACCATCACCGTCTTGGCCGTCGTCGAAATCTGCACAACTCGCAGACAGCGATCGTTCTATAGTGAGCCATTCGTTTCTAGTTGGTTCATCCTATAAGGCTGACTTCCTGCTAGAATTTGACGTCGAGAAGCTACCCCTTCCTGCTCTTACGAAACGCAATGAACATCCACATATCACCATGGACGCTTCTATCGAGAAAGAAACAAATGCGACCCGAAGGACGAGTATATCGAGTAAGGCATCGGGGGATCATGTTCACAGCAGGAGCGATAGCTTTGCGAGATCAAACGATCGCGCGGCGAATGCCAGCCTGCAACTCTGTGCTATCTAGGTCAAGATGGGACTTTCTTACTGGCAAGCTCGAGGTTTCTTTGGGGAAATACGCAAAATTACAGTGGTATTTCACCCCAGTGTATGATTAACCGGAGCATTGCAGTTATGTTACTCTCTGCGAAGTCTATCACGGTCAAGCATTTTCGAGTGGGGACTTTCAGGCCGAGGATGCATAGGCCTTTAAGATGCATTAGCGATAGAGAATGTGTGTTACCCGGAAATAGGTACGGGGAGCGCAATTATTCGAGATAGTAAACAATACCTGCTTATCATTCTCTTAGTTCGCGTTTTACAAGCAAAGATCCTGCAACTAACACAAGAAAATAAAGAAGATTGGTTAGAATGCACAATGTTGAACAAGGAAGACGAACGAATGATCTGGTGCAACTAATTTAGCTCAAACTAAGGAGAAAGAAAGGAGATTGCCTGGCCCTGCCTAAGGAGTAATACACGTCAAGAATAAAATGATACGGACTATACCAACTTCAACTTGGCTGCTTTTTGCGTCGGTAGGGCTATCGAATTTATAGTTATGGGGCTTTCGGTATGAGCGATGCTGTCCAGTACCCTCGAAGTATTCTCAAGACATATTCGAGCTTCTGGGAACTTGGCGACGGAGCCGGATGGGGGTCGAAGGTATCAGGAAGCATAATGAGGCTCTCATACATAGCAAGAATATAACCGGAATTTGGAGGCGTCGAGTTCGTCGGGAAATGCGTTCGCGGTCTGTTAACGATAAGAGAGTTAGTTAATCTATACAGCAAGTGCACTCTAGGGGTCATTCTATAAGTCAATATAATAGGGATATTGTGCATATATTATCCCACGGAATACCGCATGTGGTGAATGAAACGCTATGATGGAATTCAGAAGGCGATAATATGAGATTTGCCTAGTGCTTGTACCGGAATGAGAAGCATTTAGGCATGGCAATGCTGAGACATAAAGTAGCACAAGTACTCGGGGACCTTTTCTACGCCTAATTTCACAAATGAGAGCAGTAGATAATCAGCACAAACTCCAGCGATTATCTCGCTCGGGGCACAATGGGCCATCATCCATTAGATCCCCTGTTTTAAGTTTACATCTCTCCATCATCAGCCAAAGATATATATAACCTGCGATGCACAAATCCCGTGCGGGTGACACTAGAGCCAGGTTCACCCGACGATTGGCCCGCACTGGACTAAGCGAGCCTCCCCCCTTATTTACTTCCAATAACTTCATCAACGAGATGGTCTAGAATCACAAGGCTGGAATTGCAGCAAAGGGGTAACCAAATATAGACTAGAAAGCAGCATAGCGTGTCGAGGAATTAATTATATCTCTTCGTACTACCCCAAAATTGGTGTGCCGTTATTAATGTATTCTACCTTAACAGCCATCCTCATACGCTCGTGATATAAACGAGAAACAATAGCAATGGGCCGCACTATATCGTACGTAAGAGTATACTAGTATTCTCAAGCTTTACGCAATTGTTGATTGTTTTATACAATTTGGGAAAAACCACCACTGGGGACTTTCCAGAAGCCGTTATTCCCACTTGCCATTGGTCGCTTCCCCTGCCGTTCCCCCATGAGACGGTCTACTCGAGTACCACAAACCCGGGAAGCCCTGGTCAATGACGTTGACTGCGCCTCTCCCGCCACGTACTGATATCACCTCAACGATACAACTTTATCTTTCCGAGAAACATGTTCGAAGTCTAACGCTCCTATCCTAGGTGTTGCTGTCAGTTGCAATTCCAGAATTGCTATTCGAAGTTCCTAAGTATAATTCGTATTTTCTACCAAAAGGTCAGTCGGGAACTACAACCAAGCTATCCACTACTCGTTTCTTTCTGGGAAACCAGGACGGCCGATTTTTATTCCCCATCCCCACCCAGCTCCTGGAAATCGACATTTCCTTAGCGAGATACCATATAGAGCAGTAGTATCTCGAAATTTGAATTGACAAGGACGAATGCTGACTGTAGGGTTTCGTTCTAGTAACTTGAACACGTCTAGAACATCAATCGCGGCAATCATGGGATTAGTTATCATAGTTATGATCATATATGCTGCAGTAAAAAGGAAAGAAAAAGGTACCTAGTCACTATTTGGGATTTGTTGGGCTTAGAACACTCAACAACCCTCCCTCCTTATCAATTATCTTCGCCTCTACTATCATATAGTACCTCCGAAATACCAAGCAGGACTGACGCTTAATTCTTCACGTTTCCTAGAACATGCGCACCTCCAATCTCAATACCACGTACAAGATGCTTTCCAGGAACATTCCTTACCACATCTTGTAGAATATGTTCCAGAAACCCAGCAAATCCAAAACTACGAACCCATTCAACATTCCGATTCAAATCTCGACTTAGACGACACTGAAACCCTAACTTATACGTCCTCATGTACCACCTTGATTGCAGATGACACTTCGGTATCGCATATGCCCTCACGCATACCCGTACATATTCCGGTTATGGACAGGAGAGTACAGCCTGAGGGCTACTCAGGACGGGATGCACTAGAGCTTGCGTCAAGGCATTTTAGGGGTTCTGGGATTATGTAGAGCCTTCGAGTCAAAGATACGGAGCCTAGAAGGAATATATTTGAGGCGAATCCAAGATCCAAAGTTTTAAGGTTTTGAGGTTGTAAACTAAAAGATCCATGACTAAGATGTATAACTTCGATATTTTGCGTGGTTTGCCTACTAGTTGACACTTGCAATTTATTTTCCAGTATTTGTTTTAGTTTGAACCACTTAGGAGAGCACACATCTTGTATCATTTAAATTTGAATAACAGACAAACAAGACATAACATATATGACATTGCTTCATATTTCTTTAAACCAGAGCGATCAAAAATCATATCTAAGATGAAAGTAGGGTATATAATAAAAGCGCCAAACACCATTCCGTCACCCGCAAATGGCATAAGCTTTCCTCAAGATCGTCCCATGACCGCATTCGTAGCTAGCACCTCAATTCTCCTCGAGTATAAACTCATCATGTGGCACATGGGATCGCCCCAAATCACGTTTCTTAATAACTCATCTGTCACTATTTGCGCAACTACGCCGTCATTCATCCGATCCTGGATGGTCCTTTTCTTATTTGGGCAACTTGCATATCTCTCTACACTCCGTAGCAATACTACTCTGCCTGCATTGCTTAATGTAGCTTGAGGCACTGGCCAGAAAGGTGCAGATGCTGCTACTACAGGAGGCTGTGAAATCTTTGTTGAGGATTTGATTTTATTGATAGCGAGAGAACTTGTGGATTTCCATGACTTAGATGCGGGAGGATTAAGCTGATGTAGCCCAGCGGACGGTATGGATGATTGGCTGGGAGCGGGAGAGGAGTACAGATCAAGCAGCGATCGTATATAAGTTTTGTCTGCTCGTGTAACCGGGTCACCTTCATTCACAAAGGACATGAAGATCGATTTTCGAAGTTGGGGGTTAGATGGTTTGGTGAGAGGGAGGAGTGAGATGGGCGGGGCGCCAAACGTCACACAGTGAATCCGTTTAAAACATCCCGTGAGGGTATTGAGTTCAGATTTTGTCTCGCGGCTTGTTGAGAGCATATGAGAGTAGAGTAGTGCAGCCACTGCGCCGCCGGCCGAGTCTACGAGAATTCGGAGTCAGTATTGCTTCATCAAGAAAGTTGGATGGATTTTTGAAAATGAGTCGGAACCAACAGAGATGTTCTTATGGTAAGCTACGTCTTAAATCCCTAGAAACGTTCTAGGAAGGGGAAATTTGCTCCAAAAATAGAAGTACTTACGGCCGGTAATGAGGAGCGAGTAACTTGATCGGCTAGGATTCTCTTGGAGAAGATGGCGAAGACGCGCTGCGACTGGTTTGACCATCTTCTTTGCCACGGTAAGGAAACCTGCATGACAGAGGTTTCCTGAGTCGTCCTAGATGGAGTTAGCCAGAGGCAAAAGTCCTGCAGAACAGGATACCTACCAAAAAGCCTTCGGGGCTAGCTGGAGCTGAGTTTAGATTTACCGCCCAGTCCATAAACGTCTGTGTACCCATGACAGCAAAGACAATTGTGTTCATATCGTCCATCGGGAGAGATTTGATGACCATGGCTTTTGTCCCCAACCTCCAATCCGCTTCAATACGTGTTTCCTTCTCTCTTGCTTTGGGTCTATCGTATACGCTTTCGGAATATTGTGCTGCAAGACACAGCAAAGGGAATGTGGGTATATATCTACGGTATGTCAGATGTGACACTCCTGCACAGAGGGAGGATAATACATACACTTTCAATGGTGGTAAATTGGGTGGGAGTCTTGAATTGGCGTAGAGACTGACTTTAGCAAAGTAATTCGTGCCTGCTATTGCTGATGATACAGAATTATTCACCATTCCCTTGGACTTCCCGCTCTTGACGGCCGACCGATTCGTATCCTGCGGCAGCTCCTGCGGCAGCTCCTGCGGCCTCATCGGGAGAGGAGGCCCAACGGCCAACTCCCTCTCATCTCCACTAAAATTACCGCCATCGATGCGTGTGATAACCGTATCGAACTTCGACGATATTAATTCACATAACGCCGCTGCCTGATTCAGGTATTGCGTGCCTGCCGGTACTCCATTGTTGAATATTTGTGCGCCCGGGATGTACTCGGGAACATTCCCAGCTAATAAGTTTGATACAGAGTTTAAGTTTAGCTTGCTGATATTATTGCTTGGCTTATGAGGCCTTTCGGGAAGGGGAGGAGCAATGATGAAGTTCTGCGTTATATGGACAGGCTGATAATTCTGGGGTGTCCAATGCTGTGGTGGGGAGTTGCCGAAGACATGAGATGTATTTGGTCTTTGGTCGTTATAAGACCCATTTGGCGGACGTATATCGCGATGTGAATCTGGTAAAAGATGCTGGGACTGGCGGATTGGAACGTTTTGAGGCCGAGGTTCCGGAAACGCCTGTTTACTCTTCTTGGACTTGGGCTTCAAGTTCCCGAAGATCGCCATGCCTGCTCGCTTGTTTCTATTTCAGTCCGATCGCCAAGTCGTTCGTTGATCTTGTCATTCTGCGACAACAACATCAGCAACCGTGAAGCTTCAAATGTTAAAAAGGTGTGTGCGATTGAAAGGAGGGGAAGAATTAGAAGGCTGTCTCGAACTATCCACAGCATTGGCATTCCCAGTAGCGCTTGCACTGTACGCGCAGCGTGACCTCCACCCAAGAAGACTGCGCCTTGCACTGATTTCGAGGGCGAACAATGGCAACAACGGGGCGTTACGCAGGGCGCATGGATCAATCCCTCCCGATGTTGAGGTCGGGCGAATCACGCTTTTGTTCGCAGCAATCACCATTCACGCTCATGCATGCAAATGCAGCATTGGAGTCGTGAAGCTTGTTTCATTCGCCTGGGGAGAACTTCGTAAAAGCAGGCCGCCTCTTTTAAGCTTGGTGGGAATTGTATTTCTTCCAATGGATCATTCGACAAACCTTACGATTGGTAGGACAATAATATCAGTGCTTCAGGACAAGACTTGTGCAGAGGCTAGGTTCAAATCTAGTTTTTACACCCCGCTGCCTCAGAGCCAGGGCTTTTGGAAAGCCACTGCCCTGCACAAAAGCTCTATCGTACAATACCAGGCACGCACCTAGAATAAATATATATAGTACAGGAAGGGGAGAATGTCGACCTGAGTAGTGATGATTTAGAGACCGAACGCTCTGTCTCAACCGCCTTTCCAGAAATTATATTTCCGTAGCATTTTCAAACCCTTTAAATCCCAAAATCTTTTGAGCGCCGGCCCCACTGCGCTGAATCAAGGGCAGGGCATATGACCACATCTCGTCAATATAACTGCGAGCCATCTCTTCACAGATCCCTTTCTCAGAAATCAGACGAACCAATAATGCCGCATCTACCAGCGCACAGTTTGCCCCCGAACCTCCCAACGGCATCATCCCATGAATAGCATCCCCGATCAAGGTCACTCGTGCAGATGGATTCCACTCGGGGCGTTCTGGCTTGGCAGATGCCAGGCGAAGAGGTGCGGTTTGAGCAACATCCTGGAGCTCGAATAGACATCTGGGGGGTGGAACAAGATTAGCAAATTGCTTAATCGACGGGCGTCAAGGTGTTTCCAAGGCCATAGCGTCTCATTATGATAAATCCGTATTAGAGCTTGGGGCCATCTTGCTTACCTGACAGAGGGATGCCAATGTTCAGAAACCTTCAAGGTTAGTTCCGTAGCTGCTTCCGCTGAGAGAGATTGGAACTCCGAATCGGACCCTCCAAGAGCTGTCGCGTTGCCGCAAAGAGCCCAATATATGTAGTCTTCTGTACGGGAGAGTTTGCCGGCAGATTCAACTGCTGCATCATTTGGGAATTGAATAGTTTCCAGGAACAGTGCCAACACATTCGGCTCTCGAATCACAGACATACCACTCAAAGCCCCCGGCGCAAGTCGAGCGAGGATCTCTGGGTTGAGGGGGGTTTTGCCAAATATAACCCGGCTACCAGTATCCACATATCGCAGGTTCGGTAGAAGTTGTTTTCTAACAGGAGAGAACATCCCATCGGCTCCGATAAGGAAGGTTCCTTGTTTGCTGGTGCCATCGTCGAAGAACGCGGTAACACCCCCTGGGGTGATTTCGTAGTGCGTGAAGGTCTTCCCAAACTGGATATTTTCTTCCTGGTCAAGAAGTAGTAGCGATCTCAATATAGTTCTATCAACTGCATATGATTTGAAGCCACCTTCAGGAGCCTGCATACCCCCAATGCTGGAGCCTGCTTTCATCTCCGGCGGCCCTTGACCTGGTCTGACACCTGGATGGGCGCCAGGAAAAGGGTCTTCCAAAGGCTGCAGATCAAGAGCGCTGAATCTCGAGCCCATAGGCTTGCTCTCAGCACAAGTATTCTCGAAAAGAGCCCATAGCTTTTCGTCGATGCATTCTTGAATGGCTTCTGCACCGCCACCAGCGATTCTGAGGCGATATCCTTGAGCGCGAGCAGCTGGAGAAGCATCTCGCTCAAAAAGCGTGAATGGAATGCCTTTCTTTCTTAGGCCCTGGGCTACGGTTAGACCGCCAATGCCTCCACCAATGATCAAGATATGAGAAGAAGACATGTCGGGTAGCATAGGCAAGTGTTGTGTTTGAAGTAGTCAGAAATTTTGGAGTGATAATTCAAGAAATGGCTAATAGAAAGATACCTGAATGAACAGTGAGAACAAGGTGGGCCCTTCGAGAATATAAATACTTTAGCAAGATAGATAATTGACGCATAGGTCGGTAAGACGCGATTTATGAGTTACCGTCGGCTGCATCTATTTTCCGAAAGCTATGCGTCATTGAGGTGGCACAGCTTCGTATTCATTAAACGGGGTGTTTTCAGCGAAGAGCTTTCAACGCTTCTTGGGGTCCCTGTAGGTTGACTACAAACTACAAGTGGAAAGATTGGTGGTTTGGAAGAAGTGTGACACTGAGGAAAGGCGAGGTGAGGGTCCGCTTGGCGTTGTCTTAGCTTGCTCGGTTTTGGTCGAGATCAAAACATCCTTGGGAAGGGGACGTCGCGTCAAGCTTCCCACGCGTATCCACCAACCACTCCAACACCAACTATACCACACCAAGCCCACATTCCAAAATGCGATAGCGTTGTAAAAGCAGCATTTCTCCAATTTATTGAAGGCCTGCGCGAAATTATACAACAATGCCTCGTCCGAAGCGCACAAAAGTCGCGCCGTCTGCACCTGCCCCGCGTCCTAGAAACTCTCGGCGTAGTGGCTCTCGTGCGCCTGGGCTAGCATTCGATGATTTATACGATATCAGCGATCCGGAATGTGTCGCAGCGACGGGTGTGGGGAATATCAAGAGAAATGGCCAGGGAACTACTAGAGGAAACCCGCAAAGAGGCGCGACGCAGCTGGACGCGCAAGAGTTCGCACAGAATGAAGCCAGCAGCGGCGCGAGGAATATCGAGGAATCAACTCACACAACACCCGACGCCCAAAGAGTCAAGAATAATGCTGAAATGTATGCGGATGAATCAAGTCTTGAACTTGAGGTCAGCAGGAGGGAGCTGGCTCCTGGAACTGGGACATTCAGAAGAACGCGACATTCGAGCTTTCTCAGCCACGCAGCTGGTCGGGGACGATCTAATAGCGTGGAATCGAACCTAGAGGATAATGGCCTCACGAGCATTGGGGGGAAGAATTCATCTGGCCTAACAACAGGCTACCGTGGAAGGCGATCTCGACAGGGAAGTGTAACTGGGAGGAATCCCTATGGCATGGCATCCAGCAGTATGGGGACACCAGCACACGCTGGATCAGCATTGAAGCTTGGGAATTTCAGGAGAAGAGCTAGAGAACCAAGTATACTTGGGACAGCCCGGAAAGAGCGACAACCCCAGCCAGATTCTGATTTGGATGATGAGGAAGATTTCAACCCCGATGATGAGTCGACGCCATTAAATCTGTCTAAAACAAAACCCGTGACAAGCTCCCCGAGTATGTCAGGGTCCAATCCAAGGAAGCGCAAATTATCAGCAGTCCAAGTTCCAGCATCTTGTCCAACCTCACAATCTCCTGGAGATAATCAGGGGGCGGAGATGGTTCCAACAAGCGGATCTTTGAGTGACGATGAAGAGGAGTCTGGGAATCGAGTACCATCCTCGTTCCAGGAATCCCCTATCCCATCAGTCGAGGCCCGACCAGTCACACCGGAACTCATGAGCCCCACGATGGCACCTCCTCAAAGTACCGATGCTTCTTCGAGCCCGGAACTCCCGTCTTCTATACGGCGACCTGTCTCCCGTGGTCGAAGACCCCTCCGTGGTAGGACCCCAGCGCCTATGACACAAGATTCGCCAATATCCTCACCACCGTCGCTCACACACTCCCCGAATCGCGCTTATGTAAAGCCCAAAACAACAAAAGCAAAGAAACAGGCTCCACCCCCTAGCACTTATTCCACAGCCCAATTACAAGCGCTCCTACCGCGCAGACGGCGCCATGCAACTCGCGATCCATTTGATATCCCCAGCTCAGGAGATGAGGTTGATACGTCCGGCCTTGCTTCAGATGATGATGAGCTTTCTCATTTAAATGTTCGTGCAAGGAGCCGACGGGGCGTTCTATCGAAAACACTAGGGCGGGGTAGTAAAAAGGCACCCAAGAGAAAACCCGCGCCTAAGCCAACGTCTAAATCCATAAGGCGCACCTATGGCTCACGTGCCAATGTCACGTCGGACAAGGAGAATGAAGGATATGACCCTGATGATAGCTTAGCGCCATTGCCAGCAGATGAAAACGGAAGCCCAGAAAATAGCCAGGAGCTGGAGGCAAGAATTGGCAAGGAACTAAAGTCGGCGACGAGGAAGTTTGAGGAGGTTGATAAGTGGGAGCTGGAGTTTGAGGATGTTACAGCTAGCGGTAGTTCACCAAAGAATGCCAGATAAGGCGTTCTAAGAAGTAGGCATTTAGGATCTATTAAACCTTTGGGGAATGAGGATGGTGGGATAATCGAGATTTTTTGATCGGAGTAAATCGGGGGTTGCAGGATACTGGAGTTGCACGGTTTCTAGCATTGGATGGAGCAACCGATATCAAATGGTCTGGTTGTTTGTAATATGCTACCCGCATAGTTGTGCTCTAGCACTTGCTTTCTCAGAAATATCAATACTCAGTATTTTCTCAGGTCGTAGTTCTTTGCTCGCTCGATATGCAAACCTGAAACTGAAAAATACATTATATACTAGGACTTTTGACTAGAAAGACTCATCATAAATGCCCAAATAACACCCTTACCCAAATTGCAGCCCTTGCGCATTTTTCTTTTAGTTCCCAACTCCACGTTAAAACCAGAAACAGGCTAACTTTCTACACTCGGCGTAACAGTACCACTCTCCCTTTCAAAGCAGCTTATATTCTCCCGTAAAGCAACATATTCACTATCCGCATACCCTAGAAGGCCATGGATCTCCGCACTTTTCACTCCTTTGATCCTCATTATCTCCGCCGCACTGTAATTGACCAAAGCCCTGCCAACCTCGACGCCTATGCCCTCTAAGGGCGTTCCATCGCTTGGTATAGCGGATCGGTCGACGACCACTAGACGCACGGCTTCTTGTTGAGAAAATGAACCTTCGACGTCTACGACGCCTACGGGGAACAGGCCCGCTTTGTTTACGAGAGCGCGGTGTGCGCCGATATCGATATATACTGTTCCATGTGGAGTAAGACCATAGAGAAGCCAGAAGTGGCGGTCACGGATTGGGTGTGATGAGGGTACGAAGCGAGTATGTAGTGGGGCTAATACTGTTTCCAAGGTAAGAGAGCTCGTGGAGCGGGCGAGTGGCTCGTCGAATAATTTGGGTTCTGAGGATATAAGTTTTCCCGGGGGTGGAGAGGAGGTTTCCGAAGCTGAAACGGATGATTTGATAGACTGGAGGTAGTGGACTATGTTGGCGATGTTTCCCGGATTTGAGGAGCGCGCTATCACTGTTGTCACCCCTGCGGAAGTGGCGAGGCGTGCGGCAACTATTTTCGTGGACATGCCACCTGTTCCTAGGCTTGAGCCTGCGGTGGATACTAATGTTTGTTAGAATAGGAGTAGGAAATGAGCCGTGGCTGGACGCGGAGGGGTACCGTCTGCTTGCAATGCCGCGATATCTTCCACCACTTCAATAGCCTGGGCATCTGCATGAGTCCTTGGGTTTTTGTCATAAAGACAGTCTACATCGGTCATGAGAAATAGATAATCTGCATGTACCATTGCCGCTGTGATGGCAGACAATGTGTCGTTGTCTCCGAATTTGATTTCAGCCACGGCGAGAGTGTCATTCTCATTTACGATAGGGATTACTCTCATTTCTAGGAGCTCCGCAAACGTGTTTTGAGCATTAAGATATTGAGTACGCTAGATACATGTGAGTTTATGTTTCGTAGATATGTAATTTGGAATTTACCTACATCCGCGATATCATTTCTCGTGAGCAATATCTGAGCAATGGGTTGCTGAAGGTGACCGAAAAGGCTATCCCACAGACTCATAAGCCGACATTGTCCAATTGCCGCCAACGCCTACCACAGCTGTTAGATAAGTTCCGGAAGAATTGTATAAGGAACCACCTACTTGAATCCTTGGAAGGTGCTTGGGTTTCTTTTCAATATCCATCCTCCTCAGACCTACACCAATGGCCCCAGAGGAGACAATGATTACTTTGTGGCCATCTTTGTGAAGTTTCACTGCAGTCTCAACGATAAGACTTAAAATGGATAGAAGAGGTTCATGAGTCTTCTCATCCACGATTGAACTTGTTCCTGCAATCGGCAGTTAGTAAGGAGATTAATTAGTCATATGTATTTGCTTTTTACCAAGTTTTATAACGATCGTGAGCGGTCTGGGTCCCTTCATTTTGAAGGCACTGAATGAATCAATTATTCAAAGACATAGAGAAAGAAAAAGAGTTCAGAATCTCGAACTCTTGGAGCCTGACTTCTCATTTATTCGGTATAGTCATACGAGTCAATTTTCATGTGCTGCCGAAACCGCAACCGGCAGAATACGGCTTTTTCGCCCAACCCCGCTCACCGCCTTCAGCCTTGCTCCAAAAAGTCAACACCACGCCCTTCTCCGCCTTATCAACGACATCTGGGGCGCGATCACTCTTTACGTCTTCCCCACACCTATACAATCCTTGAACCTTCGCAATGGCTTCAGGCGCCCCCGATTCATCTTCCACCACTCTCCCTAATTCCGAAAAGCCACAGGCAAACGATCCTTCTAAAAGCGGCTACGACCCGAGCGCGAAATGGAGCAACTACTGGAACCTACTCACAGGGCGCATGTCAACCTCGGGCGTTGAAGAATTCCGAGAAGACGAGGCGAAAAGAACCGAAGTGCGGGACTGCAATAACTGCGACGAGTGGCGGGATTGGTGTTTCAAATACTCACCCACGGTCATATTTCTCAAGAAGAACATCGAGTCGTTGAATGGCGATTTGAATGCGACGAATGTTCGCTGCAGGAGATGCCCGGCGAGGAGGGATGAGGAGGGCAAGATACATCGGCAGGGCGGAGGATTCAGCCCTGATTCGGGCATTCTGATCTGTGCGAATGAGATGCGAGATAGGAAACATTTGGAGGATACTTTGGCCCACGAGATGGTGCACGCGTGGGACCACTTGAGGTGGAAGGTTGATTGGGCGGATTTGAGGCACGCTGCTTGTACAGAGGTATGTGTCTTTGGGTAGTGTCCTGGTAAGTTTGCATACTGATAGAAAGACAGATTCGGGCTTCGAGTTTAAGCGGAGAGTGTAGGTGGACCAGGGAATTCTTTACGAGGGGTATTTGGAACCTTACACAGCAACACCAAAACTGCGTAAGGAGGAGGGCGGTTTTATCGGTCATGGCTCGACCCTCTTGTAAAGATGATGTGCAGGCCGTGAAAGTAGTCAACGAAGTTTGGGACTCATGCTTTAATGACACTCGACCATTCGACGGCATTTACAGATGAGCGAGAGCTTTGCACAAACTTGTACAACACATAGATGGAAGATGTACGTCTTTATGAAGATATTCGATAAGCGCAGGCGTACAGGAATATAATGATCTCCGACTCCAAACATAATGCTCCAGCATTCCGGTTTTTGAAAATGACATGATACCCCAAACGCCATTACCATGATCATAAATCGTGATTCATTCTTTTCGATCAGATGAGGAGTCTTTGCGGTCTGGTTTCTTCGATTCCCTCATCGTCTTACGCTCCCCCTTCACACAATACTTGATAATCCATGGGTGTTCCTGCACATGGTCGAGAGATATCCGCTTGTCAGGGTCAAGCACCAGCAACTAACATCAGTTAGATAACAGCAGCACAAAGTTAAAGTGTACGGACTAACCCTCGTAATTAAATCCTTTGCTTCCGGGCTCACAAAAGGTGGTACTGTCATTTCTCCCCTCAGAATTTTCCTCTGCGTTAACACTGGCGTGTCTTCAAACGGTGCTTCTCCAACCAAGAACTCGTAGGTCAGCACACCAAGCGACCACAGATCTACCCTGTTGGTATAGGTGTTCTTGACTCGTCCAGGCTGCTTCAACATCTCGGGAGGGAGGTAGTCCAGGGTTCCACAGAGTGTGTCACGACGATTACTGGGCGCGTGTACACTCCATCCGAAATCCGAAAGCTTAATTTCTCCATGTATCCCAAGAAGGATATTCTCTGGTTTGATATCGCGATGCATGATATGCTTTTTATGGCAATACTGCAACGCAGCTGCCATCTGCGCGATGTATTGCGCAGCTTTCCATTCGGGGAACCTGTTCTCCCGACGAAGATGTTTGTACAATTCTCCTTTGCCAGCAAATTCGAGAATGAGGAAGATTCTTTTGCTATCGTGGAAATGTCCAAACAAGCGTAAGACGTTTGGATGCCGTAAGTTGCTTTGAATCTCGATCTCTCTTCGCACCTGCTTCTCTGCATCGCCATGCTTTAGCTCATTCTTGTGAAGGACTTTGAGAGCGCAGATAAAGCCGGAGTTCCTCTCCCTGACCAAATATACTCGGCCAAACTTCCCTTTTCCCAAAGGCCGGCCTATCTCAAACATTCCAAGGTGGAATTGCTTTGGCATCGGCAGATCATATAGGGGGTTCTTTGGCTCTACCCGAGCGGTTTCGTCAAATTCTGAAGAAGCACCAGAATTCTCCTTTCGTGCAGGGGAACCAGAGCCATTTTGTATCCTCGAGGCTCGCCATTGTGCAGTTTGTGATGGGACAGCGACAATGGTGCTGGTGGTACTTTGGTTCTGAAGCGCAATCTTGTGAAGGTTCGCCCGGCTTGCATTTTGGGATAATTGAGAGCTGGATGGTGCTGCGGAATTTGTCATCTGATATGGTCAGCATGGCTACTTTGACAACCGCTGTTGCAATCACCTTTGATTTCAGGTATTTGCTGCCATCAAGAGGCTCATTCTCGTCGTTCACCGACAGATGCTCGAAGCGGGATTCGAGCGCACGAGTTGCCATTGTGTTTGTGGATAGTAACTCTGTGTTGAAGCAAATATAGTTTGAATGGCAGTCACTCTCAGGGAGGATGCGTTGTTTTGCTGCTGGTTAGTATGGACAGTGGACAGTGATGATGTGTGTGCTTTCTGACGTTGCTGTTCCTGCGTCTGGATCGTAACATTGACTTGGGGTTAGAGGTTGACGGGGCAACGAATTGTGGAACGTCGTCCGTCCCCCGCAAACGCATGTGCCCCACCAAACTGCCAAAGGCCTCTACAAGAAACAGGAACGTGTCGGAACGTACATAGGTACCTTGGACACCTCTTGAATTACGCCCTACCGATTTGCCCAACATGTCTTTCAATGGCCCAATTGAGGAGAGTTTTCCTACGCCTGCCGACATAGATAGATCCACTGTGTCGCATCTTCAGAAAGGCTACAAGATCAGCGCACGCAAGCTCCCCATCTCGAAATCAGGAACGATCGACGAGATGGAGAAGAAGCTGGGAATTCCAGTTCCCGAGATGATATTTGGTGGCAACATGGTTTCTATTGAGCATGTGACAACGGGATGGCGGTTGGAGTTCAACGCCTATGATGCTCTGGATCGCGTCGACAAAACAGACCGTAATATGCTAAAGGTCGCATATTCCCAAGAATGGTCTAGCAGCAGGTTTGATGGTGTGCCCTTTTCCCATGACCCTGCTAATGTCCTTTCTAGAGAAAAGACGCATGAAGGCATCAAGGAAATAGTCAAGCCGTTTGACTGGTCATACACGACGGATTACAAAGGGACAATCACGGGCAAGCCATTTGAGCTCCAGAAAGATAATGAAAATCCTATCCCGATCGAACTTCTAAAGCGGCCGGACCCGATACTCTTCTTCGAAGAGGTGGTCCTTTACGAGAGTGAACTCGATGACAACGGCATCTCCCTATTCTCTTGCAAACTCCGCGTCATGCCCGACCGCATGCTACTCTTGTGTCGGCTTTTCATGAGACTTGATGGCGTTCTCATCCGGATACGAGATACCAGGATATATGTCGATTTCAACACCGGGAAGGTGATCAGAGACTATACCGAGAGGGAGGATGCCTTCGACAAGGTTAAACAGGTGCGTTCGGACGGCCGGTATCATGAGACATTATAATATATTAAATCAGGGGCACTCTCAATTTTGATGGCTAGCTAACCAATAATTCAGGCCCTACTCTCGTCCGGCAGGCTTCCCAATGATCTCACAATCGCTTTGCGCGACCCTAATCAAATTTCACACCTGGTACCTGAAGTGTCTCACACTTTAGAAAGTTTGACACTGCCATAGGAATTATATTTAGCTGTTCCCGTTTGCATAGCGATGGAGTTAGGCTGCATTATCTGGCATATGGCTCGTGGGCCGTGTAGGCAGAATAACAAAAATATAAACACTTTGGCCGTATATATGAGCCTCTTCGCAATGCTGGAAAAGGCAGTACCCCCTATCCTCCGGGTTAGGGCCGAAGGACAAGCCCAAGCAATATGCATTTCATGGCATCGGATTGAAGGAATATAGCTTCCGGGGGGCAGATATCTCATGGACGAAAAGCCTTCCCGATTGTTTTACCCTAAACCAAACCTCAATAAGGAGGTGTTAAAAGGGTGAAGCCTTCCAGGGCCTCACAGCCACATATTAGATTGGACCGTGACTAGGAGTTTTTTTAATATCGGACGTTGGGTGACGATCCCTACCCACCGCGATAATAACATGGCCATTAAGACAGCCCGGGGTGATCGGTTGTCGGAACGGGCCTTTCCTGCCCTCTGTCCCCGTCGGATCTCATCTTGAGGTCCAACATGGAACAGCGAAATGTGCTATCCGGGTTCTCAATTGTCACACCCGTGGTATGGTATTCCGGGTTTGCAGTTGCATTCCCACCGACCGGATTCAGCCGTGAGGGGTCGGTAAGGCACGTATGGGGCATTTATGTCGTAGGAGACGGCATACCCGATACTCCTGTCTATGATATGATATTAGTCCGAATTCACATAGTTAATTGCCATCACCACCAAGAACGTCGGGCACCATTGACGGGGGTTGGCACAGGCGCCTCGGCGGCTGGCTGATATCTCCTACCGTTGAGTGTGCAGAAATGCATGCCGAGTTGGCGCTTTTCATCACTCGCCGGCTGCATGATGACCGCGGCGGATGACTATTGCATCTTGCACCGATGGCGGCTTGACGAATAAAGTGCAGCCGCGGCCAGAGATATATAGTAGGCAGATACGAAGTCCTTCGTACGCGGGCCAGACGTACGAGTATACGAATGGCGTTCGCGATTCGAGGGGCTAGAGGAGGGCTTTCGTGGCCCAAAGGAGCACGGAATCGCTCCGTACGACGTCGACGCCATGCCCGATGCCCGATGCCCGATGCGTGGGAAAAGATACGCGATGCGATGTGTCTCGGCTGCGTCGGGGTGCTGATCGTACGGCAGTATACGTAGTGTGTACGTAGCTAGTACTGTGGCAGTACGTTCCTATGACCTAGGTAGGTCCTCGGTAGGTCGTACTGCTAGAAGAGGCTCGGACGGTGGGGGAGTGGTCGAACGCTGGAGTCTGGAGTCTGGAGTCTGGAGTCTGGAGTCTGGAGTCTGGAGTCTGGAGTCTGGAGCCGTAGTCGCGGTCGTACCAAGACCGGAGTACAGTGTACATAAATGCAGTCTCGTCTAGCCGTGTCTCGTCACGTTAGACACGCCAGCTGCTGGAAGGCTAAACGCGTGGTTTCGACGGCCGCCTGCCGCAGATTTGGGTTGTTGGATAGCTGCTGGGGGTTCACCAAGTCGCCGAGGTTTTGGCTATGTGTGAGGTAGAGTAGAGTACGGAGTAGGAGGCGCGGTATAAGGTCGCTGTGCCTCCTACGGATGCTCTGGAGGGCGGGGAGTACGAATGATCGGGGTAAGCGTACCGACGATGTATATAGTAGATCACTGTACTGTACATGTACATGTACATGTACAGTACATGTCCATTCCCAGTTCCCAGTTCCCATGTCCATCAATAAGGATAACTTTCGGTGTGGGCTACAGAATATATTATGGACGCCTTCGGACGGGGATGGTGTAGGGAGCTATGTACAGTAGTTACCATAGTAGAGCTATCTGCACCCACGGCCCACGACCCTGGGAGCAGCTCGGCAACGCACCGCGCAAGGCGAGGAGGCACCTTACCTGCGACTGGGCTAGTAGCTACTACACCTTATTACCTCGGACATCTATGATCTAAGATCTAATACTTCGTAAGCTATATAGACGACCTGCCTACTAGGTGGGCATGTGCGTAGTGCCTAATAAGCTACATCACCGCATCTAACCTTACTACCTTACTACTATAGGTCCCTTCGGTATGTTAGCTACCTACCCACAAAGTATAGATAGATACCCGTCTCCGAAGATACAGTACAAAGCCCCCAAGCCCCCCAAGCCCCTTGCCTTCCATGCCCCGACCTCCCCTACCTCCTCCCCTGCCTCCCCTACGAGTCCCGTCGCCTCTTGTTGACCTCTGCTCAACCTCCCCCTTGGCCTCCCTTAACCCCCTATGCAGGTAGGGATCTCCCACTGCGCGTCCCTTCACCAGCGGCCACTTGCCAACTTCTCCAGACTCGATACTTCCGCTTTCGGCCATTTTCACCGCCATCTCTGGAAACCGGCTGCCCTATCCTGTCCGCTCCTGGCCGTCCAATTCCCATCCCCATCCCCCATCTCCATCCCCATTCCCTTCACATCTGCATCCGCATCCGCATCCGCATCCGCGTCTGCGTCTGCGTCTGCGTCTACGCCTGTCTACACCTGCCACTGCGTCTCTCTCTCGCGCTGGCTAATATCGGATTTCTGCCGGGGTCGCAACCCCCAATATCTGCTCGGGTCCGTCCTCCTCCCTGGGTGCTATAGCAGAAGAAACCAATATCCCGTTCACAGATCAGCAACTCGCTGCAGCGGGGCGTCAACCACATGCCCTGCCCTGCCCAGCGCAGTACGTATCACTCACTCCATACTCACGCCTTCGTAAAAGCATCGAGAACAGCTAGAGAACGACGCCGCCCCGTTCTCATACCCCTTGGCGAACCGCACTACCTGAAGACTAGCACGAGCAGCCCGACATTGGACTGGATGACCAACACCAACAGCCTGGTTGTGGCTTGTCTGGCTTGACTAGCAGCCCCATCCATCGTCGTCGTCCTGCTCCCCTCCTCCATATCTTACTACTCTACCTCCTCTACGCCCTCCTCTGTCTTCTCCTCCTCTACGTCCTCGTCTCCCTCCTCCCCCCTTCTTTATCCTCTACATCCCCTTCCTTGTCCTCTTTGCCCTCCTTCGCCCGATCCTTGCCCTTGTCCTCTCTCCCTCCGTTTTGCCCTCTGCCCTCTGCCTCGGGTGGTTGAGTTGCCCATGGTCGTCTGGGGACTGCTCTCCTCCTCTCCATTAGCCGTGCAGCTATATCTACGTCGGCTCTGCTCCCTTCCCACCTCCACCTCCATCTCTGTCTCCCTCTCCAGCTCCAGCTCCCTCTCCAATTCCAAATCTCGCGGTTTTGGTCTTACCCCGGTCACCAGCTTGCTCCTGCCCTTGCGTCCTCACGAACAGCGTGTTTGCTTGCTTGCTCGCCCACCGCGTGCATCATTGCTCATAAAGCCAGCTGTTTCCCCAAGAAGAGCTTCAGTAGTAGTGAATCCTTCGCGGATCAGCTCCTGCCAATCGTTCAGTTCTTCTGCACGGCCGTTGTCACCACTTCCCCGATTCCCGCTACTGACTTATCGAACCGACAAGGACAAGCTACGCGGGGCCTTTCTACGCACTCAACAACCCCTCCGTTGTCAGCTGCCCTCAACATCAAATACTCGCCTCCTCCCCCCTTCCAAATCCTGCCTCTCGCGCCAGTTCGCCTCGAGCTCTTTCGTCATGCCAACAGTATCTCAGCCCCAGACGCCGGCAGCTCCCAACAGTCCGTTGAGGGAACAGAGACATAGGCCCGTGGAAAGGCTCACGGACCGCCTGGAGACGCCCTCGCTCGACGATCGGTCATACAGGGTCATTAACCTCTTGTCCAATCAGCTCGAGGTTCTGTTAGTACATGATGCCGAAACCGACAAGGCCAGCGCGGCCATGGATGTCAATGTAGGAAACTTCAGCGATGAAGAGGAAATGCCGGGCATGGCCCATGCTGTTGAGCATCGTACGTCTCTCTCCCTAGCATATGATTTTCCGCTTCCCCCCGGGCTCTTGGCTAACGTTCTGCAGTGCTTTTCATGGGCACAAAGAAGGTGTGTTGTTTTCCTATTATTTCTTGTTTATCGGTGCCGGTGGCCGACTGAAAGCGTTTTAGTACCCGGTAGAAAATGCCTATTCCCAGTATCTCTCCTCGCATTCCGGAAGCTCCAACGCGTATACAGGCGCCACATCAACCAACTACTACTTCGAAGTCGCAGCCAAAGCCGCCGAAGACGCAAGTCCCAATGACCCATCTCCCCTGTACGGGGCTCTGGACCGCTTCGCCCAGTTCTTCATTGATCCCCTTTTCCTTTCTTCGACCCTCGACCGAGAATTGCGCGCAGTTGATTCCGAAAATAAAAAGAACTTGCAGAGTGATCAATGGCGATTGCATCAGCTCGAAAAATCCCTCTCGAATACAAAACACCCATATTGCCACTTTTCCACCGGGAATTTCGAGGTCTTGAAAACGCAGCCTGAGGCACGTGGGGTTGATGTGCGCCAGAAATTTATGGACTTCCACGAGAAACATTATTCTGCCAATCGGATGAAATTGGTCGTTTTGGGAAGGGAGTCATTGGATACTTTGGAAGCCTGGACGGCCGATCTCTTTGCGGGCGTACGGAATAAGAATCTACCACAAAATCGTTGGGAGGATGAGGTGCCATTCGGAAGTGACAATCTTATGACTCAATGCTTCGCGAAGCCAGTGATGGATTCCAGGGAATTAAATCTCTCTTTTCCCTTTATAGATGAGGAATTGCTGTTTGAATCGCAGCCTAGCAGATACATCAGCCACCTAATCGGGCATGAGGGACCAGGGAGCATTATGTCTTACATCAAATCGCAAGGGTGGGCCAATGGATTGAGTGCAGGTATGTGTAAACATTTTATCGCCTCGTACTTACTTCATTCATATCCCTGCATTATACTAATGGTTTTGCGGCAGGTGCATATCCGGTCTGCCCAGGCACACCCGGTATATTCAATTGTCAGATCCGCCTCACTGAAGATGGTCTGAAAAATTACCAGGAGATCGTCAAGGTATTCTTCCAGTACGTCTCCCTACTTCGGGAGACGGCACCTCAGGCGTGGATCTTTGAGGAGGAAAAGAACCTTGCAGACATCGCCTTTAAGTTCAAGCAAAAGATCCCAGCGAGTCGGTTCACAAGCAAAATCAGTGCCGTGATGCAGACACCTCTGCCTCGGCAGTGGCTTCTTAGTGGACATAGCAGGTAGGTGGTTCCGATGAATACTTCATGAAATCAAGCTTTGGTCCATGCACTAATATTCAGCCTCCAGGCTTCGGAAATTTGACCCAGCAAAGATCAAAGAGGGTCTTGAGTGCTTGAGGCCAGACAATTTCAGGATGACTGTGGTCTCCCAAAACTTTCCGGGTGAGTGGAAGTCAAAGGAGAAGTGGTATGGCACCGAATATACCTACGAGAAGCTCCCCGAGGACTTCGTTGCCGAAATTAGAAAGGCTGTAAAGTGCACGCCTAAAACTCGGCTGCCGGAGCTCCATCCCCCTCATAAAAATCAGTTCATTCCGACAAAACTTGAAGTCGAGAAGAAGGAAGTCAAGGAACCGGCTATTTCGCCCAAGTTGATCAGAAATGACGACTTGGTCAGAACATGGTTCAAAAAGGGTAAGTACACAGTCTATTTGAAGCTGGGCCATACTAACGTGGTTTGTCAGATGATACCTTTTGGGTTCCAAAGGCCAATGTATTCGTCAACTGTAGGAATGCCCTTCCAAATGCAACTGCAGAGAATATGTTGAAGGCACGGCTTTATACCGACGTAGTGAGGGATGCATTGGAGGAGTACTCATACGATGCCGAACTGGCTGGCTTGGACTACTCTATTTTCGCCCACTCCGTAGGAGTTGAGATCGCCGTGTCCGGTTACAACGATAAACTTTCGGTTCTCCTAGAGAAGGTCTTGATCACTATGAGAGATTTAGAGGTTAGGCCTGAACGTTTCGAGATCATCAAGGAGAGGTTGTTAAGAGGGTTGAAGAATTGGGATTTCCAACAACCGTACAACCAAGTTGGCGATTTCACGAGATGGCTCAATAGCGAGCGAGGGTACATTACCGAACAATTGCTTGCCGAGTTGCCACATATTACGGCGGTCGACATCCAGCAATTCTACCCCCACCTACTCCGCCAAATGCACATCGAAACATTTGTACATGGAAATTTGTACAAGGAAGATGCGCTAAAGCTGAGTAACCTGATCGAAAGCATCTTGAAGCCGAGGGTGTTGCCCCAGACGCAATGGCCCATCGCCCGATCGATGATCTTTCCTCCCGGTGGGAACTATGTCTATAACAAGACTTTGAAGGACCCCGCCAATGTGAATCATTGCATAGAATATCTCTTATTCATCGGTGACAAGGCGGATCGGAAGCTACGTGCCAAGGCGCTTCTTCTTGACCAAATGACCCACGAACCTGCGTTTAACCAACTGCGGACCAAGGAGCAGCTCGGATATGTTGTTTTCAGTGGGGCTCGCACTACCATCACAACTATTGGCTATAGATTCATTATCCAGAGCGAGAAAACACCCCAATACCTGGAGTCAAGAATCGATTCATTCCTTACCGAGTATGGAGACACGCTCTCCGAGATGACCGACTCTGAATTTGAGGGCCACAAGAGAAGCTTGATCACCAAGCGACTGGAGAAATTAAAAAATCTAGATCAAGAGTCGAGCCGTCTCTGGTCGTATATTGATAACGAATATCTCGACTTTGAGCTTGGTAAGCAGTTTCGCTCTTCTGTCGTGCGCAGCTACTAACATGCAATATAGTCCACCAGGATGCTGCTCAGATCAAGTTACTCACCAAAGCTGACATGACTCAATTCTACAATCAGTTCATTCTCCCATCATCACCTGCTCGTTCAAAGCTGGCTATCCACTTGAACGCACAGGCCTCTGACAACTCCAAGGTTGCCACTACTTTGGAGAAGGACATTAAGAACCTTGCGCTCAACAAGGACAGGAAGGACGATGAAGACGGCGAGGTTGTGCCAGTGGAGGCCGAAGGCAATGGTACGACGCCTTACATCATCACGGATGTGAGGGAATTCAAGTCGAAGCTGCAGGTCAGTGCAGGACCACAACCGGTGCAGCATATTAGCCAGTTCGAGGATTTGGACTCGAAGTTATGAAAGGATCTTGTAAACGATAGATGAGACTTCATGCAAGGGTATTTGGTCTTCTAGCATGGCGCCCAGAGCTAGTGCCTACAACGGGGGAACTTTAGAGCATTAATTTAATTTAATTGCCTACAAAGGCTGGCATGTGAGGCTAGCATGTGGTCGATACTCGTTGATACTTCTCCAAGAACATCGATCCATCTACCATCCATGGCATACCACCTCCCGCCCCCCTTCGAGCAATACCCGATAGATTCCTAACAGCTGACGTAGGGGTCAACATGGAGCAACCGACATTCCACGTGACTCTTAACGACTCTCGAACTGGAGGGGAACCTAGGTACCTGTCCACAATGTACCCAAGTATATTAACCGGCCTAATCCGACGCCATACAGTAACCAGCTCATATTTACCCGCTGCAGAGACCCCGAATTCGTAACGACGTCTTTAATTCGGCCGCATGAAAACTCCTTCCAGTGATCAGTCTGCGTTCCAGAGATGTACGTACAGTATGGGCACTGAATGACTTGTGCGGCGCCGCGCGTGTTGCATGAGGTTGCTTGCTGAGCGAGGAGGGTTGCACTGCAGGTAGTTGGGCGGCGCCGCCGGTAGATGGAAGCGCTTCCTATTGGGGCCGCGCACGGCTTCATACTGCAGTGGAATGGCTAAGGCAAGTGAGATGTGATGATGTGATATCAGTGTGTTGTGCGTATGCTTCGTACTTTGACAGGAGTTCGTGCAGTAGAGTGGCCACAGCATAGGGTTCTTTATAGCTACACAGGTGGTTCGGGACTAGCTTTCCCATGTGGGTTGGCGCGTCTGGAGTTTATTGGATCGTTCCAGGGCTGTTTCATGCAGATCTAGAACCAGGCGTCGATGAAGATATATCGAAAAGAAAAGACGGCAATAGAAACGCTGTGTAACATAATAACCCTGGAAAATATTTGCTGACGGGCATAGTGGCTGTAGAGGCCTAGCAAATAGCAAATAACAAACAACGCCCAGCTAAAGCCCGATTTAGAGATTTGAACTTATGAATGGAGGTTCGTCCGATCTTGTGGCGTCCATATACGGCTTCAGAACTTTCATAGCCCTGCGATGGCCTGGAATACCCTTTCTATCAGGCCTAGATTCGCACTCGATAACCCCGTTGACGTACTCATGTTCTATTTTGTAAGTGGTACAAAACTCATATGATTTTATTTATATCCGAACTGAAGAAATAAAAGCACTAATCAGGGCTTGCGATTTCTCTTCTTTCACAGACATGCGGCAATTATTCAATCGCATGGTAGATAAACAAACTGTTAGACCAAGAAATAAAAAGGGACTTTCAAAAGCAACACTGCTTTCGGCTTCTGCAGGAGACTAAAGTTCAAAAATCAAAATATGAAGCTGGTATCTCCAACGGTCTCTCGCTTCAAAACGCTAGCTCGTGGATTTTGAGATAAATCAGAAACGGGAAGATCGCACTCCTTGGGGATACGGATAGAATCTTGCGAATGGCCCTTTTCTGAGCAGAGGAGCTAGAGGGGATATCTGCATAGTATTCTTGCCGCAAGTATCGAGAGTTCCAACATTCTAAATACAACAAAGCTTTGGGAGGAGTCATGTCGTCTTCTACGCTTATCAGGCGCATATTTCAGACCAATTTTCGACCCCACCTTGTGAAATCCCGTCGAAAATAACATCGCGATCATAAATTTACCAGCAAACACATCACATCGATGGTGTTTGATATATATTCGGGAGGGCCGCCCTTCCTACGCCGTCGTCCTGGAATGTTTGCTTCATTCGCTATCATTTAGCTCTCCGGTGTTCATATTCCCGCCCGTTTCCGTGTTTTCCGCGGAATCAACTTGTTTGCGCTTGATCTCGACGGCGCCTTGGGACTTGTCTTGCCGCTTCCCTGATTACGTCGGGCTTCCAGCACAAGTGCCCTTCATGGCGCGATATGGATACGAAACGCGGTTTAGCTACTCGGAAATCGCAAATCTAGTTGGATTTTGCGTAGGAGTCTTGATGTGCATGGCACGGCCAATCTCCTGCAAAGCTGCTGGAATGTGACCCTTTCCCCAAACGGCGCTGCTGGTGCTTATTTGCTCAAATTTGAAGATCAAATACCCTGCGTCCCTGCGCTGCTTTCCCTGCGCAGTCGTGTTTTCACGAATTTCTCTTCTGTTCAGCTGGTGGACAGAGGAATAGTTACGAGTAAGTGAGTAGCCTGGCCGGATCAGGCGTTCGTTTCTTATCAGATCATGTTATGTGTTCTTGTCAACACCAAGCTTTGATCCTAGCCACATGATCTCTCTAGTCTTGTACCTAGGTCGCGCAACTAAATTGTCTAATTATCGTTGGCGACCACGCGACGGCCAGATGCCCATGCTAGCCCTTTGTCTTCTGTTACAAGGCTTCATTTTAGGGCGACGCTAGAAATGTCGACGTGCAACGAAAAAACTCCCACTGAACTACTGCAGCTAGGCTCAGGAGTCGTGCCAAGCCATCCTTTTGGCTGGAATCCAAATCATATGCCGGGAAAATAAACGAGGCGGACTGAGGCTGTGGGAGTTTGTTGGCGTGACACAAGAATGGCACAGTTCGTCTCATCCAGGAATTGCTGCTTATTATTTTGGTCTATTTTCATATCAACACCGGTTTCTCAAGGGAACAGTAGCCGATTCGTTTTCCCTCCCCAGTCCCATCACCATTTGTCAAAATCAAATGTTACAGAAAATCCAGTCGGATTGTATCCTTCTCCCGTCCCATGTCGCTGACTTCCTACGAAGTACGGAGTCCGTAGTATATACTTCGTACAATCATATTGGGTACTCTCTTACCACCGCCACCAACGCTGTGAGTGGTGCAGGACTAGTGACGTGCCCCTTTCCTCGTCGTGAGTTCGAAATTGGACATCCGACCACATGGCTGACTGAACGCTTCCATAGAAGAAGAATATCTGGTCCAGTACCGGGTCGGTGGCGCCTGCGCCGCATTATGCTGCCGTTCCGAGAAAACGATGCGTAACGGGAGGGCCCGGCCCCGCCCCCGGCCAAGAAGAAGTCCCGCGTCCCGGTCGCCGATATTCCAACTCAGCTCATGGACGCCTTTATTTTATCAAGATACCAGGGGAGACGCCGATCGTCAATCCCCCAAAAGGAGGGATCCGGGACACGTGTTACGGCAGTGCCGCTGAGCAAATCAAGGGTTGCAGCTCGTTTGACATTTCTTGGGACTTTTTGTGGCTTGAGGATTCCAAGTCATCTCCACGAACCGTTCGATAATGTCAAAGATTCATGCTTCTTCCCCAGTATCCCAATGAGCGCCCAGCGTTGATCAGGTTCCTAGGAAGTGGCTGCTTAGCGTAATGGCGTAGTCTGTCGTCCACGCCTACTCGCTATTAGAACATCAGATGAACCTTACGGCATCTATCGAGAGTCAGAGAAACCCCACATAATGGTATGGTACACACGAAACATTGTGAATGTCTACATAAAGGCCATGGTTCCCTCAATGGTGGCGGCCTAGTCACCGGTTCGTTTTGGTACATTAGCCTCTCATTATGCATTTTGAACGCTTCCTATCCCCTGGTTTGCTAGCCGTGCTTGCTGTTGCTGGCGTTGTCGAGGCCAAGTTTTCCCTTTCAAAAGTCACAAGTGGTGTGGATCAGCAAACTGGCGCAAGACCTGCCAGGAGGAATATTCTTGATCTGCAAAATGATCTCCCCACATGGTATTTTCCCCTGCATTTTAATTAGTGGTGTTTGGGTAGAATGTTAATTGAAGCAGGTCTCTTTATATCCAAGGACTCACTGCTATGCAAAAAGTCCCTGAAGACGATCTGCTGTCCTATTTTCAAATAGCCGGTGGGCCTCTGAGCTCCCGGGACCTTCAGGCCCGTGGCTAATGCGTTCCACAGGCATTCATGGCAGACCCTTCTATGCATGGGATAACTATGAAAAAGACCCAGCTGCTCCGCTGGCTGGGTACTGCACGCACTTTAATTTACTTTTCTCAATATGGCATCGTCCGTATCTGGCTCTTTTCGAGGTAGGTCGCTCAATACGTTCGTCGCGGCTCTATATTGACGCATTTCAGAAAATCCTTGCAGGTCATGTTCAAACAGTCGCAAAGGAGTATAACTCCCAGATCTATCAGGATGCCGCAGACAACTTCCGGATCCCATTCTGGGACTGGGCGGCTATACCCTCAATACCCGATGTCGTAGCAGCACCAACCGTCAACATCAACACACCTTCAGGGCCTAAAGATGTCACCAACCCTCTCTACCAGTACAGTTTCCAACAATTTCCTTTGAACGATACCTGGTTTCCTAGCGATCAAGATGAGAAGCTGTCAACTTATCCAGCGACAGTTCGATGTCCTAATCCAGAGGGGATTTCTGATCCAGCTCAAGCCAGTAGAGGTCTTGCGGCTAATCAGCTGATGAAATACACTGTAAGTCTAGTATTAGCACTTTCTAAACAATACAGCGAATGCTAGAACTTTGAACCTGACATATAATTTCTCTTTAGTATGCCGTCTTTGCACAAACCAAGGAGTACAACAAAATGGCAACGGGAGCTGTCGCAGGCGTTTCGTTCGAGTATATCCACAATGTAGTCCACTACAGCGTCGGAGGGGGTGGAGGGCACTTCATGGCCGGCCATATGTCTGCACAAACCTACTCTGCATTTGACCCAATTTTCTTTCTTCACCACGCGAACCTCGACCGGCTCGTCGCCCTCTGGGAGGCCATCAATCCCGATCAATTCCTCACTCCAGCTGTTGACGGATCAGGTACCTTCACGCACCCCATCGGCGAGAATATCACGGTCTCGACACCACTCACTCCTTTCACTACTGATGATGGGGTGACCCCTTATAATTCAAACACCGCACGCTATACTAAATTTTTCGGATATTCGTATCCCGAAATTCAGGACTGGCTCCCAGAACAAACTCCAGAGCAGCTTGCGAAAAACGTAACAGCGTTTGTCAATACCGCGTATAATCCCACTATGGCATTATCAGCCCGGAATTCTGCAAGGGACACTGCCCAGAATGGTCAGGTGAGGGAGTGGGCTGTGAGTATCAGAGGTCTCAATACTGCTCTTAGTGCGGAGGGCTATGTCGTCGATATCTCTCTCAATAACAGCCATGTTGGCGAGATGGTTGTTATTGCACCGCCAAAGGCAGCGGTAGCAGCCGGCTTGAATACGACCACAAATCATGTGATTGATCTGTCGGAAGAGTTGGGCAAGGTCGGTGTTGATACCCAGGACGTTGGAGCAGTGGTGGAGTATTTGAAGGCGAATTTGGGTTCGAGTGTTCTTAAGGTATGTTTGTCTGCTTATCCCTTTCACACTTTGAATCGGGTTTTGCTCGCGCTATCTCGTCAATGTCGGGTTGAATTAACTATTTATGCTGACTCTGGTTTCCTTAGGCCGATGGTACTACGATCCCAAGCACCCAAGTCCCTTCCCTAAGCTTAATAGTGGACGATATCATCGTCACGCTACCAAAGGACATCACTGAGCTCCCATCGTATGGAACGAGAACGCCACATTCGGACATTACGTTATGAGGATAAAGCATACTTCATCGAGTAAATACAAGGCGCTACTGTCTATTGTTGGCAGGTGATCTAACAGAAAATGCCATTTAAGAATTATAGATTACTATAATTAAATAAGATATCCAGAATATTATGATTCGTTGTGTTCAAAATTAGTTTCCTCTCCAAAATTTAATGTTTTATGTTATTCACTTGAAATGGGGCGTTTGACGATGTTATATGGTAACAAACCTAGTAGCCCCACTGCTACAATAATAAGAAGGTGGAGACTATCTGCCCATAAAGTTATGATCGTACAGGCAGCGGCTGCGCCCAACTACTACCCTACCTACCTAGGTTCTCTACAATCACAATCACCTAAAGATCTGAATAATTAGGGTGTCCTTGTACTTTCAGGGTGCAAAAAATACCGCAATAATTAGAATAAACCCGAATGGCTGCTAAGACGAGTAGCGAACAGCCCCTGCCATAGCATCCCAATAAAACATGCCAATCATTTAAGGTTGAAAAGGACATTGGAATTCCTCGCTTTTACGGAATCCAAGAACACATATAGTAAGGTTCGAAATCGGCCTCAGTCTGAACACTCTATCATTTTGTTAACCCATATTTTGAGCTACACTAGTACTACAAAACCTAGCTTGTTTGTAGATCCTTGAATTCGCTTACTTTTCTTGTTCAAAACTAGCTCCCATTTTATCACTGGATGAACATGCTACATCTTCATGATGTCACGTGCGAGCCTGATCATCGTTGCCTGTCTCATACTTTCCAAATCTTTCTGCTACGTAAATTATTAGCATCACAATAATGTCTTCAGTCGAACCTCTGGTGTTTTCTTACCAGCCGCTTACTGAATCAGATGCGATTAGGTTGATTCTTTTGCACCCTGCACCCACTGTCTCATCAGAATTAGAGTGCTCAATAGAGCATGTAACCCTGTCGCAGTATGGACAAGATCTTATCAGTCACTACACGGCTTTGTCTTATGTTTGGGGGGAGCCAATGCAAACAAAACATATCCCTTTTAACGGATGTTCGTTTCATATCACTTTGAATCTAGATTTAGCGCTACGCCATTTACGAGACACGAAGAGTCCAATACGTGTTTGGGCTGATGCGCTATGCTCATAAGTCGATTGATACCGAACAAAACACCTCGGGAATTTGAGGTTTGGAGCTCTGTTTTCTGGGGGGGTTCATTATAATAAAGCTCTGATTCTTGATCCTAGTAAGAAGGGCATTAGGGAACCCGTGAATTCCCCTGTCTATAATCTTCTCTTGCTAATATTCCGCGCTGAGAGACTTGTAAGTCGTACAGAAGACTTGAGTTATTGCCTGGATTTCAGGGTAGAGCGAAGAAGGGTAAGGCTAAATTTTTGTGCTCTCACATATTTTTTGCGCCAATTCTCACCTCACTCTGCGTGCGCACCAAGCCACTGCGCACATAACACCTCGCCGCTATACTAACCCTCGCTTCACCTCAACCTTACCTATCCTCACCGGCCTTAGTTGTGCTCACTCTACCACCTTACCTCTGCTTACCCGTCTCGCCTAAAATGCGCTTGTCTCTGGTCGCGCGGTTGTCGAGAGTATTGACTCCGAGCGAGCAGGACTTAAGGGAGCTAGAACAGGCTCCGGAGGGCCGTGGCGGGCTCTTAGTACTAAAAATAAACTCCTAGACTCATTACCCTAGTATTGTATATTAATAGTATTATAAAGATAGAATTGGAATTCTTTACCTTATAATCGCGACTAAATTATCAATATATACTTAATCTTAATATCTTATAGTTATAAATACTGGAACACTTCTTTGTTCGTTCCTAGACGGCATTATATTCAAACTGCGAGAAGGATGAGCCGGATTATCAATAGTCTTAAATTACTGCTCTAAAGTCGACTTTTTAATAAACAGTGTATTTGTCTTATTTTAAATTTTTACTCGGAACCACCTTCAACAAATTCTCTCTTTACTCTAAACATATCCCATGATTTCATTCTACTGCCAAACCGTCCAAAGTCTTTCCTTCCGCTTCGTCCAGCCATTGACCGTTTCATAGAACTTGACAGGGCAAGGGGCTCCGTCTCTGCCAAGTTCGCTAGATACTTGATTGTATAGATATCTTCTAGCATTGCTTTCCATTGCAACAAGGCTTCTGTGGCGTAGTCCCAGTCTGTATAGCGTCGCCAATGACTGATCTTTTTTACTCGACTTAGGAAGTAGTACGTGACATAGAAACCATCCCTTTCCCAGATGTTAGTAAGATGATTGAATTGGTCCTTGATATCTGGAACGTTGCCATTGGTGTCGAGGCAGAAGAGACACCACTCCGGGCCCCCGAGCTCCGTCACCTCTCGAATAGTGTTGCTATATACCAATAAATATTTGATTCGACAGTGAGGACTACCAAAGGATGGGTAGGTCTCGTATGGTTCGATAAATGTGCTTGTTGCGTCTGTGGAGTTCATTTTTTGAAATTCAATTACACTAGAAAACCGAGTAAGAGGCTCGATTGATCCTCTTGGATCTTGTGAAGATATGATTTGAAGAACTTGAAACAAAGCTGGAATTTCGAAAGGCGAAGATGGTTTGGATTCGAACCCTGGAGTTCCGCTAGCTTGCTTGTCTAGGAAGACCGATCGAGTTTCAATAGCAGCAACTAAGTTATCTCTCATCGACTGACCTCTTAAGTGTTGGACTAGGGTTGCCACATCGTGAGTTGTTACTTCCGGTAGAGTGTCGTCTTTAGTACCCACGGCTATTTTTCGGCCTGCCTTTCTTCGCATAGTTTTGATCACATCTTGATTAAAAACAATGCAAGCTATAACTCGTCTTGGTTGCCACCGGTCAGACAAGTGGACATAGTAGACAATAATGTCATGTCTGACACGTGAACCCGGTGCCCCACCGTCATGTAATCTTCGGTTTCCGGTCCATTGTTCTTCCAGATATGAAAGAACATCATCTGAAATCATCACCGCATGGCCTGCAACAGCTTCCTTTATTGCTAAAGTGAATTGCTGTAGACGTTCTTCGGGAATCCCGCTGGTGATGAATGGTGCCAAGAGAGTGTGGAAAACATCATTCGTGAATTGGACACATTCAAAGGAAGTCTCAATAATGGTCGGGTCCCTGAAAGCACCAGCCACTGTGTCTGTGTTTTGCCATTGCTTAAATTTTACTTCACAGAGATCAGGATTTTCCACTATCTCAGCAAACTGGGGAGCAGGAGGATCCAGTTCCATTTGGTGTTGCCAGGTGGCCACTCCTTGGTGGGAAGGAGGATCCAATTCCATTTGCTCTTGCAAGGCTACCACCTCTTGGTTTATAGAAAAGAAATCCGTGTCTAGTGAGATACTAATAGTATCATTAAGTTCTTTCCCGGAGGCCTTCTTGCATAGCGTTTTGAGGAGCCGAGCAATACCATGACGGTAGAGATCTCGCGCCCAATCAAAGATATAGTCGACAAGTAGCAATATTTGTAGAGCGCCATCTGGCGAGTCCAGACGGCCGGTCCACAGGTCCAGGATATTCTGAGAACTTATCATTAGAAAGGAAAGGAATGATTGGTTAGAATTTGGCAAAGGATAACTTACATATGATGTATATTGATCTGTACCATACTCTTCAATGTCTGTAAAGCATCCATAAAGCCTCCATTCCTCTCCTCGATTTGCAAAAAACCAGACGAGAGATCCTCCCTGTTCAGTCAGGCGTTGATTAGATCTGGCTTGCAGCACTTCCTGCATTCTGAGCAACGTCCAGATAGGAAACGCTGTTTGACGCTCGCATGCATCGAAACTATCGCCCCTCTCGGTTTTCGCTTCTGAGATAAGGAAAGGAAATATCAATGGTCGTGCCCGTTCCTCGAATGGGGTAAATTGGAATGCCTTGAAATTTTCTTCGAGTTCACCTTCTTCTGTGACTCGATCCTGGATAGCTGCTGTTATTACTTGTAGTGCTTGAGCGAAGAATTTCGTTTGCTGTAGACCGTACACTCTATCGGGCTTTCGAGGTCTTAAATCATAATGTGCTTCTCCTCCATGAATTATAAATTCATCGGCTCGGTAGTCAAAATTGCGATTTAAATCTATACTTCCTCTTTACAGCACGAACCTTTCAGCAATAGAAATAGATGCCTGTGGAGTTACAGGCGGAAATGCTTACTGATTACGAAGTTTTACTTCGGCGGTGCAAGAGCATGGAGCCCGATCAACACGACGCTTTTGAAGTGATTTAGTTATCTCATCTGAAACCTCGGGCTCTGCTTCAATTTCCGATCGCCATAATCGGTTTTTACAAGAGGGGCTGTGGGCGGTTCAGTAGGTCATGCCACGTGATCAGAAGACTTCACATACCAGTTAATCTCTAGCTCGAAGCGTTTGTAGACGATCTTCTCGATGTCTAGTCTCCATTGTATCTCGGAAGATTGGTTACGAGTCAGTCTCGAAACTGTGTCAACCAGGCGTTGGGCGCGTGCTTTTGTCTCGTGTTTCCAAAAGTTCGATCCATCTCTATCGGTGCAATAAGTTGAGTATCGCATTGACCCAAGGACCGAAATTTGTTGGAAAGTTTTCAGATGATGGACTGGCCAATTCGATGCCCGGCCCTGGAAGGCAATCTTCAATCGGCTGAAGGTTCGTCGGTCCTCTCGATCTCGATCGGCGTCTGTGCCCATGTCGCTGATTCTGGCCTAAGACCGAAATGTTATGGATTGGAGGTCTAATTCCTGACAGAGAGCTAGGGTTATTCTGGCCTTTTTCTGGCCCTCAAAGAAGTCAAATTTATGGTGCTGAGCAAGGAATTTCGACAAGAAGAAAGATTTGAGGAGTGAGTTGGTTTGGCTGCCTAGTGTGGCTGTGGATGGCGCAGCGTTATGCAATATTTACCATCACGTGATACAATAGACCGTATGCTGGAAGGAGACCCTAGGATTACGAGGAGAGAGAGAAGACGAAAATAGGCTTTGGTGGTTTCACTTTTCGTCGCTGATTATACCGGGTGGAATTCGCGAGGCGAGAGTTCACCAGGCTCACACCAGTGAGTGACATACAGTGAGTGGCCACAAGTATAAGCGAAAAACATCAAAACCGCGTTTTTATGTGTTTAGCACCAACCATCCTACATAAATGAAGCCTCCTGGAGCCCCACGCAAACACTTAGGGGAGGTCTCCCCTAACCAAAGACCACGAGTTGTAAGTGCTCGTGATCATGGCGTCCCGTTTCCTACGATTGCGCGCATGGAATCGCTCATAAATACTACCTGCAGATCGATCGTCAAAAACGCGTCTCACCAGGTTTCCTGCATCACACCTACTCACTCTGGTGCACCCTCTGTCCTTACTCCTGGGGACCACCGCCTTATACAACGTGCCATTGTCATAAATCCAAAGATTACTGCCCAACAGCTTTTTATTTCCTGCGCGCCACACTCGTCCAAAAAGACGATTTACCGGTACCTCAAGAAATCAGGTATACAGAAGTGGAGGGCGAAACAGAGGCCATTTCTCACAGCAGAGCATGCCCTACTACGTATGCAATGGGCTGTAAAGTATGATAGGAAGCCGGTGGAGTTTTGAAGAAGGTTACAGTAGTCTAACAAGTACTCAGTTGAGCGTAGTAAGGGGGGCGCCATCGAGTGGGTATATCAGCAGCGGGGTAAATCACCCCCTCCTTTATATACAATGTGCCCTTGCTAATTACTCGTCAACGCTTATAGGTGAAGCCCTAGAAATTTGGGCTATTCAAACGAAGCCTCCAAAAGGCAAAACACAAATGTTCTAGGCAGCTTTCGGCTTTGGGTCCAAAAGTGGCTGATGCGATCTATGCTCCCAAATTTTTCGGGAGAAATAGACGAAACCGATTTCGCATGCGACTGTAAGTGAATGCAGCAGTTTGTAATGAGGCTAGTGATAGAAGGTTAGTCCGTATAAAATACTTCGTATGGGTCCAAAAATAAAATCGTTGAGTGTTCGGAACTGAAGCCGATTTCGAACTCTACTTACTGTATAAAGAAAGCACTGAGAGACAGGGTGCCTTCCTGTGCACGTACCGAGTCGCTCAAGATAAACATTGGCTTGCTAATTTAAAAGTAAAACAATACCGTGTGTTAATAAATCTTTGGAGCCAAGGCGAACAATTTGAATATTTTCTTATTTTCTGAAGAGGTTTGGTTGTTCAGGGTCTGGGGGGGGGGGGGTTCGGCTTGCCCGCCGTCAACAACAACCACTTAGCCCGCGTCCAGGAACCACTTACATGTACTCGTACTCCACCCGGGGAATACAAATAAGCTTAACGTCAGGCCATTACGACTGGCGCTGAACCCGAAGCTCTCCAAGTCTCAGGGCTGTGTATCCTCGGGGCTGGCCTCTATCCCGTGACCTGTGTCTGCCATGTCAGCCTGTGAGTCAGTCCATCGTCCTCCCAGGTTCGCCAATCTCTCGAATTGCGGCTGAGCGATACGAGTATATGGGGGTTTGAATGGTTCAACGTCGCTCATGCCATGTCTCGTGCTACTTGGTAACCAGGGCGAGGCTTTCCGACAATGCAGCTCATCCTCATCCGTTTGTCGACGAATCTCCTCGGCGCTCCGAATGGATTTCTTACCAACCAGCTGCCGCTGGTCCTAGCCGCTGCCATTGTTATGTTATCCGCGCGGTCTGCTGTGGCTAGGCAGCCTTGAGTAGCCTGAAGCCCTGGGGTTTTGCGAACTCACAGCGCCGGTGATGCCTGGTGAGCGATGACTCGGGAGGCAGTGCTCACCTAGGCCATGTATGTAGTACACCATGAATAAATATAAAGCTGATGCCGTCGCCCATCGCATGGCTAAGCAACCTGTTGCCTGCCCGACACCGTCCGATTTCTGATCTCAAAGCGTCCATTTCCTCGCGTCGTTAATTGCATCGTGAAGTTCTCGGTCATCATGTCTGCCTACTCGAGCGATTCGGATAATGGCAGGTTTCGCCGCCATCCTCCTCCCCCACGCATGAGCGAACCGAAACCCAGAATTAAGAAGCAAACTCTACCACCTCAGGAGACAATTAACCAGATCTGGTCGAAATTCTCTGCTCCGAAATTTAGCAAGACGACGACTATCCTACCTCCGGCGAGCCATTCTAGCTCCAACCCCTCAGAATCCGATCAGGCTCCACCGGCCGGCCGAGCCAATCTTCTTGTATCCGAAGGTTATGAGCGAGCGGCCCAAGAATGTAGAACGAGGGTTAGGAAGCTTGTCAAAGAGTGCAGAAGAGTAAACATGCGGTATCGCGATCCAGAGTTCGATATTGAATGGGACTTGGAACTAGGCAAAGGGCACTGCTTGAATGGTCTCGGGCAAGCCGAATTCCGTATTAATCAACGAAGATTCGCGACCCCAACCCAAGTCCCTCCCAGGTCTGTTAAAAGGGTAGGCCGGATCTTCGAGAAACCAACATTCTTGAAAGAAGTGTCACCCGCAGATGTTCAACAAGGGGGTTTAGATAATTGCTGGCTGCTGGCAAGCGTGACGGCATTGGCCAACATGAAAGATGGCATTCAACGTCTTTGCGTTGACTACGACACCAAAATTGGTATCTATGGGTTTGTATTTCACCGGGATGGCGAATGGATCATTTCCATCATCGATGATAAATTATATCTCAGGTCTCCGGATTGGGACTCGCCGTCCACTCAACGGCATCTGCTTGAGCAAACCGGTCGAGAGGATCCAGAGAAAGCATACCGGAAAACGTACCAGACAGGCTCGCATTCTTTATTCTTTGCACGTTGCCGGGACCAGAATGAGACCTGGCTTCCATTACTTGAGAAAGCATATGCGAAAGCTCACGGAGATTACGCGGCTTTGAATGGAGGATGGATTGGGTACGTTAAGTCTTCTGTTATAATTCGATAAGTCACTGACATCTAATAGTGAGGGCATTGAAGATCTTACCGGTGGAGTCACGACTGAGCTGCTAACGTCTGATATCCTCGACGAAGACGAGCTTTGGGAGAATGAAATTCTTAAAGTTAACAAAGACTTTTTATTCGGCTGCGCCACAGGCCTTGTGCGAGAAGTATATGGAGATCGAGATGGAATTGTCGAAGGGCATGCATATGTCATCATGGAAGCCCGGCAACTGTCGACTGGAGAGCGGCTTGTGAAGCTTCGGTAGGTCGTCCCCGAACCCTTTTTGAACATAACTAATATTGCTAGCAATCCTTGGGGTAAAGGCAAGAAAGGCAACTGGGAAGGACCTTGGTCTGATGGCAGTAAGGAATTCACGCCTGAATCACAGCAGGAGCTGGGTCATAAGTTTGCCACCGATAGTGTGTTCTGGATCTCGTACGAGGACATGCTCCGCAAGTATCAGCATCTCGATCGGACTCGACTTTTCGTGGATTCTCCGGATTGGCGTGTCACCCAGAAGTGGGTCAGCGTTGACGTTCCCTGGAAGTCACAGTTTGAGGCGAGATTTACAATTACGTTAAAGAAAGAATCGCCTGTTGTTTTGGCACTTAGTCAACTTGACGACCGATACTTCGAAGCATTACAGGGACAATACACTTTTTGGCTCCAATTTCGGCTACATGGAGTTGATTCAGCAGGAGAGGATGACTTTATCATGCGCAGTCATGGGAATTACTTGATGGAGCGAAGCGTGGTTGCTGAACTGAAAAGTCTTCCAGCTGGCACTTACACTGTGTTCGTCATGGTCACAGCTGAACGTGACCTGAAGAAACTGACGGCGGAAGAAGTTGTCAAGGCAGAGTCCAGGTCGAAAGTTAACAATGACAAGTTGGCTCAGGTCGGCAAGGCATATGATCTTGCTCATAGCAAAGTAACTACGTATATGGACTCGAATGCCAAAGCCAGCAAGGAGAAAGATAAGGCCAAGGCACGAACAGCACGAATCGCAGCACGGAGAAAGCGTTGGGAGAAGATGCATTCGACTCGCGATGCTATGAGGAAGCAGGATAAAAAGAACAAAGAAAAACGTGAACAGAAAGAAAGTAATGACAGGGCTAAAGCAGCGGCGAGGGAAGGAAGAATCCCAATCGACAAGGGAGCCCAGGCCAATATTAGGGACGTTGGGCTTGATAAGGTTGATAAAGCTATTCAAATTGGAGATATGGTATCCGCACCAGCCAAGATGGATTTGCCACCAGCCACCGGTTCCCAGCTACCGAAGGAGAGGGAGGACAGCGGCTTACAGACAGAAGGCAATGCGGTTAGTCCATCCTTAGAATCTCAGGGAATGCCCGACACGCCAGAGAGTAGCACCATGCCTATGTTCCAACACCCACCACTAGTTCGGCTTCCCTCAAATCACCCAGCTCCAGGTCCAGGACTACCGCCACAACGTCATTTTGATGAGAGACCCCTTCAAAGACACCCAGCACAGGGCTTTGCGCCTTATAACCGTGATCAGCAATACCTACCTTCGGAGGGCGAATCAAGCGCCAGCCCCGTTTCAGATTTTGAGGACGGGTTTAGTGATGAGGAGCCAGCAGTAGTGGCCAGACCAATTCATGACCATGGACAACCGAGGAGGGAGGATGGGCCAAAAGGCTATGACAGTGATTATGAAGATGGAATAGATCCCTGGAATGCGGTTTGCATTGTGGGCTTGAGGGTATATAGCAAGGATAAAGGGTTGGAGGTCAAGGTTTATGAGGAGGACGATAAAGTGGTGAAGAATATTTGAAAGGCGGGACAATTTGGGCAAGACTGCGACCCCAAGGACCAGCTCAAGTCGACAACGATTGGGAATATATACACCTCTCATTTTTTGGCCTATTACGATCAATTCGAATACTTACGAAGTTACGACCTTACGGCCTGACGACCTTATGAGTTTATGTGTAGCGACTGGAATTAATATATGATATTATTAGTGCTTATATAGAACAATCGATTGGTTTTTAATATTCTCCAAAGTACGCTAGAATCGCCGGATAGATAAGGTGCTAATAACTCTCTTAACCTTTGCAACTACCGTCATATTTCTCTCCTTGTCCGGGCCTATATCAGATTTCCTCTATACTAGTGGAGTCTCTTCAAGTTTATATCTAGTAAAAGAATAAAACTCGGAATTTATTTTACAAGCTAGCGTAATGCAACATTTCTACCTATCTGCCTATAGCTATGCCTGCCGGTGAGGTTAATAGGGGTGTTCGCTTGTCAAGCTAGGGCCCCCTTTGTAGAATTAGAATCAGAATCAGAATTAGATTCAAATCCCCAAACATTGTTTACCTATTATTAATTTTTCGACCCATAAGCTATAAACCTAATCTAAGTTTTCCTTACAAATTGTATGTATTACTAAATGGCTAGTATTTAGGCATCACTCCTAGTACTAATGTGTACTATCCTATAACTAAAGGGGGGCGTTGAGGAACCAGCCATTTGACCATCACGTGACATCCGGCAAACCAGCTGGACCCCTTCGCTAGGAAATGTCTCGCTCTCCATCTTCACTCTCCATCCCCTTCACACTACAACGAATAGCCCGATAGAATGCCCTATTCGTTACTTACCTTACGTTCTGTATGATCTCCGTCTACTTCCGTACGACACACCCTTGACATCATGTGATATATTTTACCTACCAGTTCTCGCCGACAGGCCTCTTGGAGTTTATCCTTGGTTTCCCGGAAATATTCCGGCTTGGGGAACAAAAGCCGATGAAGCTCGGCATCACATCACAACATCCCCGCGATCTACCAACCTCACGCCATTCCATTCACTCTCTCGCTTTTTGCTCCATCTTCTGTCGCTTTTCCTCTATGTATTTCTATCTCTAAATACCCTCCTTCATCAACATATTTCTACAGAACTACGACTACCCTGTCAGAAACCGACAATGCTACTTCTCGGACTCACAGGTTCAATTGCCACGGGCAAATCTACCGTCTCCTCCATCCTCTCCTCTCCACCATACTCCCTCCCTATAATCGACGCCGACATACTCGCCCGCAAAGTCGTCGAACCCGGTACCCCAGGATATCGAAAAATTGTATCCCACTTCCTCCCGACAACGCCAGACCTCCTCCTTAAAGACGGCGAATATGACGCGAACAAATACCCTCCCACCCATGGCGCGCCATTAAACCGCCCGGCGTTAGGACGTAGAGTCTTCGGCGATAGCGAGGAACGGAAAAGGGATCGTGCACTGCTCAATGGCATTGTTCATCCGGCAGTGCGGTGGGAGATGTACAAACGATTACTGATTTGTTATTTGAGGGGGAATTGGGCGGTGGTTCTTGATATCCCACTACTTTTCGAGAGCGGGCTAGATAAGATTTGTGGGATGGTTATGGTTGTCGGGGTTAAGGATCCGGAGATGCAGATACAGAGACTTAGGGCGAGAGATCCGCATTTGAGTGACGAGGAGGCCCGAGATAGGGTTAGTAGCCAGGGAGATGTTAGGACTAAGGCGAGGAGGGCCGAGTTCATGGGGAGCGAAGGTGGGAGGGGTGTTGTGGTATGGAATGATGGAGGAAAAGATGACTTGGAGAGGGAGTTGCAAAGTGTAATGCAGGAGGTGAGGAGAGGGAGTCCAAGATGGTGGGCATGGCTACTGATGTTTCCACCGCTAGCAGGGCTAGTCGGAGTCTGGAATTATTGGAGAGGGCTGGCGATTAGTCGGAGGTGGAGGGATAATGAGCTGAAGGAAAGGGCGAAGCTATGAGACTGAGATGTCACATTGAGCCCGTGCCTTGATATGGCACTAGACTTTGTATCCGGACGATGCTCAACTGTAAGGTATTGGATTATTTCTTTGGAAATTTGACTGTCAAAGAACAGATACCTGATTAGCGTTGCCAGCGTAGCGTCGATGAAGAATGGTATTACCCCTTTCAGGCAATAGTCTACCTGAACCAAATATTGCCTGGGTGCATTCCAGTTGCCAATGGAACACTTACAGAGCAAGTTTGCCCTGCAGATGCGGGATTACATTAGACCTCTAAGTCTAAGTCAATTCAAATCCGTTGGCACACTGTAGTAGGAGCTCCCTCTATCAGTTCTACCTTGACGGATTTTCATCTTAATGTTGCAGGTTATTTCTTGGCTGTAAAGTTCATCCGGTAAATTCGGGGTCTTGTCGTCATTCCCTCGAGTTCATATTTATATTTGCCCATCCTGCGAATACCATGATCATTGACACCTACCTAGTTGAACATTATTCAAGCTTTTCTCTATGCGCTGCACAATCGCTTGGTATGTGCTGTTAGGAGCATTTTATGTAGAGTATTGTAGAAGACTACACGGTTTATTGGATTCATGGCCCCATTCTATCAAGGTCTGATTCTCATAGCGTAACTGAAACTGATTATTCGGCATGCAACTTCTTCTACGCAGAGATATAACTGCTCTACACAAACTGGGTCTTTCCCTGGTGAAGCCCAACGAAGTATCCCTTTATCTTCGACTACCGTCGATCTCTTCGTGGCTTCTGTCACGTCGTTTTAGTACACATCAAAACGATTCGATCCACATTGCGTTATCTCTGCGCATTTTTAAAACATTGCACTCCAGATGATAGAGGAGAGCCAAGAAAAATCTTGTTCTGTTGTTCTCGCACTGGAAAGTTGTGTTCTAGTGGGCGGGTTGCTTGGGCGAGGGGAAAGCGCTCTATAATAGGCAGGCACCGCACTCAGAATATGGCTCGTCCTCGGGTAGTCCTCTGGGAGTAAACCTCCATTTCATAATACTCTCTTCTCTAACACGTCAATGCTAGATTCTATATATCACCACTAAGAGACGCACATCTCTCTCGAGGAGGGTCACGTCGCGTATTATGTGGCGCGTCACTGTACTGCACACGGCAATCAACGGCGACTTATCTACGGCGGAACCTGGAAAGAGCTCGTAGAAAGGTGCGTTTACCACCGCGGGCCTCCTCTGGCCATGTTATCTTGCTCGAGGTAGTTGCTGATGCCATTCTCAATTAAGGAGCTTCAGGCCGAAGGAAACATGGCCAATTATTCTGTTATGCTCCGCATATGTTAAAAAGTCGCGCGGTTCCAATCTAAAAGAACTTGACTGGTTTTAAAATTCTGTGAAGACTGGAAAGTCCTGATCTTTTAATTGTAAATTATCTCCTAGGTAATTAGGTGTGCTATGGTTTTTGGACTCCCCTCCCTCCAACAAGGGCTTATATTTCATTTATAGAGCGCTATTCACTACTCAACCCCCCTGTTATCACCTAGTATGCCTTACAGGCACTTATCATCTTAATACATTATTATCTGTGGGTCACTCAATCGAAAACCAACGTATAAACCCCAAAACGTTAATACCACTACTCCATACCAACAGGCATGGTTGATTAAGAAATCATGGCTCCACTGTGGGCATTTGGTGTGAGGCATCCCGAGTCACTTCAGGATTGGATAACTGGAGGCCAAATGTCCAAGCTACAGCCACGACCAACCCCCAAAGCATCCCCCAAAGCAGCCCTCGAATACAAACCACAACCAGAGCCAAAACCGAAGCCCGAGTCAGATCCCAGAACCCCGGGAGGTAAGAAGGCAAATTCCAGAGGTATTTACAAGCAAACCTGGACTATTGAGCTTTCAGACTCCGAATACAGTGCTTCTGACACCTCGCCGTCGTCCACTGACACCCCCACTCCCTACAAGGCGGAGGCCAGCGCCAGCCAAAAGACCTGCCGAAAGTTCTCTCAAAGTTCACCACCGCCAATGACTAGGTCAAAAAAGGTTACGAAGAAGGTACGCTTTGCTGACGAAGTAGTAATAATCAAGCCGTGCCTGAAAAAGAGCCCAAACACGGACTCGCAGTTAAAGGCATGTGGTATAGTTGAAGGAATCCAGGCCCCTTTTATGTTTTCCTGTCGTCGCTCAGAAGGAGATAACACAAACCACGGCGGCTGTACGCTCAAACAGAACATTGCAGATAATTTAAACTGGCAGGGAGTGAATTTATCGAGCCAGAACGACTGTCGCCATACCGCACACCTGTGCCCAAACCATCATAATTGCGGCAGACCTTCTAACTCTCAACTACAACCCCAAGATCACTCTCAAAGCCAAGGAAGTTCCCATCGCCATCAAACTTCTGCCAACTCCCATCAAACCCAAAACCCGCGTCAAAGCCAGAACTCACGCCAAAATTCACGCCAAAACCACAGTGAAAGCCAGCACTCCAAAAGCTCAGGAGACGCGTCAGACACCTCTCAAAACAATAACAACCCACAAGGCACTATGAATCCTCCATTTCATACCGCAATGGCTCCACAGTCCCAAGTTATACAGCCCCTTAGAGCTGAGGTTATGATGCGAGAGGATGTCATCGAATCCCCTAGTGACCCACGTCCGAACGCGTTCTTTTGCACAAAGACCGGTGTTTTGCGAGTCTACCATGGTCATGCTTATGGCAATCCATATGCAACTCTCCTTCCTCTTCAGCCTATGCCAATTGGAACGTACCCTGCTCACGCAGGTCAGTTTGCAGGACCTCAAATGAATACTCCGGGAGGACCTCCTACTATTCCTGCCACAGCTACTCACTATGGTGGGCCATTCAACTCTGCGACCATGGGAAATCAACAATTCAGCTCTCCTTTTGTCACGAACTTGAGCCAAGCCAGGCCACTACCTAACAACGGTTGGCAAACTCCAGCTGCTGAAGGAGTTGGCAATATGGATGCGGGAAAGTTGCCGGGAAGTTGGCCCAATGATAACAACACATCTGTCTCGGGATTCAACGGCAGCAATAACAACAACCGGAGCTCTAACAACAATAACCAGATGTCTGGTGGCAGTGATAATGGAGCAAGTGGTCCGGCCGATGGCAACCAAAATTCTAACGATATGTCTACTACCGACTATGGAAACTCTGGTAACAATAACGGCAATTCGGGTGATAGCTGGAACAACGGTTCGACCAATAACAATAACAATTCCGGTGATAACTGGAACAACGATTCGACCAATAACAACAATGGTGATTCTGGTAATAGCTGGAACAACGATTCGACCAATAANCTGGAACAACGATTCGACCAATAACAACAATGGTGATTCTGGTAATAGCTGGAACAACGATTCGACCAATAATAACTGGAACAACGGTTCGACCAATAACAACAATGGCAATTCTGGTGATAGCCGGAACAACGGCTCGACCAGTAACAGCAATGGTAATTCTGGTAATAGCTGGAACAATGATTCGACTAATGATAGCTGGAACAACGGTTCGACTAATAACAACAATGGCAATTCGGGCGATAGCTGGAACAACGATTCGGCCAATAACAACAATGGCAATTCAGGTTGGAACAGTAACTCGAACAACAACAATAACTCAGGTGATACATGGGAAGCGCCTAAACAGCCAGCTGCATGGGGAGACATGTCTGCTGCTCAGAGCTCTTGTAGCAGCCGTGCCAACGACAAATCGGGCAGTTCTTGGAATGACGACAAAAATTCACAGACAAATCCGTGCCGTAGGAAAGGCTGCAGATACAAATTTTGCCGTGGTGGTGGAGGCGGCGAATGCAGGCCCTGGAATACCGTTAGTTGGGAAGAAGGTGGGCCTGATACCGGAGGCAGTAGTGGTTGGTGAGGTGGCTAGGAAGTTTCGTGTAGTATGCTTTGAGGACTGCATGTTGGTGCGGTAAATTTAGGTTTAGCACCGGCGTGATGGTATAACTCTACTTTCCCTTGCGCAATATCGCTATGGGAAATTTGGGATGGTGGAGTTGAATGGTGACTTGCAATCGGGAGAATGTTGAGTTCTTCTTTTTTCTTCTTTTTTCCTTGCGTTTGGCTGGGAATACCTGAGGGTATGGGCGAACTTCTGGCATGACTCTTCACGTGCCTTATTAGAACATATCCGGCCGCAGATTGATATGGCTAGGATACACTTTACGTATGATTTTGCATGGGGGTGCTATCATTGGAGCCTTTAGAGGACGACGGTACCTATGTAGCCTATCGCATTGGCTCAGGTTAGAATACCTCTAATAAACATAAGATACATCATAAGCCATCAGAGAACAAGTGTAATTTTGAGCGTTTGTATTAGAAGTGTTTAAAGAAATATGTAGCCAAGATATCTATCCCACGCCATGTCCATGGCTATCCTAATTCTAACGCGCTGTCTCTAACGCCCACCAGTTGCAATCCCATTTCATTAAAACTCCAGCAGTCCTAAACCTGACCAGATAGCTTAACTCCAACAAATGCTCGCATCCATTAAGAGGCATCTGTAGCAACCTTAACCAACGAAGAGCCCACACCCTGGCCTTGACTCCAACTCTTATGCGCCTCTTGAATACGCTCCATCTCAAACACCCGCTTAATCGGCACCTGAATCTTTCCACTAGCACACAACTCAAAAAGAGCTCTCAAATCGGGCTCAAATGTCGAATCATCTCTCGTAATATAATAAAATGTCGCATTCTTCCCATCCCAAAACTTCAAATAATTCCTTGCGAACAGTTTGGTAATGGATGGGATGGCGGATCTTGGGGCAACGCCAGTCAAACTCGATAAATTTCCACCGTAACCGATAAGTTTACCACCACTGCAAGTCAGGATAGAATACGATTCATCCCAAGACTCGAAGCCCAGGGCGTCAAAGACAGCATCTACGCCGCCGATGGATTTCATGGTTTGGATCCAGTCTTTGTTTGCGTAGTCGAAGGGCGTTGCCGATGGGAGGCCTGCCTTAACAGCGGTGTGGTTGCGTGCTGAGGCAGTGCCGTAGACCTCTGCACCTTGGAGGGAAGAGAGAACGGCGGTTGCCCACCCTACGGCTCCACTGATACCATGGATGAAGACTTTTTGCCCGGAAGTTACACGAGCGGCTCGCATTACCATACCGTAGGCTGTGTTCCAGTCCAGGGTCAGCGCCGTTGCGACCTTGGGATCGATTCCTGATGGCACTGGAATGATATATTTCTCAGGCATGTTTGCGAGCTCGGCTTCGGCGTCGTAGACAGAAAGACAGCATACCACGTCACCGACTTTGAATTTCGTGCTCTTTGGCCCGTTGCGCTCCACTGTTCCTACGAAACAGTAGCCTGGCGTGAGAGGCGCGGCTCTTTGCATAGGATAGAGGCCGCGGCGCATGTTGACATCTGCGCCTGAGAAGCCGGAGTACATAACGCGGACTTGAACTTCCTTCGCTGCTGGGTCTGCGATGGAGGCCGTGACCACATTGACGTTGGATTCATCACCGAAGGCGGAGATGAGGACTTTGCGAATTTGGGTTGGCATTGTGAATAGTGGATGAAGTCCTGGAGATTTTGTGGTTGGTTTGATTTCTTGTTGATTTCCTTTTCCTCTTTGTACTCTTAGGTGGTTGCCGTGGAAGTAAATAGTTTATTTGAAGGTGTGAAGCTGTGAGAGGTGATGAAACCGGTGTATGATTGGTATAGATGAGGATTTGAATTGATTCTTAGACTTCGATAGCCTGAAAAAAATGCGTGCGAAGGCATTCTTAAGTAGTAATTGAGCTGTCAGGAATACATGGTCGTTGTAAGTGATGTTATCGCATCTGGGGTATCCAGGTACGGACGTAGTGGCCGCCTACGAGTAAAGGGGGCTCTATCCAGCCGGGACGGAGCTGCATTGAACCGGTGGCGTATTTGCGCCTCATCCTTCAATCGGGCTCCGGGACATTTTGCGAGCAACGCGTGGCTGGTGGCTGGTCGGGGAGTTTGAATTTAAGGTTACACATCAAGATATGGAAGAAATGGTGGATACTCCGCAGGGCTAATGATCAGGGTATTGCCAGTCGTTGGGGATATAGTTTAAGAATGGTACGTACTCCCCTACGTAACGGACTTGGGCTTTTATATTTGGAAGCCCCCCGCCCTGTAACCTCACCGATGACGTCCAAACCCCCACCACAGCTCTCAATTCGAGTCTCACAACATACAAATCCAGTAAATGCCATCGCCAACGGACACAACCATCTCGCTCACCACAACCCTTGCCCTTACCCTGCTCCTTATCCTCTGCTTCTTTCCGGAATTCTTCCACCATTTGTGGTCCCTTCCACTCTACGCGCTAACTTATCTCGCCCCCTCGCCGCCAACTACAGGCCCCTCAGCCTCCCCGTCGAACAAAATGTCCTGGTCGCAAACAACCCTAACGCTCCCCTCGCGCTCCCGAGGCTCCTACCTTATCACCGATACGATCCTCAAGGAGGTTCCGCAGATCAAGGACTATAAGGTCGGCCTGCTGAATTTATTTGTCCAGCATACGAGCTGTGCGCTGAGCTTGAATGAGAATTGGGATGAGGATGTGAGGGCAGATATGAGTGATGCGCTGGATCGGATTGCGCCCGAATCTAAGAGGGGGAATGAGATCTATAGACATAGCGCTGAGGGCCCGGATGATATGCCTGTGAGTCGAGCTTTTCTCGTTGACTTTCCATAACGGAGGGGCTTTGGAAAAATAACGGGTGCATTTGGTGTGAACTGGGATGATAAAGGGGGAACGGACGGCATGAGGCGGTTTTGCGGATGAAGACCAAATACAGAGAAGAAGATGCTGACCATGAGCTCTAACCGCAGGCCCATATTAAGAGCGCTTTGATTGGTGCCAGTGTTACCATTCCAATTAGGAACGGAAAATTGGCAACGGGTACATGGCAAGGCATATGGTATTTGGAGTTCCGAGCTAGCAACCATTCGAGAAAGGTCGTTGCTACGATCCAGGGTGAGAAAGCATGAATAGTTGACAGACAACCAAGGTTGATGTTGGAAGTCTGTCTTGCCGGGGTGTGTACACGGTGAACATGCACATGTGAACACTGAGATGGGATGTATGGTCAGGATGGCTATATTAAAGCACATATATGATCTGGATGCTATTGCGCTCGTACCTAGGAAATGCGGCAGGCACAAATGGACAAATGGACACATGCCACCCCATTTGAAAGTATATCTGCATTTCATAAAACCGCTGCGATATCTTCCTAGGCATTATCCTAACACCTGCGGTATCCCAAATTTTTCACTTCCATCCTTAAACCTGAACGCCTTCCATGATGCCTGGAATCATTTCATGAAGTGCCATTTTCGGCTTTGACGCTATCCTCCTTCATCTCCTCATCCCCTCCGGCTAGGACCCGCGTCTTGGGCACGTATCCATCTTCTGATGGACCACCACCTGGAGTAACAGCCACCACCTGGCCATTCTCATCGACGAACTCGAAGTTATACCGCGATAGTAGATGCGGGATTGCTGATAATTGGGGTCCATATCTTGCTGTGTTATCGTAGAGCTCGAAGAGGGGAACAGCGAGAAGCTTCATATTCTTCGGGACGCTGAGAACCTCTATTCCACTTGTGTCAGTATTATCCCATAAAAGTCATCTCAGGCTTAAAAGAAAGGAAAGGAGGGACGTACTTTGTCTAGGCAGCTGAATGAAATACAATTTCTTGCACTCCTTCGGCCTAGTAACGTGCGCAGGGATGAACGGATACATAAAAGTCTCGAAATTCGGTCTCCACCATTGCGCCAGCGTATCACCAATCTCCCACTCCTCATTAACGCCCTCGCCGCTGAATTGACTCCCCACCGGCGCCAATCGCTCATTCAAGCGCTCCTTAAACCCCGCGATCTCTTCGTCTTCCGGCTTTAGGTAATCGCCGGGGAGCTTGAAGAACGCGTTTGCGATTTGAAGCATGAGGATATGAGGATGGTTGTGCTCGTGGCAAACTAGGATTCCTTCGCATGTTCGGCGCATTCCATGCTCTACATAATGCTCTTCGAGGCGCTTGAGTCGTGCTAGAACTGAGGGGTCTTCTTCTGGTTGGGTCTCTTTGGTACCAAATGTGTAGTTTGAGAGAGGGTAGAGGCGGATATTTTTAGGTTGGTTGTCATTGAAGGCTTTTGGGAGGAAAGGTGGGTATGAGGTTTGAAGCGCTGTTGTTGTTATCGTCGACATTTTTGCGGCTGTGGAGAGGTGTTGTCGAAGAGAGGGTGGTGTTGATGTCGGATTGGAAAGAGAGCTTTACAGTGATACTGCCGGGACCGAGGGCGGTGAGGCTGGAAATAGCTGGCTCTAAAAACCTACACGGTTTCACGAGATTTACAGACATATTAATAACCCATTTAACAAGCATACCGGATCAATTAAGCCCTGCAACAGACCTTGTTTTAGTCGATTTTTAAACGATCAATCATAAAGTCAATATATGTCATGACCAAGGCAAAGCTCGCTATAGTCCAAGAAGTCTCCCAAGCACCTGCAGAGACATCACTATCAATCTATCACCAGGAGCGGAACAAAACAAGCTTCTTATAATTTATTGCAGTATCATATGTACACTATCGATTCTCAATCACCATCTGATGTCTATTTCCTTATCTCTGCCCAAGCCCCTCATCGGTGATCCGTTGGTTCTCCTGAACTTCAGCGGGTCTGCCTAGTGGCTCTAAGGGATATGGGGTGGTCTCTAGAGACTCAAGATGCGCTCTGTTATGCTCGTTCGCCTTTGAAGCATTAGTAAATTGATATATAGAGTAGGTAATGCACGGAGAATAAATCAGGGTGGGATTGAGCAGGTGGCAGTTGTTGCTCTGCCGGAACGGATCGTAACCAAAACAGCACCTACAAAAGGCAAACCGCAGTAACCACACGGGGTAATCTCAGGTTTGTCGGTATTGATAAAGATCCTCGGGTGGCCCAATGGCCCGCCACCTCCATCACACGACACCACACTCTCATGTGTCCAGCGAACGGGTTGTTGGTGGATTAAGCTGATGGCAGCCATAGGCGCTGGCTATAGATTATATTAGCATCCCACAAATAAAAACGGCAAGCGTTTTCCGCGAATGAAATGTATCATACCTGGGCTTCCATAATCGTTTGTTCAAATCGCGGCCCTGACATAGCCTTCGCTCTTGGTTCCTGGCTTCGCGCCCAGGTTGTGGCTCTATTTGGCGCCTGCATCACTCTTGCACGCTCGCCGACATCCACATCCTCCTGGAGAGCGCTGCTAGTCTGGCCGGACTCAACTGGGAGCACATTGCTTTTGGAAACAGGCTTGACATCACGAAGTGAGTTGGGATCCTCTTGTCTGTTGTTTGCAGAGACGGCAAAAGTTCGTCTCGCAGACACCTGAGCCCTTCTGGAAATCTGCCACGCAGCTCGAGATCTCAGCGTTGGAAGCATAGTGATGGTGTTTCAATGCCTTCGGCTTTCAGTTTACGTCGAAGGTTGTCGTGGGTCAATTTGGAGCTCTTTGATGACTAAGCGAACGGACCGCGACGGCATTGGACCCACCAATCCCATGAACTCATATGAACAAAAAGTCTTGGTCAAAATATTTCCCCAACGGTTGTTGAGACCTTCAACATTCATTCCTCGCGTTCAACCCTTGCAAACTGAGGATTTCCTCTATGACCGCACAAGGAAATAATAGGGCTCGGTGCTTACAATAGATCCTTTTACGACTATCACCTCGGTTTTCGGTTCCACCATGGCAGGCCCAGGCACGCCGGGCAGCGGCCAAAAGTCCATGTCTTCAAGACTCCTAACAATGAAGTTCATGCAAAGAGCTGCTGCTTCTTCTCCCGCTTCTCCCTCGGTCTCTACTCCTGAAGAACCTCCAAACAAGCGCCGAAAGAAAGATATCGATTCCTCACCTCCGAGTTTCAACGTCGATGCTTTGGCAGATCAACGAGCCATACAAAAAGCTATGGCAGAGGAGGAGGCGAAACGTCAAGTGGCCCTAGATAAACAAGCTGCCGAGGCTGGGGATACAAAATGGATATTAAGCTTCAAAGATGAGAATCACTCGCCATCTTCTACACTGGCGCTGCGGGTCGTTCAGACAGGGTACGCGAACCTTGACCGTATGGCACCCTTAGAAATCAGATCTGTGGAACATGAGCCAGGGGATAAGCCGGTTGCAGTGGGACGGCGGAGCTTTGGAAATTTTAATCGGCGTTTGGAGGTAGGCACTGTCATTTCCTACCTGGGTTTTAGAGTTACTAAGTCTTGTAGAAGCAGCTAGATCCATCGATCGAGAGCTCGTCAGGATCCCAGTCTGACGAGGAAGATGAGGGAGAATCATCAAATGACGACTCGGAAGATCCCACCAATGACCTTATTAAGGGTTCGCGAAAAGAGGCTGCACAGCGGGTGCGGAAAGAGCTTAAAGCCAAAAAGAAGGCGGAAAAGGACAGGTTACGAGGACTATCAAAGGAGAGAAAGAAGAAAGATGTCAACCTGAACCGGGATATCGATGTGCGTGGTCTGACATCCCTTTCTGGATCAAAAGGTGGTACACCTACTGGGAAGGGACCTTGCCATCATTGTGATGGGCCTCATATGAAACGAGACTGCCCTGAATTGGCTAGAAAAGAAGAAGGGCCTTGTTTTGCGTGCGGTGGGCCGCATTTCAAAGCTTCTTGCCCTCAGAATAAGCGGCAACATCCTGGTGGCGATGAAGGACCGCCACGGAAATTCTCTAGGACGCGGTGATCGATCGATCTTACCAGAGTTAAAATTACCCACCGAAGAATAATCCACGAAGGACGGAAATCGGGAGATTGATTCAGGCATACAGTGCCTTCGAGTCGTTGTTGAGACTAGATGGTTTGGGATCGACACTACGAGTCAGTGTAGTTTACACGTATCCATAACCCACTACGAGCAGTGCAGACAAGAGTCAAGAACCTATCTCTTCGGGCTTTTGCCGCGGCCTGCATACCGGCTGTTCTGTAGTTGAAACAAATATCCGGGTGTAGTTGGGATATCAATAATGGAAGCTAGGAAATAAATAACACCTTAAATCCTCCCAAAATCGATCATCTCAAATCAAATTCCAACGTTAACTTGTTGATACATCCATCTATTTTAATCACGGATCACCTGACTTTCCCCCTTTTTCGGTTTTGGCTTACCTTAGATGTCGTATTATCTACGCATCTACAATGGAATATTATTGAACGCTCAATCAGCTATTGCTATGACAATCTCAGGGGTAAGGAAGGAAGTAAATAAATGTGCGACATGCAACGAAATGGTTAGATTCATTCGCCAGACCAGGCAGGATTCACTTTCTCACGGAAATTCATTCACTTGGCTTACTCCCAGTTTCAGTCTTGGCTCTGTGTGCTTGTTGCCTGCTGGATTATAATGAAATATCACAAGTTACTAATCTCAGGGGTAAAGAAAAAAGTAAATAAACGTGCGATGTGCAACAAAACAGTTCTGTGAGATTCACATGTTAGAACATACTGTACCTACCTAGGTATTCATTCTTGTAATAAATATCACTTGACTTAACCCCTTTTTCAGTCTTGGCTTTGTCGCCATGTTTGCTTGTGCAACCACGACGAAATATCACATGTTGCTGCGATGATTAAGGGGTAGGGAAGTAAGTAAATAAACGTGCGATGTGCAACGAAATGACCACACCTGGGAGTTTGCGGTGTTAATTTTCTTGGCGTTAAATTCGCCTGAAGTATATGTACGCCCGTTTACGGCCGTTACATATCTGAAAATTGGGTGTATATACTCTTTCTCAATTGCTACACCAAGTGATAGTATAGCAACAATCAGCCCAGTATTTCCAAGAGCATCCCAGAGCAGGAAACGGGGCATAGATGTTGATCAGGAGTTCCTTAGGCGAGGCTTACCCCCATTTGCTATATACCAAATTAACATCCTATCAAGCTAAACATCTTGCTGTGGGCGTTTCAAGGCATTCTCCTAAACAGGTTATGAGCTGCAAGTACTTGAACAATAATCTAGCAAACTACCGCCTAAAAACAACTTTAGAGGTCTCAACAATCCAGTTGTAAGAGCACAGTGAACTGAATTCAATCCGTTTTTAGTTGTACCGAGGCTGGCATGTGTCGGGTTCAGCTTTCGCGATATTCAGGGTCCCCCCAAGCCAGTGTCGGATTTCTTTTCGTAGGGAAGATGTCCCTTATATCAGTGAGCAGTGGGGAAGATCCGAAAACCTCAATTTTAAGAACGGTTAACCGTTGACTAGGTGGAAATCCATTGTCCAAACCAGGAGAAGTTGCTTTTAGATTTCAAGAAATAAGCTGCTCCGCTTGGGTGAAAAGTTTGAGTTGTTAGCATGCCTTATGCAAAACGCAGATATTGTAAATGCCTTGGCCAGAACAAAAGAGAAGATAAATAGGGAATGATGCATTTACTGCTTTATATTAACGTAGTAACAATGACTATTCACAGATGTATCGTGAGTGTGGGCCGAAGATAATAGCATTTGATAATGTTTAAATGAACATTGAAGACCCTGGCTCCAAAACCGAGCGATGGAGCGCACTGTCTGACGATTCGTCTTAGCGGGGTTCAGGTAGCAATCTTACATAGACAGGTCAGATACCCCGCAGTATCAGATATATGATGTAATATATTTATAAGACGAAACCTTGCAAGTGGCGTTCTTTAACAAATTAAAGAAGGCTTCTAGATCAAACCCGGTGGTCTCGTGTTGTTACTACGGAGTAAGCACGAGGTACTTAGATATTGGGACTGGGACAACGGCTGGTGTCTTCCTTTCTCCTCGTTTCTTCAACGGCCTTGTCACGGTAACCCCTAATGCATATATGTAGTACACTAGACGCCCCCTACTACGATACCTCTAATGAGTTTTGACAACTAGATCTGTCAAAATGTATGGACCACCTCTAGTATTACTGCCCTTGGAATAGCATAACAGGGCAGCTTCCGAGTCGAATATCGCTCCTTGGGAATGAAACTCACAGCCTCCAAATTCTCTTCTATATCATAATCTTTTCAGCTTATATATGCGAACCCTCCTTTGCAATAGCCCCCGCTGCTAATATTGCACTCTCAAGTCATGCTTCTAAAAAAATCTTACCAGCTGTTAAAGAATTGAAAGCATCTTTAAATGATAACTCTAACATCTAAGCCTTAGGGTGAAGTTCTCTATCAAGTAGCTAGCTAAGAATGTTCCGTGTGTTGATCATATCAACTTGTATATAATAAAAATGTATTTAAGCTATGACGAACTAATCATAAGAAATTCAATTAGGTAGTTAACTAATTATTCTTTCCTCAGATTCTATATTCATACTAACTTGCGCAGGCAAACATTCTCCAAGGGCATCATTTGAATAATACAGAACGTCTTTATAATAATATATTCTTTAATCCTGTTCTAATCAATATCATAAATGCGTAGGTGCAATCAGAACAACCTCGGACTCGGAAACAGGACGACTAATCTGAACCAGGCATATGCAACTTCGTGACTAGGAAAAATTCCTGAACTTAAACAGAAAATTTTGGTCAGGTGTCCACTAAGACACCAACAATTTATATTCCTCCATCCACAGATACTGGTAATTCACAAACCCGCACTCTCGAGTCCAAGCAGATTATTGACTCCAAACATTTCCTCTGCCGTTCCAATGCAACCACTAGGTCCCCCGAGTTTAACTTGGCTCTTATACTTCGGCTTCGGATACAAAAATCATTACTGCGGCAGAAACACACATTGCGAACTCAAAATAGGAATGGGAGGGCCCATAACACTTCTTCAGGATAACGTCAGACAGAATACAATATCACACACCATATTCAGCCTAATTGTGACAAAGGTGGCATTATATTGAGGGACCTGACGACGTCGCATGCCAGCGTGCCTAATGACAGTGATGACTACCGAATCATGTTGGCATTATGATATTAGGTAGGCTTGGCTTCTTCTCACGTGGAACGGTACCATCTTCATGATATGGAAACGGATGGGGTTGCCTCTCATTTCTAGAGCTGACACCCTGTAGACAGCGCACAGCAGTACTGTGACTAACCCAGACTGCAGCCAGCGCTCAAAACTTCCTCGTGGCCAATGCAACTTATTCGTAAGATGCGATGGGTAGCTTGCAGGAGCCCGAGGTAGCTTCTTTCTAGATCAGACTGGGTCAGAAACTTGAGCGATATCTTTGAGTTCAGATCTTGTGCTGAATAGGTGATGAATCTAGCAGGTCTTGGCTCTTCTAGTACTTGAGGGGAGAAGATCAAAACGTGACATGAACGTACATAAGGATCTTGGAAGGGCATGTACCTCTTGTATTGTAAATCTCTGCCTTTGTTGCACATCGCACCCCGTTCCACTCTTTGGAGTTTACTGGTAAGTTAAGCCCCCCTCAAGCCATCAGACCTCTCCCGCCTCTAAAACCTGGCCATAATCCCCTGCTCAACCCAATTAAATTCATGCAGCTCTTCCTCGACTTTAAAAATCTATACTCTGACCACACCGACTCATCGTCGCTTGGTTAAAACGTCTTGTGCCGCCTCGGTTCATCCGGGAACTACCGTATGCCACACTGGAGTAGGGTTATAAAGACAAGGTGTGATAGACAACTAACTACTACCCAGCTGTGTAGATGCGTGGGTGGTATCCATTTTGCCCTATGGTTCCGATTTTGTGGTTGGGAAGTCGAGTTGTGAATTGGGAGACGGACATCTCGCGGGGAAAAGGGGGGACGCTCAGGCACGTGACCGGAACGAAGTGGGTTATGAGATCACGTGATATTGCCATTTTACAGATCTGCGCATCTAGAAGAGACGCAAATGTGTGAGCGCAGCTTCTTCTGCATGAGTCCAACATGACGAAGGGGTTGTTACACTGTGCTTGCCTACCTGCCTATGGTACGCACCTATTCTTTGCTACTTTCGATGATTCCAATGGCTCGTGTTCACCTGTCCACTACTCGTACCTCCGTAATATATTAGTAGGAATGTGCCTACCTAGGTACCTAGGTACAGTACGCAGGCTGCGAGCACTGTCTGTGAGGCGGGCTGCGGGTGCAACAACCAAAAACGGTGACCAGAGGTTCGGAAAGTTTCGGGCCGTCGCCGAGGCCAAGGCTGCCGAGCGGGCCATCACCCCCACGGACCTACTTGCGCCCGGACCACTGCTTTCTGTGCTCATCGGCAAGGCAGCGATCAGGCAGCATCATGACACGGCCCAGCATGGAAAGTGCAGAAACAACTCATGAAGAATAATGAATGGAATGGAATGGAATTTCAGAATGTAGGGCTTGGCCAGAAACCCAAGGCTGTCTTGTCTGCCCGGTCCCTCGACCGGTCGTTGGCGGGGCAAGGCTGGGTAAAGCCCTTTGCTCTCTATATAATCGCGACTCGCTGCCCCTCGCTGCCAGCATGGTCAACTCCACAGGCCCATACCTTGTGACGCTGTTCAAGAGAAATATGCGTCCCCCACAAGCCGTCCATTTCGTACTTGAACGGAACGACAGGGACAAGATGATTCTTTGTCGAGTTGCCAACCTACCAGCGGCAGGGCGGTTGGGGCAGTCCTGAGAGCACTATCTCTCTCTGTTGTCTTTCATTTGTTTCTTGCTGGAGACAGTCTGGCTAAATACACGACAAGATTGAAAAAGCCGACAAAGACCTTACCTCTGTTCCAATCTCAAGCAGCGAGACTTCCGAGAAGCTCGTGTTGTGCACGCTCTTAGGTTATCGCCGCTCAACTTCATCCGAGACAACTTTGCAAGACCCAAAATATGACTCGTTCAGACAAATCTTGAAGGGCTGATAAAATTTTACAGTAAAAGTGGCGGCCTTCGCGCGGCAAGACTTTGTACAGCGCTTTCCATTCGCGGTCTTCAGCCTCCACCGCCAGTAGTACAGTCGTCCTCAGCCTCCAAATCGTCGGCGTCTAGTCGCGCTAAGATGTTCGCGGACAAAGTTATAGCTGTCCTATCGCTCCTAGTTAAGCTCTCGCTATATCCGAACCTTCGAAACAACCTCCTCGACCTCGCCGTGTCCTCTATCTCTATGTGGAACGTCGCTCAAACTAACGAACGGGAATTCGTAGCCTACCCTACTCTCGACCTAGAAGGTCTTGACGGGTGGTATGAGGGTATATCTACACCTAGCAATGATGTCATTGTTTTATTTCCGCGTATTATTGCACGGACTTGTTCCCGGGTAGCTGATACCCGACTTGTCGGTCCTCTTGGCATGTGGATAGATTCTGAGCCGGACTCGTACGTTCAAGAGACTTGTATACACGGCGGGACAGGACTAGCAAAATGGTTAGCACTAGTATTAGAAGGGGATGAGGAGGAGGGAGAGATGAGAGAAGAGGAGAATATTGGAAGAGGATTTGAAGAAGCTGGAGAACGCAGTCATGGGACATAGGCGGGGAGGATCACAGGGTAAGAGGGGCTCGATCACAGGATCGGGCTCAAGCCCATGTATAGAATGGATGAAAGGAGGTAGGTAGAGAATAATCGAGGCAGTAGATAAGGTGAATATTTGTAAGATAGTTACTCGGATCGCTAGATATTTTCGTTGGTTATAGAACAAATTGGAAGTAGCAATGTTAGCTTAGTATCGACTTTATCATTCACTCCAGGAAAAATACATTTATTATATATAATAACGTATTGAAATGACCCGTTTGAAATAGTTGGCTCGCGAGCTCCGAAATGACCTCTTTCTAATTAGAGACGGAATAATCTTTACAAGAACGTTCCGTGATAACGACATAATATACGATAGGATGATAAATATATTCAGCAGAGCGATAGGCCGTCTAGGGAAGGAGGAACAGGAAATTGCGTAGGCGAGGCCTGGCTATCAGCAGTGTGAGGCGGATTGGGGGGAACTGTACAATGCAATGATACCAAGGATGCCAATGAACGCGCGACTACTTGTATAATACATCAATTGTTTGCGATAGAGACGTTGCGCCTCATGTCTCCTTCCGATAACCTGATGAATCACTGTTCTGAAATTACGCCTTAACCTTGCGCAGACGTGGCCTTCAACTCACCCAGACGTATCGAGTCAAGCTCCACAAATTCGATCCACGCAAATCACGATGGGAGCCTTTACGCCGCATTGTCGAGGGAACAGTAAGCAAGACGGCGACGGTGACGGTGACAATGAATATACCAACGCTCTCATCGGCGAGTACTATCATCTCCTCGCACATCGTGTAGCATCGTCGTACCGGCCTCGGCGATGTGCGCATGCAAATGACAATCGTGCATGTGAAGCCGAAACTATCGCCAAGTGGAAATAATATACTTACTACTGCAGAAACAAGCTCTAATGGCGCCGTCAGCCCCGGCCGTGCCCGATATGATCAGGGCATCATAGTGGTTACTAGTGTGATTGCAAGGCCTAAAGCATTTCCCATAACGGAGCTCTTTCCGATTCAAGGGGCAGTGGCTGTTGGTTGTGAGCACTGAGTTGGCAACGCCTCTCTAGTGGCTGAGTGGCTGACTGTCGAAGTGTCTCTAGGGGCTATCCACCTCAAAACTTGGTCAGACGGTCCGGAACGGGTAGGGAACCCGTTCAATAAAAATGCGTCAAGAAATATCCACACTTGTGCCCCAGAGCGACTTCGAGAGCACATTGGGATTTTTGTGATCAGAATTGTGTTGGTGGACAGCTCGACAAAAAGCAGAGCTATGCGTATCTGTTTAATCTTGGCCTGGCTTCAGGTATATTACTGATATTAAGTTGTTCCCTTAGGTTTTTCAGGTAAGTCGCAGGTACGAACATGTGCCCTCATAACGAACGTCTGTTTCAGGCGCCAGCAATAGCCAAGGAGTCCTACTCTTGCTAATTATCTTCCCGACGCAAGGATAACTCAACGTGAGTATCCGCAGCCACGCAGGCGTCTTGTTTGCCACCAAATTTCGAATTATTTATTACCCCGCAAATCCAGGTCCAAGTCCAAAGTCATGTTCTGCACTTCGGCGTTGGTTGCCCCCTTATCCGTGCACCTCCGCTTCCCCACAGCGCGCTATTCCTGTTCCTGATATGTTTCCGTTGTTGTTGCTCGTATAGAGGGAAGTGATCAGCGGATATTTCGGCCTCGTTTCTATATCCAACCTGATGGATACACAACATTTCCATAACATTTGATTATCCATGATGATGATCGCCGAGGTGGTCGCCAACCCTGTTTTCACCTGTTGTTTGGCATATGAAAGTCGCCAAGAGGTGGTGAACGCTACCCCAGCTTATGGATGTTTCTGTGCTGCCAGCCTATCCAATTACTTCCTGTACTGAAAACTTTCATTTCGGTTTAGTCGACCATGCTCCTATAGTTGAACACATCCGGCACAATAGCAAGAGATTAGAGCGAGCAAGTGCCCTCTATAATTAACTCCAGGTAGCGATTGAGCATATCTGCTTTTTCTAAAGCTCAAAACACACGGAAGCCCGAACCGTTTTCCAACTCGCAACCCCCTCCTTTCTACGTGTTAAGTGACGTCAAGGGTAACCTTGGACGCCTTATGCCCTGGCCAAGGGCGGGTCGGTTCACACTCCGTACGATCGAGAGCTTGTTCCTTTCTAGAGCCAGGATTCCCCGCCATCTTGCCCCGTGTAGGTCGTTGTGGGCCACTCGCAAGGTTCAGTTACCCCAAAGATTTCTTATTCCCCGGCTTTCCGTTGAATACACCCTAGCAAAGAGCTCCTAGCAGAGTATCCTTAGCTGAAATTTGGATGTGCAGAGGCAATATCGGTTGTTGGCTGCAGCCCGACCCTACCTGAACAAGCACAACAGGCATCAACCCCTTGACTCTGATTCACAGAATACGGGTTGTTGTAGCCAAAGCCATAGGTAGTGCTCGTACGAGTGCCTCTTTTAAGGGGAAGCAAATTTACCGAAGCATGGGGGCAGGTCCTATACCCTGCTGCCGTCTGGTAAGTATATAATTGAGGGTCCGGACCTTTCTACAATCCTTCAAGCACAAACACATCTGCTTCGCTCTCGTTTAGTATCAACTCATTCCGAGGTTGCAAATATGAAGTCTGTCACGGCTTGGTCGGTCCTTGCTTTCGCTGGCTATGTATCAGCAAACACTTGCTATGATCTTGCCTCCAATGTCCCAGCTTGCGCAGTCAGTACGCCATTTTCCTCGTCCAAGTTAGGCTACTAATATCGAAATAGACTGGTTGTATAAACTCAGCGGCTTCCGTGGCAGGTTGCACAAACGGCGATTATGGGTGCCAATGCTCGAGCTCTCAATCTTCAGCGATCCAGTCTCTCGCCATAAACTGCGCTATAAACAGTTGTGGGGTGATGACCGCAATTTCCGCCAGCGCATCCGCCGCCGCTGTCTGCAAGTGTCTTGCTTCTGCTGGGACAGCAACAAGCGTTATAACCACCTCGTCCAGCCCCTCGTCGAGCTCTGCGGCACCGTCCATTCCGTCGCCCACGGCGACAGTCTCCAGTGCTGGACCAGGCACCACCACATCGGCATCCGCAACAGGCCCAATTACAACCGCCCCAGAGGTGCCATCAAGCGCTGGAGGAAGTTGTAGCGCGTCGAGCCCGTGCCAGAAATCAGCAGATGCTATCCCTGAGTGTGGAAAAGGCTGTCTTAACTCAGCAGGCTCCGCCAATGGCTGCGTGGAAAGCGACTTCAAATGCCAGTGTGATAAGGCCTCAGCAATCCAGCAGGGAGCACAAGGCTGTGTGATCTCGAGTTGCGGTATCAACTCCGGACTTGCTCTACTCAGCTCTGCAAATGCTCTGTGTGCTTGTGTTACCGCAAACCCCACAACCCCTTGCACTGGCTCGGCAACAACTACACCAGTCACTACGCCAACCACTACGCCCAGTTCATCAGCTTCATCTACGGGGTCACCCGAGACTAGCCCCGGCGCCTCAAATACTTCTGGAGGTTCCGGACCATCTCCATCTTGCGTACCAAGTGCTGGAACTAAACCTGATTGCTCGAGCAAAGCAGCAGCTATTCCCTCCTGTGCATTGGCTTGCTTTTCAACCAGCATTGCCAAGATTGGATGTGCATTGGATGACTATGCTTGCCAGTGCACTGCTGATAACAAGGCAGCGTTGACCAGCGATGTCATTCCCTGCGTTTCAACTTCGTGTCCATCCTCTGAGCTCGCTGCTGTTCAAGCTGCTGCTGATGAGGTTTGCAACTGTGCCAATTCACCTGCCACTGGGGGAACAAGTTGTTCATCCGAAAGTTCTACCAACCCAACAGGAACATCCGGCCCCGGCTCCGGCCCAGGGACAACCACGGTGGACTGTTCCACATCTACCACAGCCGCTGGATCAGGAGGACCGGGCGGATCTGGTGGCTCTAGTACGACATGCGTCGAGGTCCCAGCTAGCACGCCTGATTGCTCGTCCAAGGCAGCTGAAATCCCATCCTGTGCCCTGTCTTGCTTCAGCACAGCTATTGCAAGTATCGGTTGCGGCTTGACCGATTATACTTGTCAATGCACATCCTCCAATGTTGCTGCTCTCACTAGTGCGGTTACTCCATGTGTTGCCAAATCTTGCCCGTCCTCCGAGCTTTTGAATGTACAAAGTGCAGCTAATGCAGTATGCTCTTGCGCCAACTCAGGGTCGTCTGAGGCCTCTACAAGCTGCTACCCAGTTGGATCCCAACCTACGCCTACTGGGCCTTCTGGCGGTGGATCGGGAGTGCCTACTGGTAGCGGACCATCGCCAACTGGTGGCAGTGGAACAGGAAGCCCAGGAACTGGAACAGGGAGCCCGGGAAGTGGAACAACTTGTGTGGCCGTTCCAGTGGCAGCAAGCACCCCGGATTGTTCTGCTAAAGCTGCTGAGATACCCTCCTGTGCCCTTTCCTGCTTGTCCGACGGCATAGGAAAGATTGGCTGCTCTCTCACTGACTACGCATGCCAATGCACCAGCGCCAACAAAGCCGCTCTTACTTCCGCAGTAACACCCTGTGTAGCCAAATCTTGCCAAGGTTCAGATCTGTTAAAGGTGCAAAGCGGCACAGATGCGGTTTGCGAATGTGCAAACGCCGCCCCTTCGTCATCAGAGAGCACCACGAGCTGTTATCCAATCGGTTCCCAACCTACTGGTACAGGTAGTGGCTCATCACCAGGCACTGGTAGCGGACCTCCAGGAAGCGGTGCTGGTACTTCAGAGGCACCCGCCGCTCCTACTGGAGGTTCAGGAACTGGCACAACATGCGAGGCAGTTCCAGCAGCCAGCGGTGCCCCAGACTGCTCCTCCAAAGCAGCTGCCATCCCATCCTGCGCTCTAGAATGCTTCTCAGCTGCAACAGAGAAAATTGGCTGCTCTATCACAGACTACGCATGCCAATGCACAAGCGCCAATGTCGACGCCCTCACATCGGCCGTTACGCCTTGTGTGCTCAAATCGTGCCCCTCTTCTGAGGTTGCCAATGTTCAGAGCGCCGCAAATGCTGTGTGTGCTTGCGCCAATGCGCCATCCTCTCCTTCATCAGAGGCTTCTACTACGTGCTATCCTATCGGCTCGCAACCCTCTGGCTCGCAACCTCCTTCTGGCTCGCAACCTCCTTCTGGCTCGCAACCTCCTTCTGGCTCGCAACCTCCTTCTGGCTCGAACCCTTCTACTGGCTCGCAACCTTCTTCTGGCTCTGGTGCATCACCACCTGGTGGAGCTGGAGGAGCGAATGTTGGAGCTTCCGGTGTTAACTCTTTGAGCACAGCTGTTGTGAGCAGCTCACCAAGCAACACAGTTGGCCCAGTACAAGTTACAGGAGCTGCGGAGAAGAGATTCACCGCAGGACTCGGAATGGTGGGAGCAGCTGTTTTTGCGGCTATTGCTCTGTAGAGTAGGGGACTTGTTCCGCTTTCAATTTCACTTCTTATATTATGAGATTAATGGATCGGATTGGTTAGGATTTAAATGATAGTAAAATGTCCCTATGATAACAATCAAAATGGGTTTATGACATTAATGATATACATAGTCTCTGTAACATTTGCTGAAACGTCACTGGCAATGTGAAGTTGTGAAATCGTCCTCTTTAGAGTCATTTTGGTGCTCGAGTCCAACGCTGCAACTTACTCTACAAGCACTCGAAACACCAGGGTCTAGGCCATGGCATTAAATCGGAGTTTTTTTTGTAATAAAGTTATTTGTGAATATAACTAATCCCCACAACTCAGAGAGCGACAGCAAAAGCCCGAGTTGGGCCTCAACCACTAGCAACCATACCAATCGCCGTGGCGACTTCAACGGCTGTAAACCCACTCAAATCCCAGATTGTACAAGTTTGTGCCCGAATTTATATTTCTCACCAAAAATAAAGACTCGAAGTTAATCATTCTCTCTTGTCTCTTTCCCCTCACGGTGTAACGTCCATACTGGGCACATCCTAGCCAAGTATATTGGATTTATTATGATTTGAGATTTATATCGCGAGGTCAAGGTCTCTCCCTAGCCTAGGTTTTATACCATACTCATACAGCATTGAACATACACTCCCTAGTATAATACACTGCTACCAGACCCACTTGGATTCGGCATTTAACTCCTATATTTCACAGACGAGGGCGAACCCTTCTCTGTGGGCCCATTCCCTGGCGTCTTCTCGAAGGGGACATTCATCATCTTACTCTTCAACGCGACCAAACCCCGATCCTGCTCTGGAGTCCCGAAAGTCACCCCCGCAGTCATAAACTTTATATCCCCCAACGCATCCAACTGCTTTAAAGTCCGCCTTATAAACGCCACAACCATCGCTAGCTTCCTAACATCCACCTCCTCATCCGCAGCTAAGACGTTCCTCCAAACCGCCGCTGCCAAAACCGCATCACCCCTAGCCAACCCTTCATCATACGCCGCTATCGCACCTCTCCATTGCACATACATATCTTTGAGATTTTTGTTCCGCGACCCACGGCTATCCATAAGATGGCTGACAACCATCTTTTCCTCGGCCGCGTAGAAGAAATGGTCGGTGAGATGTTGTTGCCAAATCTTGGCAACATCGGGGGGGAAGCAGCGGAAGCGCGTGGAGATGAGGTAGAGGTAGAGCATAGTAACGCTGGACCACGTTGCGAATGTTGGCTTCAGACCCATTTCTAATCCAGAAAATCAGCAAAAATTCCTCTCTCTCTCTATAATTAAACAAGAGAGTGACTGAAGAGATTAATTACCATCATGCCACCACCCTCCCCCAACTCCCAAATGCGACCCATCTTCCGTCCGCGGTATCTCCGCGTCCGGCTCTGCTGCTTGGGGGACTGTGTAGTCCGCAAAAGTCGAGCATTGCTTGAAGAGGGCTTCCGTCGCACCGTATGCCGTGTATGACTCTTTTATCCCGCCGATCAGACTGGCTTTGGCTGCTTCTTCCGCTGGCGAGAGGTTTGGGCCTTGGGCGGCGCCTTCTGCACCTCCAGGCGTGACGGGTGGTATTGATGTCCGCGGGGCAGTACTACCCGAGGAAATCTTTACGGCCCGTTGGCGCGTGGTTGTAAATTCTCGCGGTGTGCTGAAGCTTATGGGGGACTTTTTGCGCTGTATGGTGCGGTTAGATAATGTTTCTTCCTCCCTATTGATCGCGCAAAACATACCTGGGTAACAAAACGTGATTGGCGCTGGAGTACCCCCAGGCATGAGGCACAGGCTTTTGAGGCCATTGTATTCTTAACTGGCGGGTAAGATTATTTATTGAAGATTGTCGTCTTGCTGCTTGGAGAACCTTGAAGTCCGAGGGAAGACGCTGTGATATTTCGTACAGGGATCAAGCGGCCCCGGATTAACCTTTATCCCGCCCCAAATCCCCCTTATGCTCCATTCAACAAGGCGATTGTACTGTACGTCCCATTGTTTCATTGGCACACCCTCGTATTTTGAATCACTTGTCATGAAGCACATGTTTCTATTGTCATAGGCCGGCATGGTCGATTGGGGTCACACAAGGAATCTAAAAGTGGCAACAAGTAGAACTTCAAATTTATATCTAACTGCATGTCAAAACAGTTATGGCTACTAATCTAGTAAAACAATCATTTTAGTACACGCTAATAGATCTAGTGAGCCAAATATGCTCGTTGCTCAATACGATGTATACGCTATAATGCAACACATTCCCAACGCCAGTAAAGGGATCCTTCTAATCGCTCCATGCATGCCACTAGCTCCCGGTATTAGACGTTGAATATGTTCTATGCAAAAGGAATATCACTCTGGGAAGAATCACTTCCCAATCCATGCGTCGCTCGCGGGGTATCATCTTTCGTTGTGCTCTTCGGCACTTTTTGTTTGGCGTAGATCAAGTATTCCACCAGTGTGCTTTCTTGATCTTACCCATGCCCTCCATCTCATCCGTCCTCCGATCATCCTGCAATGCGGCACCGCCATATCTCCAGCGTCTTCTCTGCTCCAAAACCCACCACTTCCCCACCTTCCCAGCGCTTTTTACCCATTCCGCAACCTCATCGCCCTTCTCCCCACCATAGATCTTCCGCACGCTTTTCTCCAATGCGGAGAGGGAGTACTGTTCTATGGGCTGAAGCTCGTCGGGATCGAGAATATTGTCAGCGAAGCGGTACGCGCCATTTCTGCAGATGGGAAAGACGAGACGGTAGGGGACTGCGGCCGATGAGACGGATAAAAAGGCACCTCCTGCGTTTAGGACACCGATGTTCCAAGCTTGGCGGCCATTTTTGCTCGATTGGAATGGGCGGATGAGAGATTGGCCTTCATACTGATGTATTAGGTTCTTAGCGATAGTCGTGTCCTGTTTGTTGAGGGAGGAAGTGGCCGTTAAGAGATCCAGGATTGTAGGAATGATGGAAAGCGATGTCGCGTTGATATGGAGTTGTTCCCGTGGGAGCGAAGGGTGGTGGAAGAGAAGTGGGACTCGGACGTTCGAGATATGTCCATTTTCGAAAGTCCCATGAAAGGCGGCGTCTTCTTCGAATGCCCATCCATGGTCGCCTACCATAACGACGAGTGTTTCGTCTGCAACTCCCAGTTCTTCTATCATGTCCATGATCTGGCCAAGCCAATTGTCAACGTATTTGACTGTGTTAAGGTATTTGTTCAGCGAATGCTCAGGTCCCCACTTGGAGCGGCCTAGGTAATCGGTTGTGTCTCCGAACGCTTCCGGAGTGGCCCAAGGATGGTGAGTCGAACTGGTAAAATGTGAGAGAAATAGGCGTTCGTTCTTCTCCTCAGCTTGCTTAAACAGATCCCGGATATATGGTTTTACTTGGGTTTCGGGAAATCCGAAGTAGTTGCACCTAGAAAATCAGTTAGGAATGTTTTCTCGAAATTTTGGGGAGATTGGCGTCACAAAACGCAGTTAAAACGGAAATAATAAATAACAGGATAAGTGGGTGCTTACTCTTTCTCAGTTGGAGGATAGTGAGGCGATGCCGGGTCGACAAGAGTGCTTCTGACGATCGTTTCCGAAAAACCAATGTGCTTGTTAAGCTCATCCTGGCGATCAAACTGATCCGTTATGGCTTGAACAAATACTGACTTCCACGGTCTATCCTCCACAGCACCTCGCTTAGATTCCCCAGAGTCGGTGTTAGAATGCTCCTTCTTGTATCCGGGTTTGTTGTGGTTGAAAAGCTCAAGGATGGACGGGATACAAGGCTGATAATTATCACGCGACGCCTCAACTGTGAAATCCACTGGGAGCGGATGTGTGCCACAGTGACTTCCAATAAAACTTTTGAAGGTCGAGGTACTTGTTGTGAAAGCTCCCTGGACATTGATTCCACCTGTGCCCTTTTTCAAATTCCTCCAACTTCCAAGTCTAGCGGAAGAATCCCGGAGATCACCAGTTCCGAATCCGCTAGTTTCGCCCGTGAGCAACTCCGTGTTCTGAGTCAATTTGGTTAACTGGGAGTAGGAGTTTGCAATGCTCTCATTAGAGTTGTGAGATTTGATGACAATGTCATGCAAGTGCGAGCCCCTTTTGAAAGGGAAGATATCTTTTCGGGTCGTTTCCATGGAGACTATGACCACATGTTTGATGGCTATCTTGCGGTTCTTGATCGTATCCTTGATCGATTTCAACAGCTCCTGGTCGAGATTCGTGATCCGCAATGGATCTGTGATAGGATCGTAGTTGATCCCTTTGGAGAACATTCCTTCAGGGCGCCTCCGATTTTCCTCCTTTCCGTGCTTGTGGCTTCTGTCTCCGTGAGAGTCTTCAAGCGCCGAGTCGTTATACCAACGCTCAAACCCATGCATGGGTTCTTCGGGGAGCCATGAAGGTCGTTTCAAATCCATATCGAACGATCTATTGACCATTGGCTGCCAGCCTGGAAACTCCCCCTTTGCGGGCTCCCAATATACCTCAGAAATGAGATCCGGAAGCGGGAAGGGAGGAAAGTCTCCTGACAGGTTTCCAAGACACATCTCTTCCGTAGGGTTGGTCCAGATATCCAAAAGTGTGTAGGGCATGGAGTTAGACATGTGGCCCCATGGAAACCCGCGTGGGCGAGGAATCATCAGTATGAGAGCTGTTCCAACTGGTACGAGATATTTCAGTGTGTATATCCATTGGAGAAGCCAGGAGGTTTCGGTCGGTTCCTGCTTGGCGAAAAGGGGAGACTCATCGCCATCGCTGGAAGTGTGGTCTGAAATATAATCTTCCTCTGACGATACACGGTGATAGGTTGTTCCACTCTCCAGCGCCGAAGCGGGATTGGGATCTTTGAACTCCCTTGATGATGTTCGTCGTAGGTGGCGACCGGTCAATGTCTTTACCGCGTCGAAAAACAAGCTCTCGGTTGCGTTATAGAGTGGCTGCGAGATCAGGCGCGCCATCACCACCAGGAAAATCGCCGCCAGAAGCGCTCGCGTGCTCCCCGAGAGCAGCACTTTCAGGCCCGCAGCATCGTTGGCAATATTTTTGGCAGCGCCCCATTTTATTTCTCCTCCAGTTTCGATATAGAATGAAATCCAAGACGAGGAGGCTCCCAGGAGGATAAGGCTAGCATGCATTGTTAGCACTTGTCCTATGCCACTGACACTGACGCCGAACAGAAGGACCCCAAGCTTACCTTAAGATGACCTTAAAAATCGAAAGGAGGGCCGCACTCCAACCCCGCCCATTAATATGCACCAGCACCCAAAACACAACCAAATTTATTACATCCACAGAGATAAATGTGAGAAAGTATAGGACGATTAGGAGAGGCGGTAGCGACCGGCGATGGCTATATAAGTGGAGGATTTTAACGGACGTTGCGGTGGTAAATAGCAGCGAGAATTGGAAAGGAGGTCGCCATATGCGTCGAATATCAAGCGCGGATGATCGCATCTTGAGGGATCGGGGTCTGGCGAGTAGGAGGAAGGTCGAGATGGCAATCGTGAGAGAATGAACGACACGATTCCCGCGAGGAGAAATCCGCAGAGGCTACCAAGAAAGCCAGCTTCGACTAGAGAGCGAACAATCGAGCGTGTTGGGGATGACGGTGCGTCCCATCTGTCGCTGTTGATGGGGCTGTCGTCTTCGCCGTTCCTGTCGTTGTCGCTGTCACTATCGAGGACCGCAAACAAGGCACCAGTACGAATAATGGCAGATTTCCGCTGGTCTCAAAACAACAAACACTTCCCAAGGCCCAAGATGTCGAATATCAAGGGTCGGAGGTTCAGCAATTGCGTCGGCGTGGGTGGTGTTGAGCAGCCAGACCGGGTCGCGTGCTTTGTGTGGGCCTCCTGAAGGTTTTGTACGTAGTAGAGGACGATCGCGCGGCGGCCGTCAGCCTTCATTTGCCCACCGTCGCTGTGCTGCTCCGCCGTAGTCCAAAAGCATGCTTATTATGCAGGATATTCAGCCCGATCTGCGTCTGATTAGCTCGTAAAGTGATGGTAATAATAAGAATAACACAATTCGCGGATGGTACCCTGCATCCTGGCGCAGCAGCAGCAGCAGCAGCACCGTTCAGCAGCCGGGTTGTTTGGAGGGAGGGAGGGCCCCGTAGGGAGAATAATAGCGCTGCTCCCTGTCTCAGCCCTTCCGTCGGCCAGCGGCTCAGAGCCGCACCGAGGCCTAGCTGATTCCGGGGCTCCAAAAGCCATCGTGCACGCAAAAGAGCTCCTTCACCACGCATCTACCGCCGCACCTATCTCTACAGAGTAAGAGTCGCCGCACAAGCACAAGCACAAACACAAAGTACCAGATCACCATTTCCTTCGTGCGAAGCTTTTCCATCGGATAGGGGGCCTCCATCCAGCGAGATTCCCAGCCGAAGCCAAGCTGGAATAATCCAGGGTGCTTGGGGTTCTCGGGAGGCTTGGTCGCCCACTAGGAATAGGGGGATCGTGTGCCTAAATGCCTGATAAATGCCCCTAATCGCCACCTCGGCCATCTTGGCGTTTCCGCCGCGGCGGCACCACTAATCTGTACCTCTGGATGATGCCCGTTCCACAGGGTGAAGAGGCCATATAAGGGGGCTTATGGGGTCCAGACTCAATGCTGGAGTTGAACAGGAGGCTTGTGTTCGTCTGAGACAGGCCAGCAGCGATTCGTTTTGCTCGTCTTACCGTGCAGGTGGCCCGTCCTATTATTGCTCGTACCAATCCGACCAATCTCGCGGTGTACTTATATTACTTGTACTGTGCGTAGTAGTATGCCCCGAAACGTCAGCATTTTAACGGCCTTTGAAACAAGAATGAAGGGTCCAGGCACAAGGCTGAGTCCCTGAGACCAACATCGCCGGGCAGCAGCGTCCGCCCGGGAGGAGAATACAAGCCATATGCCGCCGGCCCGCTTGAACCACTCCTTGATCTCGATTCTCGAAGGATGTTAATGCTTGTTTCTCCCCTCGAGGCAGTTCCAGGGAGCACAAGGGCTTCTAGAATCCAGAGGGGATTTTAGTGCGTAGAGCATCCCCCTTGGAGACGACCGCATCGATTGCCGGGATGCTTCCGGGAGCCACGGCGGCATCTCCATTATTCTGTAAGCTGCAATATCAGCTTTCGGCTCGATGGACGTTGTGGGACGCTTACATCGGGAGGGTTCCCTCCACTTTCTGCTAAATAGCTCACCAACACGTTGGATCGAGCGATTATTGCACACGGGGGCTGCAGGCGATGCGATACCATGCAATTTCGTGGTCCTTCGTACTCCGTATGTGATAGTATGGCACCCCTGCCTGGAATATGCTGTGGGACGCAGTCATGGTCCAACAGAGTGGCTGCAATGATTCCTGAGTGTGGTAGCTGGCTGCTTGAAGTCGATTCGCTCCGTATGTATGCTCTCGGTCGCCCACAGCTCGAGAAGGAGCCGTCGACTCCATCGACGTAGGCTTGACACCTTCGTTCTGCAAATCAGGAATACAGCATTTCCAGGCTCCAGAAGAACCGTAGAATCGCTGGTTTTCGATATGTTCCAGCTTGAGTGAGTGGTCGCAAAGCCGTGCACCATTTTGAAATCCGTCGAGAATTTGATGGCGATGGACTCTATTCCCCTATTCCAAGGTGGGATTGTAGGAGCGCGACTTGCACATACTTGCAACCTATCGAATATCGAATTGCTCGATTAGATCCTGATGGTGCAGTCTGGAGATCTATAGTTGTTTGCTTTTGTTTCTCGGCCAATCAGCTATTTCAAAGTTGGAATCAAGCCCACAACTTGCTTTCGTTAGACGAGTCGATGAGCCCTTAAAGGATTCGGGATTCTTCTTCTTTTTTACCATTTCTTACCGTGACCGTTTCTCCCCACCAGTTTTAATGACATGCTAGCTGCTGGCGTTGAACTGACACTTCTCACACTTTATGAGACTGTGTGGTAATAGGGGAGTGACCGATAAAGTTATTGGCGTAGTTCCTGCTGCACAATAATCACATCACAGGAGATCAATTCGGTAGTTGGAAAAGTGCCCTTTGCAGAAAGAGGCACTTGTTCACCTATAAGACACTGGTGCCTCGTGAAAACCCTGGTGTATATGCTAGCTCGTGACGCGTGGCTTTTGCGTAAGGACGGGCGTGCTAGGAGCTACAGCAGATAGCAGATTGCGAAAACGTACAACTTTATATCCACAAACGTCAGATTTGTTAACGGGAGGCAAGCTTTCGGGGGCCAAATAGATTAAAACGACGGCTAGGAAGAAAGAGGGTGGCATGTGTGAGTCGCCCAAGAATTGCTATACATATTTTCCTTCTGCGAAGGGGTAGGGAGCCGTGTTTTCCATCTTTCCTCAATTTTGGGTAGTGGGCAACCTAGGTATCCCTCCGTATCATGACAACTTAATTCCCTTGGTGTGTTTCCTGGCCTCTGGGTACTTGCACTCGAGGACGTCGATCCATCTGCAGGCAATATATACTTGATGTCGTTCCTACCCATGCGGCGGATAACTCGAGCCACCGAGCTAAATTCAAACGACCCCCCAACCTCCAGGAATACACAAATTGAAGATCTGGTGCAATTAATGTTCATATACCATGCACATTTGTAGCTGGGCCGCTTCGAATAGGTTGTCTCCATGATGTCAATATATGCCAAAATACGCCCAAGAATCATGGGCCTTGGTCAACTTTGCTTACCTAGAGCTGCTGTGAACACTTTCTTACCCGTCCGCGCTCCCGTTTTCTATTTCATATACTCTTGAAGCTTCATATCTTTCGGTGGCTGTTGAGTTCACCTCCTTTGGATCCCTAGAGTAAGTGTGGATAGAGATGTAGAATTAAACTGCTATTCTCTGCAGCTTTCGTTAAGCTTTGTAGCGTATGAAATATAATTATCCACTTGGCAAGGATGGCTAGACACATTAGGTACTAGGTATTATTTGGCAAGATAGAGTAGCAAGTCCTACCCCATAGTAGATCCTTTTATATATTTAATTTCTCGTTGATAATTTTTGCAAGGAGACGCACACAAAACGGATATAAGGCCAGTCGGGTTCAATGCCCACAACAACCAACATCTCTATAGAAACATATTAAACTAGTTTAGCTCCTACATTAATGACTAATACCGGTTGTTACATGTAGGCACTAGAACTTATACTGTTTTCATCTATAAATGATATATGTGCACAATAACCGCCACGAGTGTCGTAAAGATGTGCGGTGATGTTACTGCTGTCTGGTAACTAGGCAATGGATACAATATCCAATGCCATCAGGGAATAGAAAAAGGTATAAACTCCCATCTGCGTCCTGCAAGCTCCACCAGAGGCTGGAAATTCGCGCAACGCAAAATGACTTGATCTACGTTCGCCGATAACAATAGACCAAGATGAGGCATTGGAAGCTAGAGGTTGTAGTTTTATATTGCTCTGCTGGTGGTAAGGAGCAGAGAGCATTGATTCGGTATGAAGCTGTGAAAATGGGTATCATAAAACCGATCAAAAGTAGTAAAGCAGGTGCCTCGAAATACTGAATCGACGGCGTCATCTCTTCCACTTACACTCGCCGCTTGTAAGATTCAAATCCCAACTTCTACTAGCACACTTCGGCAGGGAGAGCAAAGAGTTGGTGGGCTACCATCCCACCCTTAAATGTGTTTAATCCGCTCTTTCCCACATCTCAAAAACATATTTCGTCCCCGCCTCCTCCTGCACCTTTCCGGACAGCGCTTCGCCAGTCCATTTATCAAATTCCTCACTCCCGCTCTTCCTCCATCCCTCAGCCTTGCCATTCTCTCCTAAAATCACTGGGAAGAACGCATCGCATTCAAAATCACTCAAAATTCGGGTCAACAGGATTCTCTTCGTTTCCGGCCGTTGTAGCGCAGCCGCGTATATCTGGGCTCCGCCAATTACGAACACCCTGCCTTGTGTTCCCTCATTTAATGATTGTGACGTTGAATCTAGAGCTTCGGATATGGAGTTCACCGTGGCGGGGGAGGACGGTTCGGAGGAGGAGGTCGGCGGAAGGTTGCGTGAGATGATGACATTGCGTCGATCTTTAAGAGGTCGGAAACGGGACGGAATACTATCCCATGTTTTGCGGCCCATTATTACAGTATTGGTTGTCTGTATATATGTGATGAGCTTATATTCTCGGCATATCTTGACCTATCTACCAAGTTGGACGGAAGGGGAGAAGTCATACATTGGGGGTTGAAGCTTTTTTTGTTACGCGGGCGAAATATGCCATTTCTTTTTTTAAACCGGTCCATGGGAGTGTGCCTTGTCGCCCAATGCCCATTTTAGAGGTCGCCGCGACGATGATGGTTAATTCTCGAGGAGGCATGGCGGGGTCGTTGCTTGGGGTTGCGTCGATAGAAGGGGGAACCACCACTGTCATAGCCTTTTAACGGGTGGCACGAAGCTCTAACCGCTGGAGGAGGAGCTTCCGGTGGATATAGGTGCTGTTAGGAGAGAATTGGTTATTGAAGTGCGTGCAAATACATAAACTTTCGAGGTTGGATTGGTGAGGATAGAAAATCCGCGGTTGACGCGTGGGGGACGCGACAAGGTTTCGAGTAGCGAGGTACCCCGTACCTGCCCCTCATTCCATCTTGGGGTGGTATATAAATACTTCTACTGGCTCCATAAGTACAATATCATACATTCTTCGGTAGTTACTACTTAGGAGTAGCTGAGTTAAATTAATAGGTCTTTCTATTCTTTACTACATAAGGGGGTCATATGAAGAAGGATTTTATTATTAACGCAATTTAACGACCCTGTATGGCCTATTCAATATTACAGCAGAAACAATTAAAGTAATCGATAAACTCTCTACCCAACTCAAATTATTCTATGCAGACCAAATTTAAGTCTTATATCTATATAATCATCTAGCTCAAGTTCTACATCGGGACCATTTCCATCGACCCTATAAGTCTCGGCAGCGTTCAGCTCATCATCGAAAGGTGCATTATCGTTCTCAACCTATCATCATTATCCTTTTCCAAAAATATAAGTTTGGTGTGTCTATACGTCGTGATCGAAAATCGGCCCAGGGACCGAAAATTGTATTTTTATCGGGCATTATACCCGATCGCAAAAAAGATCTTCACCAACTGGCAACTATTTCGAAGTCCTGGGTTGACTAGATTATTGATATGCTTCACTTAAGCAATAATCAGATCAGAAAGTCAGCACCCACGCTTGCTGTCGGTCAACTGCAGAGCCGCAGGCTCTACTACTAGATGAGGTCGACACGGCCCATGATGAAGTGCTGGATAATCGTGTAAATATTCCCTGGAAGCAAAATCATGCCAGCCGACAGAACATCGTCGTCGTCGATCACCACGAAAACGGCCAGTCTTTGAGTGTCAATAACTTGTCATTTCGAACTTGCGTAGTGGATGAGCTTTGGTTGAACAAAAATGGCCTTGGTGTAGTAGGTTGGGGACCAGAAGCCATGATATTAATGATGAAGCGTAGAAGGAAAGTGCCATTCATAGTAAACCAAAACATATTATTGGCGGGCCGAGCTAGATATTTGACCCGATCTCATGCCACAGACAATATGGCTTTGGCCATATTGCCCCAAATATCATGATTGAAAGATAGCTTGAGATAATCGACGGAAGCTAAAAATGAGCACCGAAGTCCCGTAATTTGAAAGGAGTGTCCTCCAGAGATGTGACTATAAAACTGCCTTCAACTTTGAAGACGACGAACAGTTCGCTTTGATATAAGTAGGAAAGAAGCTTTGGATAAGATGAAGACTAAAAGCAACCCAAAATCTCTCGTCAGCATATGGTAGCAAATCCAAACTCCCGTAGTACCTTCAAGAAGGCCTGGATATGCGAGTCATGGAAGACAAATCCCATAGATCTACCGAAACTTCTCTCATTTGCCACGCGAGAGAGGGGGCTTTGATCGACTAGTCGTTGATCGAGTCGGAGGGTTTGTGCTCAGTTCTCAAATTGTCGCCCTTGCTATCAAGGACGCAAAGCTCGGGGGGGCTAAGGAGTAGGGGTTGGAAGATTAGGCTCGCTAAAAATGGACTAGCCTCGGCAAGCTTCCAGCTTCACCTCTACAGAAGGAGGTATTTCTGACTTCATCTATTGATAAAATCTCCAACCACCCAACATAACATGGCGAAACAATGCGACGCGTCGTAGTGACAGGCCTCGGAGCTGTAACGCCACTCGGTGTGGGTATTCGCAAGACCTGGACTCGACTCGTTGCCGGTGACAATGGCATTGTTAGTGTTGCGCACCTCACTCCCTCAGCAAAATGGCAACAGCTTCCCAGCACCGTCGCTGGAATGGTTCCCGTTGGTAGAAAGGAGGAAGGGAAATGGCAAGCCTCTGACTGGCTAAATAAAGGGGAAGAACGGCGGATGGCAAAGTTCACACAATATGCAATTGCGGCGACCGAGATGGCTTTGGAAGACGCCGGGTGGAGACCAAATAAGCAGGAGGACAAGGAGGCCACCGGCGTCTGTTTGGGCAGTGGAATTGGAAACCTCGAGGATCTGTATAGTACCAGTATAGCATATGAAAAAGAAGTGAGCTATCTGGCAAAAAAAAAAGGCTGGAGAGTACGTGCTGAGATCCATCCGTAGGGTTACAAGAAAGTGTCGCCACTGTTCGTACCTCAGCTGCTCATCAATCTGGGCGCGGGTCACATTTCGATGAAGTATGGTTTCCAAGGTCCCAACCACTCCGTCACGACAGCTTGCACTACCGGTGCTCACGCTATAGGGGACGCTTCACGCTTCATTGCATTTGGCGATGCGGATGTTATGATCGCTGGTGGTTCGGAGTCCTGTATCCACCCCTTAGCCCTCTCTGGCTTTTCTAGATCGCGTTCGCTTGCCACTTTGTATAATGACGATCCCAAGTCCTCGTCCCGTCCATTCGACCGGGACCGGTGTGGCTTTGTGATTGCTGAAGGCGCAGGAGTTGTCATACTCGAGGAGCTAGAACACGCTAAAGCTCGCGGCGCTGAGATATACGCAGAGGTCCGTGGCTATGGGTGCAGTGGTGATGCCTATCATATGACCGCGCCCAAGGAAGACGGAGCAGGTGCGCATTTGGCTATGAAAAGAGCTCTCAAGAATGCAGGTATTCGTCCCAGAGATGTCGATTATATCAATGCACACGCAACAAGCACGCCACTTGGAGATGCGGCAGAGAATTCTGCGATCAAATCGTTGATGCTAGGGGATCATGGGGTCAACAAAGAGTCCGAAATCTCAGTCAGCAGTACCAAGGGCGCTCTTGGTCATTTATTGGGGGCAGCGGGTGCTATTGAAGCCATATTCTCTATCTTGGCTATTAAAGACGTATGTTGTTCTGATTAATTAACGCTCAATGAGTAGCATATAGCGGTTGCTAACCTTCAAAACAGAACATCATGCCTCCCACGCTGAACCTACAGAACATTGATGACGGCTTCCGCTGTAATTACATCCCGTTGGCAGCTCAGCAAAAGGAAGTCAATGTCTCTGTATCAAATAGTTTTGGATTTGGCGGCACTAATGCTTCTTTGGCATTTTCAAAATATAAATGATGGATTGCCATAATGAAAGGCTATCGTCGATTCCAAACTGGCATCCGTGATCGGTATAGTTGATGCCAACGAGGACAAAACATTGTCCCCTATCTTTGGGTATAATGTATTACCTCTTTCTTTCCATCTCATTTCCCTTCCGTTTTTATCCTTCGACTCCCTCCCCAGCCCCTAGTATTTCCTATCCCTACCTACCTAAAGTTGCGTTAGGTGGATGATATTCCCTATTATGTCGACTTCAGCGCAGAACCAGCATCTTGTTGCCTTCTATATTCTACTAGATCCATAGCCTCTTGCTCGTTGCCTTGACTGCTTGCAACTTGCTCATGTACCGGATCCCACCTTCTCGGGCACTCAGCCAACTACTATTCAGCGCCATTCGGGCCGTTGCCCATCACTATCCACTCTTGTCCACATCGTATACTAGCCTATGAACAGATTGTTGTGCCACCTTTGATTGCTTCGCCGAGAGTCGCGCACTTCTCTGCCAATTTGCTATTGTGCAACCCCTTGAAACTATTAACGCCAAGTTTTTTCCATAGCTGTGGTTAGTGGACTCTACTCCGTGAGGTGCCTTTCGTCATGGTGTTAATGATGAGTTCCTGGGGGATCAACTAAGTTTTGGACTGTTCTTGGAAGCAGACCGTTTGATCGGAACAGTGACAAGGAGTTAGCACGACCAAGATTTGTGGCGCAACCCTATCCGTGGCAGCGATGACATTTTAGTCGGCGCCAATACGACGACTGTTTCAGGTTTTCTGAGGTGCAATAGAACCTTGGTATGCATACCTATATTAGAATCAAGATACAATGGGTCGGATTGGCAATCACGATTGAGTTCCGGCGGGGTAATAGGACAGGTGCGGATCCTTCTCGAAGGATCCGATCTCAAGCTCCGCGTGGACGAACGAGAAGGCGGCGCCCTCAGCGCAGTGAGGCTCCTTCTACTTCGTATGCATATCGAAAGGATTTGCCTTTCTATAGCCGACAAACTAGTTCCTATTAGCTGTCAGCAACCACCACTGACTAACCATCGCGCGTAGCCAGTGTACAGGTTGAAACTAAATAAAGGTATACTTCAAAGATATAGAGGAGGCTATGCGAAAAGGACGAGGCATCGGTAGGAGTAACAGGTACTTGCCATATAGTACAAAAAAGTAGTTGCAACAGAACGCCTCAGAGATGGGGAATATAGAGGGATGTGAGTAGATTTACCAGTGCGAGTACTGCGCCTACATCCCCAGTACCTAGGTGCCTTCGGTATTTGATTGGGTCCGGTCTGCTCATGGCACTGGAGTGTCCAGACTGCTCCAACCTCCAAGAGCAATGCTCGTAAGACTTAAGCCGCGGCAGCTTTCCTCTGAAACTCTGAAACATGATGGAGAAACCTCGGGTGCATGGTACTGTACTGTACTAGTAAAGCTGGGCACGCGCGCGGTTGGTACAGTACCGAACGCAGTATGTACTTCGTAGCTACCTGGGTATGTACATAATGCTCCAGGGCCGCGCGAACGGTTTCCACTGGGCCAGGTACGATGGTAGGCCAAAGCTAAAATTACAGTGCCGATGTATGCCGGGCTGCTTTATGAGCTTGTTCTACAGTAGGAATCCTGCGATTTCCATCTGGCTATCTATTACTCGGTACCACGAAGTACCTAGGTACCTAGATACCTACGTACATGGCTGTGCTTACTCGAGTACTGCTGAATAGGGCGTGCGCAGCGTACTCCTTCCATCCTCCGTCATGATGCACCGCGATTGAACCGGTAGAACGCAATATACTATCGAATACGAAGTACTGATACCGATACCGATACTGCAATCCGTACTCTGCTTTCAGGCCATACTAGGACGAACTCGAAAGTTTAGTTGTAACGCAAGAACACATGCAGAGTGCTGCCCACAATGCTTCGAAGAAATACCGTACAGTGCTCGAGTATAGTACCTCCATTCGAGTGCCATGCATACAGTATCAAGTTTTGTGGCGTCATTGGTCCAACAGTCATTTAAGCTTATGTTGGTTGGTTGTATGACACGACTGTATCTGGTAGCACAGCGCGATCTTTGGGGGAATTAAACTATTCTTAGTGCTCGTGTGGCTGGAGAGTTCCTCACGATCCCCAGACTGCGGGCTGCGCCTCGCGAGAATCTTGGAATGTTTGAAACTACGAAACAAACTACCCGTAGATCCGATCCCCTTGATCTCGATCGAGGATCTGCCAACGTCCCAGAATCGCCCGGAAATCGTAACAACACGCCACCACCATCCCCACACTCACCAGATTGTCGCGACGAAGCACTTCAGGGCCTTTTACATTGTGAGATTGTGAGCACAACCGCTCTGTCCCTCCTGATCCTTCCTATGTTGCCGGGTGCCCTGTCCCTAGACAAGCGACGAAAAGCGACCTTTGGGCCCCCAAGGCGCCGAAGAGCTGAGTCTCACCAATTTTACTTGCGGTTGCAAGGCTGCGGCGAGTGCTGCTCCTCGTTGACTTCGTCCGTACGGAGTACTGAGTAAACATCCCATAATGGTATCTGAGCGCATCTCCAAGTATTGGCGAACCTACCTGGCCAGTGACCAAGTCAATCTACGAAGAAGGGGAGTCCTTTCGGACTTGGCCGTTGCTATCAGTAGCCGCTATCGCCCATCCTTGAGACTCCTTATTCATCCTTCAGAATCTTACTCATTGAGAATCCCTGCAGTGTTGTTCATCCTTCAGACCCTCTTATTCATTATTCGGCTTGGTTATCAATCCTTCAGCTTGAGGTTATCCTCATTCAGACTGGCTGCGCCTATGCCTCATCTCCGGAATGGGCCATCATCCCCAAGTTTGGCACTGCACTTGAGCAACATGGCGCCAAATCCAAGAATAGTCTCCTTGGAGGATCTGGACCTAAAGTTCGGCGTACAGTTCATGTATATATGAACTCGTTGCTGCCCATCTACTTTGTTCTAGGTATCCTGCAGCCAGCATCACATTCATTCATCCAAACCCAGAATCATTCTCTACTCTTTTCAGTCCTTTTGAAGCACATATCTCTATAACCACCTACTTGCATCTACCAAAATGCTTCCCACGATGCTCACAAAAGCGCTTGCTCTTGCATTTTTGGTGGGACAGGCCATTGCCGAAGAAAATCCTGGCTCGTACATCCCATATGCCGACTCTGGATGCACGAAGGCAATCCCGGATTCAACTTACGACCTCTCCGATCTGGCTACAGGCGTCGAAAAATGGCGCATTCGCAAAGGCTATCCCGCCTTCACCCAGTTTAAACAAGCCCACTTTCCAAGCGCAAAATCTGCAGTTGGTGGCTCCGGCAAACAAGTATGGTGGAAGCTGGCGAAGGCACCAGATACACAATGCCGTATCGTTATGATGCAACGGTACTCGCAACTGTCATATGGAGATGCTGACCCTAAACAACCCCCGGGAAACATCTTCATCACAGCGGGCATGGGAACTACTGGCTGCTTCTTCTCTCAACTCAGGGTTCGTATTCACACATCCGAGAAGAACAAGGACTATGCTAACCGAGCTCTCAGGATGGCGTCGATCTTATGACAACATACTGCTGTGGTAAAGCGGATTGTGAACAGTTAAGCATGGGGAATGGGGCCCTTTACCGCCGAGACGAGGCTGGTAACTTTTCTTTCATTGAGGGGAGCGTAGAAGCTGCCCCAGAGACTCATTCCCGCGTTGGCTCTGCCGTGGCACGCGCTGCCGATATGGTCGCAAAGGAGGAAGCTCGCAGAGATCTCGACGACGTTGTCGCATCAACATCATTGATTGAGGAACGGGCGACCGTATTCAATCCCAAAGAGTGGACAAAGTGCAAAGTAAGTAAGAACCAAGGCGCACACACATCTGCCGGCAAGCAAACCATAATTGGCAATGTGCAAACCTGCACCAGTCCGCCTTGCACCTTTGCCGTATCGCAGAGCATCGATTCGTCGACCACCCTCACCCGCAGCCGGTCCGTAACCATTACCAACGGCTTTGATGCCAGTGTTTCTTTCTCCGGTGGCATTACATGGCCAGTGAAAGCCGAAACTACGGTGTCTGCCGGATATCACTTCAGTGCGGCGATCGCTACGGATACAGGGACTTCCATGACAAATGGCAGGAGTACTACTGTTTCAAATACTTTCGGCTTACAAATTGGTACTACTGGTTTTGCGACCTTTACCCCGACATTGCGCTGCTTCACCGTCGAAGTGGATTGTGGGGGTGGATCTACCAATGGATGGCATCAATGCAACCCGGTCTTTAATTCAGATGGCAAGACTCTGCAGGGGGACTACAATGTGGTGTATATTGGATAACTTCTGCTATGTTATCAAATTTCCCTGTACAATATTTTACCGATTTCAGATTGTATTTAGATTCAAGTTAGATGGCGACCAATTACTTTTGTTAGACGAGAATGATACTTGGTTAAAATACTTCGTCTACTGCCTATGTGTTGAGTTGAAAACTTATAGTCTTAAACTTGTTTCTTGCTATAAGTGATGCTTGAGTTATTCAACCTAATTTAACTTGAAGGGAAGCCTACAGCAAAGCATCTCGGGTCCATGCATGCGATATACCCTTTTCTCAACTATAAGGTCGCTGGTAAAATGTTTCCCTTGTGTTAGGCAATGCGTAGATTTAGTAGTGAGCTATTACACAAATCCCCTCGAAAGGAGATAAAGGGCTAATAGGCTTTTTATAGTTCATTTGAATTTCCCCCCATTCTATTCCTTTTATGTCTATTCTATTTCAATGATGTCCCAGTCCTAAGTTCGTGTAATTTTCTACAACTTGAGCTCTGGAGATTTCCTAGGTCACAGCGGACACAAATTCCAGAGAAATCTGTTATACTTAGTATAGGTAGCCTAACTTGTTGGCAAGAAGTAGTCTATAGAATGTTTGTCCACTATTACAATTGAATATAGTAGTCACTATAAATGCTTATCTAGGAGACGAAGTTCGTTAAGGGGGCCAATTCAGCCACACCAGCACAGCCACTCCCAATGACACGGTGCCTAACGGCCCGCCCCACCAGCCAGTCCAATTGTCCAGAGTCTCCTCATACGAAGTAACATCATTGTCCAGATATAAGAACCTCCATTATCCGCAATCCTCGGAATCGATGCCGATGTATCATTGACTATGCAGCTTCCGCAGCGCATACTCTCCCTCCTGCTATCTGCCTGCCTTCTTCTCTGTCTTTGCCCCGGCATCAAGGCCTTCGCAGTTCCATGGGCTTCGAACCACAACCCCCAACCCGCCGAGCAGGAGCATAAACCGTCTACCGTCTTCCCACAATTGACATGGCTTCGGGACACGGCGATAGAGAAAGTGTTTGGTCTCCCCCCGAAGGCTACCCAAAAGAAGGGTTGCCATAAATCAAGCTTGGTGTCGGGTCTCTCGACTTCGCAATTGCCCGCGACTTTATTAACAAAATATGGAGGAGATGTGGTCCTGCGATTCAATTTGACCACGCCAGCCGAGGAGACCGCACTTGCAGAGGCGGCGGATACCCTTTTCTTGGATGTTTGGGAGTTCACCGGCAACTGGGCTGATATTCGTCTTAGGAAAGATGATGTACGTTTTCGGCAGTCTCTCGTTATTATGCCTTGTGCTGATTGTAATTATAGGTGCCATCTCTCCTTGGCTTGCTACCGAAATCCTTACAAAATGCATACTCTCCATTAATGCCTGATCTGGCAAAGTCCATTTACGAATCCTACCCTTCCATGGCGCAGACTGAGCCTGCGTTTCCTCCCACTTCCCCTGGAGGTCGAGCATTTACACCCGCCTTAAAAACGTCGGATGGAGTCGAAAATATGTTCTTCCGCGACTATCAGCCTCTGTCTGTCATGCTGCCATGGATGCGCCTAATGGCGTCGATGTTTACAACTCATGTTCGAATGATCAATATCGGGACTTCTTACGAGGGACGGGACATTCCAGCACTCCGAGTTGGCGTTACTCCAGCTCTCCCACAAAACAACCCGGAACCAAGAAAGACGATTATCATATCCGGCGGTTTTCACGCTCGTGAGTGGATCTCAGTGAGCACCGTAACATACGTTGCTTGGTCGCTCATAACCTCATATGGGAAATCCCCCGCCATGACAAAGCTCCTGGAAGAGTTTGACTTTGTATTCATCCCTACGGTAAACCCGGATGGATATGTCTATACATGGGAAAACGACCGGTTATGGCGTAAGAACCGTCAGCAAACAAGCCTAAGATTCTGTCGAGGTCTAGATCTCGACCGAGGATTTGGCTATGAATGGGACGGCAACTCACCGCCCAGTAACCCCTGTTCAGAAAGCTATTCAGGAGAAGCGCCATTTCAAGCCGTGGAATCACGTAGACTCGCCGAATGGGCCAAGAATGAGACGCAGAACAACGGTATCCGTTTTGTCGGCTTCCTTGATATGCATTCATACTCTCAACAAGTCCTATATCCTTACTCATACTCGTGCAACGCCGAGCCACCAAGCCTGGAAAATCTCGAAGAACTGGGCATGGGCCTCTCGAAAGCGATCAGAATTTCCAGCGGGCAGTTGTATGGCGTAGCATCAGCCTGCGAAGGGGCGGTCCCACCTGTCGCTGGCAAAGGTCGAGCATCCCGCATGGAAACTGGAGCTGGCAGCGCCATTGATTGGTTCTATCACGAAGTCGGCGTCCGCTATAGCTATCAGATCAAACTACGTGATACAGGTAGCTACGGCTTCTTACTGCCCAAGGAAAATATCATTCCTACAGGAGAGGAAACCTTTATGGCCGTGAAATATTTCGGTGACTTTTTGCTAGGGAATAAGGGGATTGAAGCTGATGAGGTTGGTAAAATGGAGACCTTGCGGGAGAAGCACAGTGCCGAAGGGCTTGTAGGGGATGAGGAGGAGCTCGATGAGGAGTTCCGTGAGCTCCGGTGGGATCTTAAAAGGAGGAGGTAGGCAGATGACGATTTTTGCGGACCCCCCGATGTAACCGTTGGAGATAATTCTACAAACGGATTGGATGGCGTTTTATGGTGGTTGGATTTATTTGGGGCGGGAAATGGTATATCGGAAGTAGAATCTTCGTTGGGGACTTTTGGGGGCGCTGGTTTGGTATGAATAGTTGATATGGCTTTCTTGAGTATATATTCCCCCGTAATGGATAAATATCAGCACGAATCTTGACAACTTATGTTGAGGTAGCACTGGACCAGAGAGTTGATGTTTAAGTCCTAGTTCGCTGAAGCGGATATCCCCTAACTCCTTTTAATAAGATGTTGATGTAACAGCCAATGAGTACTACCTAAGTAAGGAGCTGCCGATATATTATTTACAAATTCCAGTAACTACACTCCATAAATACATATATAGATACATGTCTTAATTGCAGGCTTGCTTCTTTCATCCTCTATAATATATTCACAAATGTCCAACTCATTCACAACATCGTCACTTGTAGTTATTTCCTGTTAAAGGTATGATCTGTGGTGTGAAAATATGTTTCAATGAAAGATTATCATCGGGAACGGAGTGAAATAACAGCCCAGCTCTTGCAGTTATCAGTTAAGTATGCAGAGGAGGCTCTATATCCTATCAATACCATAATCCTAATCACCTCGCCATAGGATTTCTTTAGCCTGTACGTAGCATTTGTAGTCTCACTAATCCGAGAGTGGCACAAGGAATTTATATATAGATGAAGCTTTGGACGTAATTGTTTTCGTGTTTCACGAGCTCTGTGACTCTTCTAGTACATCTGTAGCCATTGCATTTTTAAATGCGTCCCAGTCCCCAATCCCCAACTCCAATCCTGTTTAGTAAATGTACATGCCTCTTAATCCGTATCCGAAACGCCGTCACACAAATAGAGGCTTCCACTAATCCTTCCAGCGGTTCAAAAACTTGTGCATATCGTCTACAGGTGCTGAAGCAGAGGCAGCCTAATCACGCATTAGTATTATCACAATCGAATTTCAGAAAATGGTCATACCGTGTTAGCATGGCTTGAAACACTGAAGGTATTTGCTTGGGTTAATGTCGTCACAACGGTTGGAATTGGCATATGTGTCGCTGCGAATTGAACGGCAGAGGTAGGCCAAAGAGGGGCAGTATTCGTTGCAGTGATTGATGTTGGGGGAACAGGTTGCATGGGAGCGTATCTCGTGAGGCCAGTCTGCTTGTTATAGGGAATCGCCCATGCACCAGCATCCGCTACTCCTGGTGGATTTGCCCCTGCCGCAACAACGTTATTGATCTTAGGCGGCCCAGCAGTACTAGGGACACCAGCTGCCAGTGCAGCTTTGATATTTGCAGGGAATTCAGCTGTCATTCCAGAGAGCGTAAATCGATCCGAGAAGCTTTGGACAGTTCCACCTGCTTTAGCGACGGACAATAACCCTATAAAGCTGTTGCTCATGTTAGATAGTTTCTAATATTGCGGGAATCTCCTTCCTTACTATGCATTTTTCGTGCTCCCCCCGATCGTAGGTTCAACGGTCAACGTTATCGAGTTCCCGGCAGCAAACTGGGCCACAGGAAGACTTTTCACAGGCGCATTCACGGCATTGGTCCCAGCGAACAATTGCAGTGTGTATGTGGTGAGATCAGCGACCGAAGGCGGTTCCCCAGAATCGGCCCAGGTGACAGTGATAGTCGTCCCTGCTGCCACAGTCGCACCAGCAGCAGGACTAGTAATCTTAGGATCTGCGAGTGCCAAAGGGGCAGATGCCACTAAGAGGGTAAGGGCTTTAGATACGCGCATCGTGGCTATAGGCGGTGGGTGTGGAAAACGAGTGACTGGTGGAAGGGAAAATGGAGATGGCGGGAAGGAGAGGTGATGGCAACTGTGGTTGTTGTTGTTGTAGCTGTGGTGACGACGATGAATGCTAGATTCATGAATTCAGGTGATGGCCTAAGGCCCACATGCCCGATTGGCGGTTTTTAGCTGGATTAGCGTCACAGTGGTACCTGATGAAGTCAGGAGTGAGGTCGAGAATGTGAGACGGTTTCAGGTATAACGACAACATGAAAAGTAGCACAAGGTACCTACGTAGGGTATTGCAATTCTCAGGATCTAAAACATTGCCGTCTACGCGATTTCTAAACCTTTAACAGCATAATACTCCGTAGAAGAGGAAATATCTCCTGCTAAATATAGATCGCTAATCTTGCATTACTTTAGTCTCCGGTGCAGAATCCTTATCATCACGTGCACCAAGCGACCGTACTCGTACCTTACCTAATCTACCTGGTACGCAATGCCCCACGCACGCCACTCACCCCACTCGCCACATCCACCGTCACCCACAAACCGCGGGTACTGGCGGGCTAGACTCTCCTGTTGGTAAGAAAGAACCGTTTCTTTTTCTAATCCAAAGCCTTATATTCTCACTACTTTACACGTCAGTACTGCGTAATATTGCGACATACCGCGGGGTACTTGCAATACAACATCACATCCTATATTTCTTAGCCAAATAACGTCTACCTGCGATCGATTGTTGAGGTTCAGAGCAAGTTTGCCATGTCTTCTAAAACCCAACCAGCAGTGCCACCGGTGCTGGCCCATTCAGCTGCGGAGCTGATTGGCAACACGCCATTAGTCCGTCTGAACAGAATCCCGCAGAGTCTGGGAATCGAGGCCGAAGTCTATGCTAAGGTAGAGCTATTCAATGCGGGTGGGAGCGTGAAGGACCGTATTGCTTTACGCATGGTTGAGGAGGCGGAGAAGGAAGGAAGGATAAAACCAGGAGATACGCTCATTGAGCCAACGAGCGGCAACACGTATGTATATGCAACGCATATTATCTGCATGTTCTAACGGCCAGTAGTGGTATTGGTCTAGCCCTCGTAGGCGCCATCAAGGGCTACAAGACAATCATTACGCTTCCGGAGAAGATGTCCCCAGAGAAGGTTGCAGTACTCCGGGCACTTGGTGCAACTATCATCCGTACCCCCACTCAAGCCGCATTCGACTCCCCTGAATCGCATATCGGCGTTGCCAAACGTCTGCAGAAAGAGATACCCAACTCCCATATCTTGGATCAGTACGCAAACCCAAACAACCCTCTCGCCCATGAGTATGGAACAGCGGAAGAAATATGGCAACAGACAAATGGAAAAATCAAAGCCATTGTCGCTGGAGCTGGTACGGGAGGAACTATTACTGGTCTCTCCCGAGGATTGAAGAAGCACAATCCGGATATCAAGGTTGTGGCGGCTGACCCCCAAGGATCCATTCTTGCGGTACCGGACAGTTTGAATAAAGAGCACGCCGATGAACCATATAAGGTAGAAGGTATCGGCTATGATTTTATACCAGAAGTTTTAGACCAGAAGTCCGTCGATATCTGGTACAAGACAGATGACCGGGAATCGTTCGCATATGCCAGACGTCTCATAGCAGAGGAAGGTCTCCTTGTTGGTGGGAGCAGTGGGAGCGCAATTGCCGCTATGGTACGGGCGGTGAAGGACCTGGATCTTAAGAAGGGAGACATAATAGTTGTCATTCTGCCAGACAGCATCCGAAGCTACCTGAGCAAGTTCGCCGACGACGACTGGCTAGCAGCCAACGACCTCCTCCCAGAAACTCCACCAAACACCACTCCTTCATCCCCAATCCTCGAACCCTCATCAAAGAAGAAAGATCCATACGCAGGCGCCACACTACGCTCTCTCCGTCTGAAGCCCGTGACGACTGTCCTTGCCGATTCGCCCTGTTCCGAGGCGGTCGAGACTATGCGCGAAAAAGGCTTCGATCAACTTCCCGTCCTTGCTCCCAGTGGAGGCAAACTCGTTGGGCTTGTCACTCTAGGTAACCTCCTCAGTTACATCAGCCGAGGCCGTGCTACTGGCGCAAGCCTTGTCTCGGACGTCATGTTCGATTTCCGGGCCATTCCCGAAGTTGTCACCGATCCAAAAGACATCAGCACGCTAACTGCAGCGCCCAAAACGAACAGTCTTGAGGATGGCCGTGATGTGAAGCAAGAACAGAAGGGCGCGAAGAGAGCATTCGTGGAGATTACAATGGATACGCCATTGAGCGCTTTGGGTAAATTCTTCGAGTGGAACAGCGCTGCTGTTGTTACGGAGAAAGTAGGCGGTGAGAGCAATGGTCTGTCTAAACCAGTTGCGGTTGTGACAAAGGTTGATTTGTTGAGCTGGATGGTTAAGCAGACCAAAGTATGATTTCAGCATGAGCCTCAAGGGGAGATTGGCGAGATGAGTTCACGATAATATGTTTGGCGTTCAGGTTTTGTGCATTGCGCGGCTTGGAAATAGTTAGATTCAACATCCAGCGGGTTCTATGAGAACACTTTGTTAACAAAGACATGGTAGATAAGAAATAAACCGAATGATAGCATTTAACACCTGAAAAGTTTGGCTGGCGAGTACTTGGTAAGAGAAGGTCTCGTCGTTTCTATAGTTGGAGCCCCCCTGTTTGTAGCAGGAATAATTTATCAATGGCTCTTGTATCCCCTTGGACTTGGCTCTTCCGCTAGGCGTAGAACTTTTATCATGGGCTTGACAGTTGTTCAACATTCATTCCTAGCTCAATTTATCATTCTTACCTTATGCTTCCTATCTATAGTGAGAGAATATGGCCAACTTTCTTTTGACATAGTATCGTTGTTAACATATATTTCAGCGAATAAACTATGTTTCAAACGAAGGGTGCCTGCAGTGGCTGAGAGGCCAAACGTGAATCTCTGCACGCTCATCACGCCCATCACCGCCAGAATTTATATGTCTTGTGTAAACTCTAGGTGGTAAATGACCCCGCCAACACGGGCAATTAACGTGAAAAAGGTTTATTATATTCCCTATAGCCTCTCAGAAACCCACTTCCACCACTTATCTACGGCTGGTCCGTCGCCCCCGGCGACTTTTCCTCCGGCAACCTCAACCAACACATCAAACTCCTCCATCTGGCTGAACTTAAACTCCTTACTGCCAATTTCACCAAGCCAGTCATCATTCTCCGCATCGTCCTCAATCCCAATACCCGAATCCAGTAACCTCTTACTCCTCGATGTCCTAATCTTCGTAATCTCCGCCTCCAAAGTGCTCTTCACCAAGGCCGCCGGTAAAGCAGTAAATAGATCCATCTTATTGGCCGCAATCAACACGGGGATATCTCTTAACTTCTTGGCAGCTTTATTCTTGCTCTCCATCCGCTTTTGTAGGAGGAGCAGTACATCATGAAGGTAGTCTGCTGTTTGGCGGAGTCCTTCGTCGCCTGCGGAAAGGGTCGCTGCGTCGGCAACAAATATTATGCCTTTCAGGTTTTGGGGATTCGTAAGGTTATCTAGGGCGTGGTGCCGTAACTTACCGTGCCCCGGAGTGTCTATTAGGAGAAATTTCTTGTAGGTGGAATTGGCGGTGGGGTCATTGACGGAGCGGTATTTGTCTGAGGTGGCGGTTGCGCCTACTGGGAGGTGGCATTCGACGGCGATGGGAGACTGGGAGGTGTGGGTATCCGCTGGATTTGTGCCGCGCTCGAACTATGTATATTTAGAAGGGTTGAGGTAGGTGCTGAGGGCTAGGGACAAACCAGTGTTAGGAGCGAAGTTTTCCCTGAACCACTGGGTCCGAGAAGTAGTATCGAGGGAAGGGTGGTGAGGCCACTTGCTCGAAAGACGATCGAGTGGAGGAAAATGGGGATACTGAGCGCAACCAGGATAGCGATGATGAGCGCAACAGGAGATGGGTTCATGAGGGCAGCCGCCCACTCTGTTATGGGAGACATGATGTTGCCGGCGCAAGATAGGTCGGAGACTTGTATCGCACAGGCTACGAGATCCGTAGCATTATTCGAGTTGAGGGCAAGGCTTAGGAAAGGTCGAAGCTCCACGATCGCTTGAACGCGATCCCTGCTGCTGCCCTATGAAAGGGGTGAGGCCGGCGCGATTACTCCGTAACCACTCAGCCTCGCTCCCGGGCGTCAGCTTCAGCTCCAGCTTACGGAGGTACAGTGTTACTACTAAAACGCAATTTCTCAGCACAACCACTACCAGAAACCACTTACCACGTCCGTAGATTTGGGGCGCGGCTTTTCCTTCGTCTTTATATAACAGCATCTTTGGCTCTATATCATTTATCAGATAGAGCGCGATTATCAAGTCCGCCCGTTCCTCGACCCCCTCGATGACCGGCGAGGAAAAGAAATCTACAACGGGGGTTGCGACAAAGGGGACAATGGCCCAAAATAATTCTCCAGCCATGCCAAATGGAAAGGCGTCGGCGGCCTCGCCGAAATTGAGCGATGATGACAATGTTGAGATGAACGAAATGATTGCTTCGGGGCCTACGAGTCCAGAGGAGGATATCATGCAACTGGCACGTGTGGGCAATACAATGGCAATGGAGAAGTTGTTCGATAGTGGCAAGTTCGATGGCACATACTGTGATGCAGAGGGTATTACGCCTTTACACGTACGTTCTCCAGTTCCGGTCCTTAGTCGCCGGATATCCTCTGATCTATCAACTAGTGGGCTGCTATCAATAATCAGTATGCCATGTGCCAATTTCTCTTGAAAGCCGGGGCAGATGTCAATAAGAAAGGAGGGGAATCTGTCGCTACCCCTGCGATGTGGGCAGCGCAACGATGCCACTATTATGTTGTGAATCTTTTGCTCGGGCATGGAGCAGATCCCCTTATTACAGACGTTCAGGGTTACAATATCCTCCACCTAGCAACTTTCGAAGGGAATGTATTCCTACTCGCCCTCCTCCTCCACCAAAATATCCCAGTCGATATACCAGATACCCACGGCCATACCCCGTTGATGTGGGCTGCTTATAAGGGATACCCTGCTTGTGTCGATTTGTTTTTAAGATGGGGCGCAGATGTGCATGCTACGGATGAGACGGGATTCACAGCATTACATTGGGCGCTCGTAAAGGGCTCTCAAGGATGTATACAAAAACTGGTTGAATATGGAGCCGACCGATTTGCAGAGACATCTACAGGGAAAACGCCCGCTATTACTGCGGAAGAGATGAAAACCGAAAGAATGTGGCATAGAGCACTATTCGAGTGTGGCTACACAGAGGAGGGTCTACCGAGGACGCTCGATTTCCCTTTGAGCTCTTGGTTCCTGAAAGACAAAAGAGCTTTCATGACGAAGTTTTTCTTCTTCTTTCCATTCCTGATTCTTTGGGTTATGGTGATGATATCCAGCCATATGGTAGTGTACGCCGGGATACCCATCGCTTTATTCGCTGGATATACATTGCAATGGGTTGCTCAACAGGTGATTGAGCATGCGCCTTCTGATATGAGACATATGCACAAAACTGTAAGTCAGAACGAATCATATTGGCCGCCCAAATCTAACTTTACAGCCCTGGCTCGCAGGTATATTTGCGGGTACACTGTTTTGGGTCGGACTACGGTGGTTAACAACCATACTTCCAGGTCAGTTTGAGAGGATCTGTGTTGGTGCTTCTTTGCTGACGACATACCGTAGTAACGTATTCAACGTTTCCAATAAGCAATCTTGCGTTTGCGGTATTTTACGGTCTCTGTGCCTATTTCTACTTCTGCACCATGATTCACGAACCCGGATATGTGCCTAAACTTGGAGGCCTTGGCCCACAGAAGGCCGTGATCGATGATCTTCTGGGTTTGTGGAAGTTTGACGAACAAAACTTCTGCACTCAGTGTATGGTTCGTATGCCACTAAGGAGCAAGCATTGCAAGAGGTGTAACCGTTGTGTTGCCAAGCATGACCAGTAAGTGCCCTACATGCAGCTTGACAACTACACCATACTAAGCGTATCCAGTCATTGCCCTTGGGTCTATAATTGCATTGGTATTAATAACCACCGACACTTCTTCCTATACTTGGTGACCTTAGAATTGGGCATTGCCATGATTGTGAGGTTAACGCTCGAGTGTAAGTAACTGGATTTTGAACCCTCTTAACCTCCTGCTTATAATTGGGTAGATTTCAAGATCGTGTCAGCCAAGGCAGGCATCAGCACCGAGTGCAACATTCTCGCTCCGGAGTTGTGTCGTGTCGTTAACTCAGACCCTTATACACTTGTCCTTTCAATATGGGCAGCACTACAAATGACCTGGGTGACAATGTTGATGTTCGTGCAACTAGTGCAAATCTCCAGAGCCATGACGACGTGGGAGAATATGCGGGGAGCACATCATGGACATGGTCATGGCAGCAAGGCTTCAGAAGCCATTACCTCCGCACTTACAACGGGCACAACAACTACATCAGGAGCTCAAATCGGCAACAGCGGGTTAGGTCCAGATCCGGGCTTACCCCCAACACATGCCCCCGGCCATCATCATCATCATAAAGCTGGCTGTTTCGCGCAATGGAAGAAAATCCTTGGCGTGGACACTTTTGTGGAAACAGTCCAGACTGGCAACAAACCCAACTCCCGCCGTAACCGAAATGCCTTCTCTAATGGCTGCATCGGGAATTGCAAGGACTTCTGGTGCGATCCGGCACCCGTGTTTGGAAGGAGAGAAAACGGGTCTGCGATATTGGGTGGGCAACCCATCGATTATACGGCTATATATGAGACGCCACGACTTATGACGATGAGATCGAGGGGTGGGGCAGCTTATGAGAGTTTAGGGACAGATGACTCTGTATGATAGCGGTCCTTGATGATAAAAGACCTCCATGAGAGCGTTTTATGATGGCCATGATACCCCACCGATTTTGGAGGGGGAAGCCGGGGGTATATACGGGCGTGTAGACGCCAAGTAACATAATATTAGCCAGTTCCCTATTACATAGTAATTGATAAATGTGAAGTTTGCATTCATATAGAGGGAAGTACTTCGCACAACTTGCCTAGGTAGGCGGGTAGCCATTCCCCCTCGGCTTCGGATCCTCGGTCCCTACGGATACAGAGTAATTAATTGTACGGACAGAAGGAGTGCAGGAATACTCGGCCCATGTCCAAGACTCCACTGACTCGAAAGTCTTGATGTAACCCTAGCCAAGCCTCATGTGTACGAACTACGAAGCATGACCTGATGAAGTACCTCCGTACCAAGGTAGTAGCTCACTTTAGCAGCCCCACGCCCCCACGCCTCACAGTTCTCTAGCATTCCAGAGAGCCACAAGAGCATACGCAGTCATTCCCCTTAAATGGCTCACTGTTACAACAGTTGAGCAGCACAGCAATGAGATAGAACTTTTAATTACTTTGGCGCTCGATCAAGAATACTACACCGCTACTGTATCCTCCTCGCTCACCACTTGCAAAGTTCCAGCTGTAAAATCCCCTATCTTTTTTGCCCTCAGGGTCGTGTTCCAAAAAGAATCATGGAACCCCCCATCCTTGTCCGGTAGTGGAGCGGAGTGGCTTGGGGGTCTGTCTGGGCTGTCCGTGGCGCAAATATTGTCAAGGAAGATCCTGCTTTTTTTCGCTTCGGGAGATGATGGGATGGAGTGAGACGTGGAAAAAAGTCCTGTCCCTTACGGGAAAAGGGGTATTGCATGCGGTGCATCAAATAAAAGAGGAAACGGTATTGTATAATAGCACTACTATTGCTCATTGGCTTTCGATTGAACTCCATAAAGCCATATCTTGAGCTCACCCAACGAGATCTGTAGTGTAATGACCGCAATAGGACAGAAAATATCGGGAGGGACCGGAGTGTAGAAGATCTTTTTCATTTTCCGGCCGGCGCCTTTTTGGCGCACGTTGGTTGGCGCCTCGGGATCCACTGCCGCACGCCGGGCGGCGACTGGCTTGCGGCTGATTTTCACCCCCCTGCCGGCCCAGGGCCCCGGTACCTTGGCGGCAAACGTCGTCTCGATTCTTGACTCTTCCCATGTGTCCTCAACGACATCCCGATTGGCGTATCACCGACTTCACAGAACAACGCAGTATTGTCCCATTGATATCCGTCAAGCTGGTTGGGCAATCCGGAATAATACAGATGACTTGATTCCCATTTTATGTACGGAATGTCTGTCAAGTGTTGGATTTCTAACAGGAGATGGCTCCCGCAAGGCTCAAGCATCCTCGGGGACCGAAGTGTTATAATCTGATAGACCAATTCAGCGTCTCAGCCCATCTTCGGGCGCCAGCGTAAGTATCCCTGCGCGTCCTATCCTTGTCCACCCACCCGGCGCAGGTCCTGACTCGGTGATGTTTTGCGCTTGTTGAATTACGTAGCCGGACACAGCTGACAAGAAAAAGTGTTTGATCCTCGGCACCGCGAATCAGCCTTGTTACAAACTCGCGGACGAGACGTATACCTCCGTACGAAAATCGAAGAATAAGAGCTGCGAAGTTAGATAGAATTCGATAATAATTCACGAATACACAAGTGCCAAAGTTCTATATACGGCGTGCCTCATTTCACATGCGATACGAAGTACCCAAACAGGAACACAAGCCTCGAATACTCGAATCCCTCCGTAACCGCGACGCAATATCCGCAAACACCCGGCCGGAAACTTGGTATCGCAGGCTCCTGGCATCCACATCCCGGATTCCCGTGGTTTTGGGTGGTGGTGATGCTGGTTGCAACCTCGCTCGGCAGGGCCCCGTTCCTACATCCACATGTGCTCCTTGACTGGACATTTGAGGCTCAAGGGGCTCGCAAGTGGCTGGCATGCAATGCCATGCATGTAGCTAAACAGCTCTAGTCCCAAACAGGCAAACAGCTTAGGCGCACAGATCGCCATGCGAGAATGGCTCCAATTTCAACATAAAAATCCATTAAGCGGGACCCCCGTTTCGGTCAACCTGAAAACTGGCCTGCCTGGGCTTCTTGTACCCGACTCAAGAAAAATTTTCCTCTCTCCCAAACTCTCCTTCCCCATCAACCTTTTACTATACCCTAATATTTCTCTCCATCCAGGACAGACAGTCTTTTCTTTGCTTTGTTTGGTCTCTCTCATCCATCTCCTCAATCCACACCAGTCTCTCCAGCTCCTTCAAAACACTCCCCTCAAACCCTCATCACTCCACTCCTCTCCAACACAATGGCCGCTCGCATGATCGCTCCCAAGATGGCCTCCATCATGGCCTCGACCTCAAGCAAGGTCGCTCGCCCTGTTGTCCGCAGCAGCGTGAAGGTCCCTTCCAATGGCTCCCAACGGGCGTTCTCAGGTTCGTATCCCATCTCAATTGCTCTGCCCAAAGGACTGCCAAAAGCCCCATGCCACTTCCCTTGAGTTCCTCATCCGCCCATCAACTATATACCACGCTATTCGAATCCCGAAGAAGAATTATCAATTGACAGTTTCCTCCCAGGCGTCTCCTCCAGCCTCCGTGCTCAAACCAAGGCCACCCCATTCACTGCCCTCAAGCGCCAACAGGCCTCCCAAATCCTCTCACACGCAACCCGCAACTCCGCCATCTTCCAGGCCAAGCGTGGTTTCTCCTCTGAAATCGCTACCGCCATGGTCCAGGTCTCCCAGAACATTGGTATGGGCTCAGCAGCCATTGGTCTCGGTGGTGCTGGTATCGGTATCGGTCTTGTCTTCGCCGCCCTCTTGATGGCCGTTGCCAGAAACCCAAGCATGCGTGCACAGCTCTTCAGTTATGCTATTTTGGGATTTGCGTTCGTTGAGGCTATTGGTTTGTTCGACTTGATGGTTGCCATGATGTGCAAGTACGTATAAATGTTGGCGTCTTGGCAGTGTGTGGAGAGGGGATGTGTGGAGCGAAGTATTCCATTTTTGAAAGATGTTCCGAAGGTCGAGAAGTTTCCGCTGCATGTTGGGATGATAGATGGATAGAGATGCATATATTAGACGGCGGGCATATTAGACATAGACTGTACAGTACCCATTTCTGGGGGCATTAGATTGTATACCAGAAGGCCCACCTTGGGGCGGTCTACTAGAGCATCTCTCACTCCGCTCAACTCAATAATATTCAAACAAACTCAATAAGGTTCCGGTGCTTCTTTGTGTATGCTTTCAAATAACTGTCACTGGATTTACATGTAAATGGAGCTCGTTCTGTTTTATTAACTACCTAAGAATAGAAGTTTCTAGGTTCCATATTGATTTTTACGTCTTGTTGTACTCAGGCTGTGTCCGACTTCCTAGTAGTTTCTACACTATAATAATACAGGAAGTCTAAAGAAGGGAAGAAGTAAAAGACCAAATGCGGGTAGAGGTGTATAAAGTTTTGCTCTCGACACCGGAGTTCCTACTAGTAGTGCTCTTCGATAGCCTAGGCACGACGCACGTCTTTAAATACCTTTAGATTAAAGGGGGGTATATCTCTTCGTAATCGGCGGGTAGGGCGTAGAGGGGGGCAGTCGGTATTAGTAGTAAATTTAATACTAAGATTGGCCAGTATTTATCTACGGTAATTAGGTTCTGTACCATATCGAACAAGCAGTCGAACACATTGGCGGGTTGGCAGGTAGAATGTATATAGTTTTAATTTGGGAGTGCGGGTAGGAGTGGAGTCCATCGTGTGTTGGAGGTTTACGAAGTACTATGGTGAATATAGAGCAGCGCTGTAACTTCAGTGTTGACCCATGCAAAAGACGGTTCTACATTTTCTGACCCATTGAAAAGAACAGGTCAAACTATGCGACATGCAACAAAACTCTCTTAATCTGATTCCACGTGATGAATTTTGAGCCATTGAAAAGAAAAGACCAAACTATGCGACGTGCAACAAAATATCTTAATCTGATTTCACGTGACATTTGCTGTACCATTGAAAAGAAAAGATCAAACTATGCGACATGCAACAAAACTCACGCAGTCTGATCCCTCGTGACATCCTCAAGGAAATTGTACAGGAGCGCGTGCAACAATTGTCTACAACAACTTCATCGAGAAGAAACATGCCTTGTAAACGGATAATATATCCATGTAATCCAGGTCCTAGTTATCAGATGGAAAGAATCTCGCGTTGGGTCTTTGCCTCGGTGCGTCCTCTCCTAAAGGATGTGCCGTTTTGTTGCGCGTCGCAATAATGACCGAGTCGTCATCCCAACGTGAGGTGAAAGAATGTGCGACGTGCAACAAATTCCCGTGATCCTGCGCCGCGGCCCGCGGATCGACAGGACATGGGGGCTGTACGGGAAAGGGAAGGGAAAAGAAAAGAAAGGGAAAAAGTGCGACATGCAACAAAGTGTCCTCGAGAGAGTGATGTTGGCATAGTGTTGCACTGGGAATCGGTAGCACCCAATCAAACCAGGATAGAAACGGGTCTCGTGTTTACGGCCGACGAAATCATCTGGGCATCGGGAAAATGACAGGGAGTGTGCAACGTATGAGATACCCGATGGGGAAGTATCCGTCAAGAAAGCCAAAGGCTGGCCGTGATTAGGTAGCTAGGAAGGTGGGAAAATGAAGTGGGAAAATGATGTTCTAGAATAGAATTTGTAACCTTTCATAACGCCAGAAGAGCTGTTTAGGCATTTGTTTCAATGGCCGTACATCTAATATGATACTAGATACTACTATACGTCTACAAAAAGATTATAGTTATATCACATCATTATATACACTGCCCCATTTCTTAAGTTTCCCACCAACAACTCTAGCTTCCCGCAGTATATAAATAGAAATTGCCCTTGACTCAGCGTTCTGCCTTAGCATTTCAGGTCTAGTACATCTCCTTGATGTAAGCTATCAATTATTTCATTAACGTTGATGCAAATTGATAGAAGATCAGTATCGGGTTATACACCCAAACCTAATTATACATGTGGGATATGTGCATCTATATCATCTTTCGCAGATGCTATAGAATTCGTATGCAACCACTTAAGAATAAATATTATATACTACACTAGGGTCATTAGTACCGACCAAAACGACACACCACCAACCCCAAGTAGAGATCTAATCATCAGTCCGACGACAAATATTATTTTAGCCATGCAACCTCCCCTCTTTCTAGACTAGGAAAGCTACGGGACTATTATTCACAACAAATCCCAAAGCATGCGACTTGATAGTTTGTTCCAACCAATAACCTCATCCTTCCTTTATAGAATATTCCGTCCTCCTGAGCCTACCAAGCGCTATCTGTGGCTAGGGGAGGAGTTCAATGTTCATTATGTAGAGTTAAAAATAAATATTCAGATAACGTCAATGTAATTTGTTCTTCATCCCCGAGGGGAAATATGCTAGAGAGGTATGTTTCCCCAATCTCCGCTAGAATCCATATTTTTGGTGTATCCCAACGAGGTCATAAGATTGTGACATATTTTCGGCCTATTACTCTGTTAGCAACCGCCGAGTTTTGACCCCGTAGCTTAAACCCAGGTCTACAAATAGATTGTGGAATTGCGGTGGGAAACGGATGGGGAAATCACAATCACATAGGAAGGGCAACCTACATTGGGTGGTGGGGCAATTAAGTACCTGTGAATTTACACGGTTAGGAGGCAGTAATAATGGAAAAATAGAACTTCTTGAGTGTTATATTTAGGGAGTATAAGAGGGTGAAGTTGTTATGTATCTCACGAGCCTAGACGGACGAGACCTAATTGTACTTTTCCTATGCACAAAAATATAAGGGAATAGAATTTATGACTTCGCTTTTCATCCCTACCGAGGCATGCCTAATTTATTAAACTTTGATACTTTGATATTATACGAAGTCTTGCGTGTGGGGACACAAGGTTGTGGCCAAAATCTTGTGCAAACATACAGTTTGTAGTGATCCCGCAGCAAAGTAAAGATATGCGGAAGTAGGCTCAAGTCAAATGATCATTCCTTCCGCCAAGGCTCAAGCTCCCTTCCAAGGTCCTTCATATTCCCCACCAATCTGGCATTCCACCTGAGAAAGAGGGTAGATATTACCGAGGGTGGTAATGCCATAGTGCTGCTGGACAAGCTGGCAACAGGAGTCGGTCTAACACCCACTCAGGCGAACGAAAGTTTTATAGGAGGGCAACTACTGCACAACCAGTGTGTTCTGCGGTTCATAGCGTCTGTACAAGTATGCCAATAAATAAACCTCATGCCCGGGAGAGACAATGTCCAAATAGCGTAAAGAGAGCAACATTTCTTCCTTCGACGGTCATTTGAAAAGAAATGGAAGCGATTCTAGGTTAAGATCAAAGTAAGTAGTATTACCCCCGCCTTAGACATGTGTTTGATATTTGCATAGGACTGATCCAATGCTAAAGGAATTCAATCCCCATTAGATTTGTCCGTTTCTGGATTATGAATTTAGGAAGATGAACCTTGTACTTGCTAAAATCCTTATTAGCTCAGGTGCATTGCGGTATGTGAAAATCGACACCTCCCGAACGATAATAGTAAGGGTAATACACTGTGTCTGCAGTAATTGATCGTGATATGGTAGAACACGGATTTCGAAAACAATATTTTTGACGAACACTGAATCCTACCAACACAGCTATCACAGCTGGACGCTGATGTGTTCCATAGGTGGCCACTAGCATCACAGGCTATATCCGAATTCCCTCTAGCTGTTGTGGAACGCATAGATCCGAGCTCACCTCCCGCCGAGTTTCCTTTCTGGCCGCAGGGCCCATTGCAATGCCCTTGGCGGATATTGATCTTTTCGTGCCTCTATCCTGAATAGGAAGTCGTGGGTGCATGATTCTCATACACATACCGCTCCCTGGAGGCGAGAGGCTCAACCGTCAAACAAATGGCGGCTCACGATTGCTATCCTCATTGAGGACTTTATTTGCTCATTGTATATGCCTATTCGCTGCACACTCTGCCGCACCACCACATCTCTCGCCGCAGCCGGTCACAAGTTGAGTAATGCAAGGGGAGAGCCAGTCATCACATCGATCTTAAATGCTTCCTGTTGCTCCGCTTCAGAGAGTACTTGAGAATTTCCGAGCTAATAGTACTGAATTTTGAGACTCCCGCCTATAGGAAAGCATGAAATATAGTGGTGGAGGCCGGCGCGCAGTACACTGTCGCTCACTATGATTGAAGCCTAGGGTTTCTCATATGGACATATGGAATCTTCTCAATGCAAGTAGTCTGACAAGATACCGATGAGGGTTTTGGAAATTGACAGCGATAGTATTGCTAAGAGTGGACTGATATATTGTCCGCCTGTGTGACTACCATACGGTTGAGCACCAAAAGAATTGGATGAAAAGACATGTGCTATTGTCCCCGCCAGCTGAAGGCCCAGCCTGTACATACTCCGTAGTACTTTCCCGGCTGGTTGAACAAGTTTCCCACGTCTCAAACTACCGAGATGACCAGCAGCCGTAGGTAGGGATCCCTGCACGCGATCCGAGTTGTTACTCCTCGATTTTAGGACGAAGAGTGATTTTATTCGGCAAATATTAACAAGATACTCCGTCATGCCACATTCAATGGATGTGGTTACACCTGTACAGTCCGGGTATCATTCTCTATCAAAAAACCAAAACGCCAGCATGCTGTACTTCACGCGACTTGAAATTCATGTTTTCAGTAAGGGGTGTTTCATGAACCCATCGCCTTGGACCAGCACGTCGAATAGGTTCGGCTTGTCGCCGTCTACCTCTTTCACATCATCAGAACTCCTAAATTCCAAGGATTTCCAGAAAGTTTCCATTGCGGTCTTCAGACATAGCACGCTCCCCGACTGTGATCTATCCCACATATTTTGCAAAAGTTGACTCAAGAATGCAATATCCTCCTCAGTCGACACCGCACATGAAATGATGGCCAATGGCCAGCAGAAATAAGCAGTGCCCTCGTGGTTGATTGTCACCACCCTAAGAGTGGCAAGGGCATCCTGAACAAGTTGCACAATCTGGGGATCAGACGCGCGGGTCTCAGGTCTAAGAGTCTTCAATGCTAGGATCCGTGCTGCAGAGATAAGCATACGTGTGTGCTGAAGAAGTCCTTTGACTCGTTTGTCACTCCCCCAGGTCTCTGCGTCTTTGCGTACCTCCTCGTCATATTCCAAGAGCTCCCGGTCTAGTTCTTGGCCACGCGAAGAGGAAACGGTATTTAGGGGGACTTTATGGCTGAGCCGCACTACTTCAAAAGCTGTCTTGTATATTCGCCAGTTGTAACCCAGAAGCGGTGAATTCTCAAATGCTCGGGCACCCGAGAAGCGGTTGGCTTCGAGATACGGTTGTAACTCGTCCCAGCTGAACAAATCAGCTAGAAGGTCGGCTTTCGAGTCATAGAAAGCTGTCGTGTAAGAAAGGTGGACGAAAGATTCGGCGGTAGTTCGAAGCACAGGGTGTTTTAGACTCCTTTTCAGCCGTGTATCAGTGGCACTTCTTATACTAAGTATTCGGGCGAGTCCTGCGAGGTGTGATACTATCCCCGAATTATACGTGGCAGCAATTCGCCCTTGCCCAACCTGTAATTACAATTAGCACTGTAGATAAGTGTCTTTGACAAAGCAAGGCCCAACAACCCACCTCGAAGAGACACAGGAAATTCGTCACGACTAACAGCCAATCTTCATCGCCTTTTACGGTTTGCGTATCGATAGCCTTCCTGAGGCTGGAAATGACCGAATTATAATACTTGATGCTTAGGGGTTTAAATCTTGGATTACTCCAGCCAGCATGCGTAGCGGCAGTTGCGAGGAAGATGTTCATTATCATACTATTCTGCGACCCTATGACAAGCAAGGAGGAATAATTCGCAAACCCCCGATGCGCATGGCTCCGGAGAAGCGTGGGCATGTACCTCTCTCTATAATAGAGTGAGAGATAATGTTCCGCTGATGTTCGAATGCCAGGCAGACCGTAGCACGCCGAGCGCGTGGTAGCAATCTTGGTCGAGTCATCCGCGAACAGTATATCCACCGCCCGCCTTCTTTCCAACACATCAAGATCATCGTTTGTCGGTGCTTCGATAGCGGCCAACGTTGGCCCGTGGCCTTGAGGTTCGCTGCGGATTATCGCCGTTGGTGGGGCAGGCCACACGCATCTAAAGCCATGTTTGGAACAGTCGGTACAAAAGGGCTTCCGTTCGTCGCACTTCTTCCGGCGCTTGCGACATTGGAAGCAACCAGTCTTGGTCCTTAGCCTAGGAGGGGGTCTGCGAGGTGCTGTCGGTGTTGATGTTGATATTGATGTTGATATTGATGTTGATGGTGTGGAGGTTCGGATTGATATCATTGCTGTGCCTGCGCAGGTTTGTTGAGGTGGTTTGTACAGCACGCAGTCACCTGCATAACTAAGACTGGACGGTAGATAGGATGTGGGGAGAGCTCTGTATGTCAATCGATGTGTATTATTATTATTAGAGTGAATGGGACGTTGGGGGCTAAATAGATAGGGGTTGAGTTTCATGGCGGCCGTCAGACCTCAGGCAGACGTGCGACCAAGACAGGAAGTTTGCCGTGTCTTGGTCGTTGCCTTGGCAACGAGGGCTCATTTCGACAACTCAGAAGGCCATATAGTCAAGTCAAGTGGCTAATATTCATTGATGTACGATCGAAAGTACATTTAGAAAGAAATATGAGTAGTGACATTTCTCAAGTGTATTATCCTATCTTGCTAGATGTTTATTATTTCCTGATCTTGCACATCGTCCGTCTCACTCTACATCTTCCACGGCCCATCCCATAGTATCTTCCCCGAGTTGTCAATTAGCATTCCCCGCTCATCGAACTCAACACCTTCTTCCTTTAGCATCTGCAACTTCATCGTCACATTGATTCCAGACGGCGGACTAGTCTTAACTCGCTCCTCAATCTGCCTTTTCTTCCCCCGAGTAGTTGACTGCCTTGACTTCCGTTGGGGGGCGCCGTCTTGGGACCTTTTAGGGGTCGTTTTCTTGATCACCTCTCCGTGGTACCCGTTCACATAGCCACTCGTATTCACACAGCGGTGGCAAGGGACTTCAGGAGCGAAGGGGTTGTTCCGTAGCGCGTTGCCGATGGCGCGTGGTGAGGTGTTCAGGGCGCGTGCAAGGGAGCCGTAAGTCGTTACACGGCCCTTGGGAATCTGGTTTAAGAGAGCGTAGACGCGCTCTTGGAATTCTGTAACGGCCATCTATCACGATGCGGCAGATATGGTAGGTACGATCACCACGTGGCGAAAGGGGTAGCGAGTGGGATATTGAAGTCTTAACAGCGTACGAAGTAGGTACCTTATTCTTCGATAAGATTTGGGTACATGGATTAAGACAAGGCCGCCAAACGCAAGTCGTACATTCAAATTTCTGGCATGGCCAATCCGCCTAGAAGTTGTAACGAGTTTACTTTCAATTTTAACTGAGAGGTGTTTTATATACGGGCTGTGGGCGTAGTGGCCAATCAAAAGCTGAATAGAAACATCACAGCAGCAGGAGATCTCACCCTTAATATTTGTCACCCTAACTGTTAGTCATCGCCTGCTAGATTTATGCTTATTCGCACAAGCGGGGTAACGGTACTCGTAACTAAACTGTATTTGAGCACCGACCACTAACAAGCATCACTACCATGAGGTACGCCATTCGATACCAATATTAAGTACTTCACAAACAGAGACCGCCAGTACCTAGCAGCAATGCACATTTTCGCCAATTTGACATGTCAAGTTTTATCTTAAAGCCCGGAGACCAATTTCGTAGTCAAAGGTGGGCGACATACCAAGGACTAAGGTAGCACAGGAAAGGAAGAGTAGCTTAGTAGCAAAGACGGAATGCCAACACCTGAATTATATGTCAAAAAACATTAAGAGGTCTAGGATTTGTGAGTAACTTTAGTTGCAGATGTGCATATAATAATTAAATTCAAAACCAGCACGGTATATACCGATCATCATATAAAATTATTGGCTCAGCAACAACTTCTCGGCCGCATCAGCATATGCCTTCATAGCAACAAACTGCAAAGCTGGTCCCATGCTAATCCTCGCGACTCCAATCTTCGCAAGCTCTGAGACGGGCAAGCCACCCGCACCTGTGTTTAGTATCACATTAAGCCTCCCCTCCAGACCATTTACCAGTTCTACCACCTCGCTTTTGGTAATTCCTCCACGGGAGGGACTTCCCCATACAAAGGCTGTGGTTGCGCCTGCAGCTAGATATGCTTTGCCCCTCTCGATTGCATCGCTAACCTGACCCTCGTGGAGCAACGTGTCGGAGCGAGCATTCACCACGAAATCAGGAACGCCGTGGTTCTTGGCCACTGCTAACACTCTCCGGACTCTTTCCGTAGCTTCGCTAATCGGAATCATCTTCTTCGCCGTCTTGTCATAGTCTTCTAGGTTGATCCCTACCACGCCCAGATCTAAGAGCTTCTGGATGCCCTCCTCTAGCTGTTCTCCGTAGCCGTCTTGGAAATCAGCGGTCAGAGGGAGCCCGTGTTCCTTCGCAACTATGGCGATAGCACGAACACCCGCGAGGTTGATGTCTAGAGTCAAGTCCTCGTCGGCCAATCCGGCCGCGACCGCAATGGCGTAGCTGGCGCTGGCCAAGGCCTTGGTCTGTGGGAGAGCCGCAATTGCCCGGGCAGAGGCGCCATCGTAGACGTTAGTGAAGAGGATTGGCTTTCCTGGGACGTGGAGGCTGCGCAACTTGGCGGCGAGGGTATTTTGTGCGGACATGGTAGTAACTTGTAAGTTAGAGTTGGGTTCCTGCTTGAGGTTATCCTGGGGGTGCAGGGGGTTTTTATAAACCAACAGCACTAGGTATCTTCGGAAGGGCGCGGCCAACCGTGATACATGTACTACCTAGGTACCTTAGGCAGGTACGTACCACACAGCGAATCTAATATGATCATTGTGCTTGATAATACCTGCGTCGCATCGAAGTGACAGCTCCGGTATGAGTCATAGCGGATAGATTACACCGATTGTCCCTGGCCATAGCTTGCTGTTCCCAAGTTTATTAATCATAATCGTTTTAATAGCTACTTAGGTACATCATGGATTTTATTGTTGTTTCCGCAGAGAAAGCTAAGGTACCTTAGGGTGGAAATTAAGTTGACGTTTTATGGAGAAAGAGCGAGTGAGTATGGCTAATGTAACTAGCAGATATAGCAAAGGGTTACTGCGGTACCTAACCCGTCTAGAGCTAGCCTGAGACCTATAAATCTAGTTGCTCTATCAGCCACTTGCTTGTCCATGTCTGGTTTCTTTACAGGTAACATACCAGTAACCAAGTAATTTTATCCTTAATCATCAGTATAACGTTTTGGAAAACAATTTATTTATTACCTAGGTATTAAGGAATCAAGTTGATATTGATTACCACCTCTAACAATAATACATGACTTGTTGAGTAATCAAATAATCGAATAGTGGTTGGCATAATCATATTTGATTACGAGATACCACATGTAGCACGGCTCGACGGGAAGAGGGGCCACTGCACAGGATACAAGTGGTCTACTTACAGCCTTGTCGGGGTCATGGTTAACCCGGCTGTATCATCACATCGGGGAGAACGTGGTGGAGGGTAAACATGGTAACACCGCGACGACAAGAGACGGGTTTGTTGGCAATCCTCCGTAAATCGCAAATCAAATTTCCACCTGGACCTCGAGTCCACGATGCCAACAAGGAAACCATTCATATACAAGACGTAGTCAAATAATGTAATGGTTTATAGCTTAGTGACCGATGAGTCCCCCTTTGGATTGATGGCTCCTTTATCAGTCAGCGCGACCACCGCTCAATGAGCTGTTCCCGATGAATGTTCTTAGACTGCAGCTTCTCCAGATCTATCCCCTCCAAACCTTTCTGCAAGTCCTGAATCTCCTGTTGAAACATAGAAACTGACGCCTCAATATCTGGGTCAACAAGTTGCACGTTATGATAGAGAGTTTCTGCTAGAAGACAATCCTGCAGCAACTGCAGAGTTATATGTGAATCGAGCAAGTGTGAGGATATTGAAGACTCCGTGATCGATTGAAGATTCGCCGCATGGATGCCCAGCTTAGTGACTCTATCAGCCAGAGCTCTTTCCAAGACCTCGGCATGTGCTTGATCGGAAACTGATTTGGCCGGTAGAGAGATCCCCAGATTTCGTGCAATTTGTTGCTCAGGGTCTATATCATCATTTTCAACCCCGGAGGAGCGTCGTCGGGAGGGCTTTGGCCGTCCAGGCGATCGAGTTGTGGATGAAGTCCGCCGTTTTTGAGCATTGGATTTAGCTGGACTGACAGGCTTGTTATCCGCTGACAGTATTTCTACCCGGGAAAGTTCTTTCTTGGCCGAGTCTAATACACATTGCAATGCCATTCTATGGCATTGGTGCTCCTCGACACGTTCTAGGAACGCTTCTATTCGCCCCACTAGGAAAACTAGGCATTTGTGTATCTAGGTAGAGATTAGAGTAGATTTGAGATTGGGGGGACTGCCATACATAATTGACTGCCTTAGCTGCACGTTCCTGGCCCTGACCACTACTAGCTGCTATACCTTGCAGGGCTGGCTTAAGGAATTGTTCCTCCGTAGACATTTGGGTGACTGGGAGTATTTCCGAGTAGAGAGATTCTAATTCATCTTGCAAATCTTGGGTATCCTCGCTTTCTATCTCTCCGCCATTCGCAACGTGCGAGGGGCCGCATATGGTTTCTAGATAAACACGATCTAGTTTGGTCCGTATACCTTCGACAGTGTGCTTTATAAGTCTAACTAATTAGTCAGAGTGGTGTACAGATTTTGAATAGAAGACCACTTTAATTACCTTGCACACAACTCTCTAATTCGTCCGATCAAGTCGTCATCTGCAGGTTGTATAGGAGCGAGATCGCTAGCAAGTTTCTGCAGGCTAGCAAGGAGTTTATCGTCTGATTTGAAAATGCTATCCACGGTCTGCTTCATGCTAGCCTCCGATGCTTTGCTCTGCTGCCCTAGGTCCGAGATTTGATAGTTCAAGGCCTGGGACTGTTCTTCGACCTGGTCAGCATTAGCAAACATCGAGATTATTTGATTAATATGTCATACCGCCTTGTTCAACTGGTCCTTCTTTGCAGTCCACTTCTTTAACTGGGCATTGTCTGACTGAGACCGTGCCTGAGTGCTCTGCTGATCATTTTTGACGAGCGCAGACAAAGCATTATGTTGCAACCGCAAGGTCTCGCTTTGTTTTTCGATTGCAGCCGTGGATCGTTTAAGTTCCTCAATAGCTCCTTGGATCTCAGAGTCGTTGAGCCCCCGAATAGCGGATAGGTCTTGGGCGGCGAGGTTTTCGGCTTCTCCAGTCTTAAGCAGAGTGGCATAACTTGGGCGGATCAGCAGGGGAAGAACATATATCTAGAGACAAAATCGCATACATGTTTCCCTCTTCTTTGGTGAGTAGTGTCTCAGGAGCAAGATATTCGTGCATCCATTCTCGAATAGCGCTCCGACTTTCAGGATCGTTGAATGCAGATTTTATAGCATCGGCATCATGCAATATATCACGGTCCTGCAATATCTTTACGAGGTCATTGAAAAGATCATCGGCCATTGTGGACGCATGAAAGGCTGGATTTGCGCCTTGTGTTTGCAGTGGGTGGTGCTTGTCCCGCGTCAGTGTTTGGGACGACGCGCTGATGTTGTTCAGCCTTCCGGCTCGGCAGACCTGCCCAAGTCTCCGACTGCCGGTGGAGTGGAGTGGGGACCAAACCAAGCTCTGCATCTTGCAGTATGAGTCGAGCAACCCTTTTTCATTTGCTCTTTATAGCAATTTGACCTGAAGAAATGGCCGGCGATGGATTAAACGCACACATATTAGACGCCATTGAGTCTTTGAAGTTGGTAAGGACATATCAATCAATTATTGAAAGCGTCAAGCTTAATAGGACCATGCTGATACAACTCTAGATCGCCCGACTATCATGGCGGCGGAACTTGACTTCATGGCTCTATCTGCCTCTCGGAATCCTAATAATCCTCCTCGCCTGCTTTGGGGTCGATTCTCTAATTCATCTTAGTTCGGTTTCTTTCCCGGCATCTGTTGCTCTGTTGATTATTCTATTCTTTGGTTTGATGATTTGTGATACGGTGCTGGGAGATCGCAAGACTAGGGCTCTTGTAAATGTCATTGATATACCAGTATGTGCACACTCGTTCGTACATTTCAAATACTGGGTTTTCTCTAACGGATCTTGAAGGCCGGATGGGCTCTTCGATATATCAACATTTTCTTTACCCCGTCGTGAGTCAGATTTCTTAGCCGGAGTAGCTGGAATGCGACGGCCAATAATATTCCATCCTTAAGTGAGTGATTCAGGCGCAATCGAGGGACATGTATTTTGAAGTCAATCTAATGACCCGTGAAACCTTTTACGTCGAATACGATGTTGCGTGCCTCCTTCCCTATATTCCAGTTACTCTATTATCCCCTTCATCCGGCCAGTTCTAAGTGGACCCTACAGTTTCATCCTCCTTCCCCTGAGTTCTTCAATTAGTGGAACTGAGGTTGGAAAAATTATAACTGTGTTCCGTGAGTAGCGTTTCTCTATTAGCTCCCTATTCTAAAGTTTGGCAGTCGTCGGTTTCGTTGTCATGGTCGCTGTGACGGCTTGGCTAGTAAGAGGATTACAACTCATCACTGGAACACCTAAACGAGGAATAACAGAACGCGCCGAGGAGATGGGCAATGAAGACGATGCAATCCCCTTGGCCGAATCCAGTCGCAGCAGACAAGATTCCCAACTCCAACTCACACTTCCTACCGATCCTGCTTCGAACTCAACCAGCGGCATCTCTACTTCTGGCCAATTCGATGAACCCACCAACGGCTTGATCCCGCCCCTTAGGACGCAAGACCCCGGCCGCATCAGAGGGACGGGAGGTCCACCTGAGAGCGACACCTTAATACGTGAGACTGGGCTTTCAGATGCCCCCTCGCAGACCCCGCTTCCCCTGACTCGGCCACAGCGTTGGGCTGCTTTCATTAACATGAATGCCGACAGACTGACATATGCTTTCTTATTCATCTTTGTCGGACTCCCGATATACTATACCACAGGTTACGCCATGCCGGCCCAGTTGACATTCAATGTTCTGGCCTACTTTGCCGCGCTTGCTTTTCCGCCGCGGTGGAGACAATTCCTCCATCCGGTCCTAGTATCCTCCGCAATTAGTATCATCGGATTCTGGATTCTCGGTCTCATTAGGGGAGAAAACTTAGATCAGGTGCTAGGCAGCTATAAAACCGGCACTAACTATCTCGATCTCTGGCATGGCGAAAAACATCTGAAGGCTCCTGGCGCGGGAGACGTCTTCGGAAGTGTGCTTGACGCGAGTATTGTCTCCCTTGCTCTCCCAATGTTCTCATATCGGCAAGAACTACGGAGGCACTTCTTCGCCATCGTTATTCCGAATGTCGCCATCTCCATTGGCTCTCTGTTTGGGTATCCGGCACTATGCTATGCCATTGGGATCTCATCCCAGCGGAGCTTGGCGTTTGCAGGTCGCAGCTTGACGTTAGCATTGGCTACGCCTGCGACGACCAATCTAGGTGGGGACGTGAATACAAATGCTGCTCTGGCAATCATGAGTGGGATTATGGGTGTGCTTGTTGGACCGCGGATTCTTGAATGGTTAAAGATACCCCAAGGTCAGCTGCTCCATCTCCCCTTCTTAAGAAGGATCAATTATATAGAGAAGGGGCGTATTTCTGGAGATTGGTCTAAGATATGGGGATATCATTGGGTATCGAGTTGAGAATGGTGTGGTTGGGAATGATCAAGTGATCTGCAGATCCGTGCCTAGGATTAACTTTACCTGGTACCTTGCAGCTGACACATAAAGCAGATGACTACGTTACTAGGGGCGTTACGTTAGGGGGCAATTCCTCTGCAATTGCAACCGCACTTTTGCTAGTGACGGATCCTAGAGCTGCAGCTCTATCAAGCCTCAGCATGAGCTTGTTCGGCATCATAACGCTTGCGCTAACATCAGTGCCACCTGTGGTTAGGGCAATCCAGTCTTTGGTGGGGTTATAACGAGGAGAGTCAAAAGAGATCGCTATTCAGTGATCATCTCGTCAATTATTCACAGCCATCACGTTTCAGATAGAATAGACCAACTGCTGACTAGGGCATGTACGTCCAATAATGATATCATATTCCCACATCAAGAAGTATTGTTGTCCAAGCCCGTATTTCCATAATCACATTGATAACATTCCTTCATTCCAATCTTCAAAAGCGTCAGTAATCAATCGTATAATGACCGAGTTTTGAATCAACGTACCTCTCAATCAAATGCAACCCCGAGGCGGTCTCTACCACAGGGCTGATTTCCCCAGGCTTCAGCTGGAAAGCCGCCTCCTCAAACTCCTTCTGCATATCTCCTCTGGCAAAAAACCCCAGATCTCCCATTTTCCTAGCACTGCTGCAATCAGATTCAGCGACAGCAAGCTGCCCAAGAGATGATTGGCCACTCTTGATGCGGGCTTCGTGGCCCAGGATAATGTTCATAGCTTCCTCCTTCGTGCGCGTGATCTCTGCCTGCAGATTGTCCGTTAGCCCAATTTGGCCCTGACCTTTAGCAGCTATAGCATGTCTAAAGCCCCTCGATGCATACCTCACGCCAGCTACTCGGACGTCGACTGTCCTTGTGTTTGACAAGTAAGTGGGCGGCGCGGATTTTGCCATTGTGTTCACCGTTCAGGTTACCACCCTCTGTTCTGGTCTCAGGCGCAGTGTGATGCTCTGCCATATGTATCTTGAGCTTCTCGGTATCTGTTCCTGGTGGGGGCTCCCATCTTGACATCTTTTGCGACTCATTGAAATAATATGGGAGATTCTTCGAATTCGAGTGTCGAACCTCCCATCCCGGCGGCAAGCCTGCGTCAGCCTGTTTCCATAGTTATATTAGCAAACTATCTTGAGATTGAGCGGAGGGAAGCTACATGTAAACAACGAGGGGCACTGTGAAACCGCGGCCCGACATACCATTTTGTGGAACTTTGTGGGTGTGAAGTTCAGAGATACCTTAAGAGAGGATATGTGACAACAATGAGGAGGTTTGCAAGACGTCGTACAGAGTTGTGTTTGTTGAGTTTCAGTTGTTCTTGTCGAGGTGCAGGTGCAGGCGCAGTTGAAGGCGCTGGTGGAAGGTGGTGGAGGTGCAGGTGATCAACCCCATGGAGGGGTCCCAAGGTCCCAGGTCCCTTTCGGGCTAGAGCTCTCTCTCGACAAGGCGAGACCGGGGCTGCAGGGGGCAAATCCCGGCGTGCTTTGTACAGAGTACATGTTTGAGGCTGACAAAGACAGAAACCATCCAGACACCAAAGAGAGGCGCACCACAACTCTGTATAACCCAAAGAAACTCCTACCAGGACTCTTTCCCATACAAACCCATACAAACCCAGCACAAATACGAATTTCCGCCTCCTTCCTACATCTGCACACTGCGGCCGCTTCTGCAACAGATCTACCACGATGGCCTCACCAGCAGACAGCTCAGGCGAGGACTCGAAGAAGACTATGGAGCAGATCACCTTCAGATTCTGCAGCGAATGGCATGATCCCCTTCTATTACCCTGCGCGTAGACTCGAGCTAACATTTCTACAGCTCCAACATGTTGTACCCCAAAGAAGATCCCGATACCCACCGCCTGCAATTTGCTTGCCGAACCTGCCAATACTCCGAACAGGCAACCTCGGCTTGCGTCTTCCGCAACGTTCTCAACAACGCCGTTGGTGAGACTGCTGGTGTAACTCAAGACGTCGGATCTGACCCAACTGTTGGTTTACCCCTCTGTTTGTTGTGTGGCGCTCCGGTCATCTGCGAGGGTAGAAACAAGGGAAACGATGATGGCGTACTGGATGAATCGCACCAGGAGATAACAGCTTATGCGGATGACCTGCAGAAGCTTGAGCAATCTTTATAAAGGCTATGTCTCAGTAACTCTTTTGCTGATGTCGATATTCTTTTTCTAGCTTCCGCGGTCGAACAAGACTTGCCCCAAGTGCAAGAACGAGGATGCGGTGTTCTTCCAGTCCCAACAGAGATCTGCCGAGACGGGCATGGTGAGTAACTATAGTGTGCATTCGTACTACGATACTTGCTAATGTGCAACGTTAGAAACTCTTCTACGTGTGTTGCTCTTGCGGTCACATCTTTCAATGATACCCTGGGAATGGCTTGGCGGGGGATATCTTATAGCTTGCATTACGGCGTTTGGGAACTGGCATGTAAAAGCAAACGGTGTATGGCGTTAACTATTGGCGGACCAGTCAATGTAGCGGGGGAAGATTCTTCTATATTTCAAATGACCAACTCATACAACGCCCTGTTCCATATGCTACATGATACCCGTCTTCGGTACAATATTCTTACAAGTGCATTGGAGCTAATGATAAAATCTTCGACCACTTCATTTTCCTCAACTCTGTTCCCACAATGCCTATAAATCAGTTAGCAACTTCCAAACCAACCTGCTTAACATATTCTTACCATTCAATCTCGTCCCAATCGGCTCCCCGGTTTTGTTGATCAACACGCAGGCATTATCGTCGAATTTAACCACACTACCATCGGGGCGTTGAAGCTTCTTCTTCGTTCGGACCACAACCGCGTGTCTGAGGTCGCCTCTTCGGACCTTGTTGGCTGCGGATGTAGAAATGGTTGCGCCTGAACCAGTTTCTGGTCCGAAATTCCGCTGCTTTTGCACCACGACTATTATACGATCGCCTGGAAATCGAGTAAGCACGAGCTAAGGAGTCATCGAGGGAGGAGGGCACGCTATAGTGCAAACGGACCAATTTTGGCATGTCGTTTCATTTTCATAACCGCAACGCACTCGACAATGGCAGCGCCAGAGTTGTCGATGCAATTAAGCATCGTCTGTGGATGTCAAGTTAGCTTCAAGTTCGTAATTGGAAAGAATAGACTGCAAGCAGTAGTCCGCCTAACCTTTAATTGTATCATCGTGACAGCATGCTACGCCTTGTAGGCTTGTGATGGATTTCGAGCTTCGATTGTCGCGATTTGATATGGCCGTACACTGCCGTAGACGGAAACCTTTTTTAGCCTAGCGGCTCACGTGCCCGGCAGCCCAGCCTCCCAATTAGTGCAATGCGCCAACACCAGAGAACCATGCGATGCGACGGATCTTGAAGGTGATGTAGGCAAAGATCCGACTTATGTTCCTAATCATTGTCAGGCCTTCACTGGCACTGATTGACCTTTTGACAAATCAAATTCCTAATTTCAAGAAGTTTACTTTCCATATTCTTTCATGCGCTTCCATCTAATGCATGCCATTTATCACGTCGACCCCTGGCATTTCTAAGTACGGAAAGGCTGCTGAGCTGAGTAGAGAGAAGGGCTGCGCCGCCCCTTGAAGAGGATAGATATTGATACCTCTGGGTTTGAGTCGCATAGCAGGCTACATCATCTGCTGCGACGTGGTTTTTATTTTGGGCCTTCATGGGTTTCCAATTCACTCACTTCGTCGCATCGAATCTTGTCACTCCTTCAAAACACGACGTATCTCGACCCTTTGCCCAACTCCCCTTCCACAGCACCACGAGTTTTCTTGTCTCGTAACTCGGAAAAGGCGCCCTGCTATTAGAAATGCCTCCCCGATACATTCCAAAGAAGGAGCGCCTTACTCTCGCCCAACTAACTACGTACGATGATATCTTGACCGATGCGCTTGTTGATCATGTAAGTTCATTCCTCCCCACATTCACCTTTGGGAGGGTAATTTCTAATCATTAAGCATAGGTCTATTTCTGGACCCATATCCGAAAGAACAAGAGGGCATATCATTCTTCCCGTGGAATCCGAGAGGAAGATGTCACTTCCATCCTCCAAAAGTCTGTTATCATTGAGAAAGATGCCGCGAAAGCAGAAACACAACTGCTTGCACTGCCTGGATTGAAGAAGTTTCTGGGAAGTTTGAAGACGGAGAAGGAGAAAGACGACTTCAGAAAGCATCTGCGGAAATACATTAGTATATACTTGCCGGATTGTCCATTTGAGGTTTCGACGTCAAACCGCTATACCATAGACACACACGAGGCGGCTGTCACAACGAGAAGATTGATTAAGAAAGGAGAAGTTGTGAAATATCTTTGCGGAATTCAAGTTATTATGACACCAGAGGAGGAGGATCATATCAAAAAGAGCCGTCGCGATTTCAGCATTGTGGTATCGAGTCGCAACAAATCAGCTTCATTATTTCTTGGACCGGCTAGATTTGCAAATCATGACTGTGGAGCGAATGCCAAGTTGATGACCACTGGAAATGCTGGAATGGAAATTATTGCAGTCCGAAACATTGAGCTGGGAGAGGAGGTTACAGTTAGCTATGGTGAGTTTGCGGGTCCAAAACCCGGTCCAAAACGTTCTAATCATTCTCATAGGCGAGAACTATTTTGGGGAAGACAACTGTGAATGTCTTTGCAAAACCTGCGAAGACAACTGCCAAAATGGCTGGACCCAAGGTGATGACAAGAACGAGAGCATCCCAAAGTTGTCAATCGAACAAGAAGCATCTGGGAGCGGATCCTTATATTCATTGCGCCGAAGATCGAATCGACTAGATTCTGCCGATGACTCCTCCCGAAATCAGTCCATGACGCCAGACATCAACATCCGACCTCGGGTGTTACGAACAATAACTAGGTCGCTCTCCGGGCTTAAGAATGTGGAGTCTATGTTGGGGAAGTCACCATCAATCGAACCACAAATATCTAACCTGAAGCGCAAGAGAGTAACCGAGTCGTTTACGGAAGAGTCGGCGTTCGAAAAGGAACCCCAATCTGAGCCCGAATCCTTGGCTTTAAAACGGGAGAGGCTTGGCGAAATGTTGGCTCCATCTCCATCATGCGAACAGCCTGGAACTGAGAGCGTTGTGAAGATCGAAGAATCAAACATAGGCTTTTCGGAGATGGCCAGTGTCCAGCCTTCTCCAACCAGCTCCACGCCGGCCTCGAGACAACGAAGTCAGTCTACGTCATCGGCGGATAGACAGACATCAACGGATGCAACCTCGGTTGATGATGACACCATAGTCGTTGACGCGAGAGTCAACGCCTCTGGTATTCCAATCGCGAAGAAACCCAGACTTGATAAACAGCCAAATCCCCTGGAGCAAGCCGAATCTGGCGAAACAATTATCGTTGGCCCTTCGACGAATCCTGAACACCCTGCAGTCGAGGAGGATGGTTCAGGCCTCTCAGATGTGGGTAGCTCTATATTCGGAGGTGGTAATTTTGAACATTTGACAACGAAGGCATCGAGGTGCCCCGAGAACAGTAAGAAGAGGAAGCTTATAGAAGAGGATACTTCAAATGATGGCGAACCTCGCAAAGTAAGAAAGAAATGGGGTTCTTGTCGCACAATTTCGAGCCCAGAACCAGCTCCTGCGCGACCCTTCCGAGTGCCAGGCGACTACGTCCTCACTCCACTCTTACTTGCACAACCAACTTCAGCTTGGATCAACTGCAAAATATGCGAGGAGCCGTTCGTGCAAGAAAATGCCTATTTCACACGCTCATCGTGTCCACGATGTGAACGCCACAGCAAGCTCTACGGGTATATGTGGCCCAAAACCGACAAAGAAGGTAGAGACGACTCGGAGGAGCGAGTACTTGACCATCGGACTGTACATCGATTTATCAGACCCCAAGAAGAGAGAATGGTCCGCAAGAGAAACCGCAGCGCTACAGAGAGTCGGGGCGTCACGCGAGAAGTTAGCCAAGCTAGTCAAGTTAAAGTAGTAGACGAGCATAAGGAAGCCAGCGATGAGAAGCAGCGGAGGAGTGGGCGGAAGAGGGTTAAGAAGGACCGTTTTACGTTGTGATATTCCTTGAAGGAAGGTGGTAAAGTGCGTACTTTCCCAGAGTTAGGCACCTTTACTGTGTGTATATGAGCAAGCATTTGGGTGGCTTGGTATGATGTGAAGGATTGGCGTTTCGGTGTTAGTAGTGAAGGGGAGGCTGAGGTGGGTGCATTGGCTGTATCAACATAAGGGACGGGGGAGCGTTTGTACCAGCAGCTTCGATTTGGGTCGCGGGCGCGATTTACTTACATGTCTCTGTACTATAGGATTACACCAGAGATAGAACACCTTGTTTGGCGGGTAACGAAGGATGTTTTTATCGAACAAATTTCATTGAAATTGATCTCACTGCGTGGAAAATGTGCTCATTGCTTCGTGACTGCGGAGTAAGTCCTTTAAAAGTTTCAACCCCAATATAGACTAAATATACTGCAAACCCGCCAAATGTCTGGATTGCCCACAGTAGGTAAAATATTAAAGTGCCGTTTGTACCAAGCACACACTTGTGCCCGCTTATGGTCCTGTAAGTTTTCTACCCTTCCCTATCCCTCTTGAATAGCTCTGGTAATACCACTTACCATTCCACACTAACTTACAGCCCCAATCTGCCTCATAGCGGCCATAGTATAGCTACCATGTGACGTCCAAATACGTCCCTGATAGTAAACAACGGGCGCTATTAGGGATAATGAGTTACCCTTACCCGGATCATATAATTTACATGGCAAAAGCCTAGTAGGGTATTTATAATAACTATAAGGTACGTGTAATTTTGACTTTGTTCTTTATTATCATAGATGGGAGACTTGCTATTATGCTTGAAGGGTGTTATAGAAAGACTAGTCTATTTCTATTTTATTATTAAACGTATATCTAGGCGCAAGTTCTGCGATAAGGAGCTGAGCCATGCCATGACGGGCTTTGGCCGGAAATTTGGAGATGAGTTATATCCAATGATGCGGATTGCTCATCTCAAACCGCATTGGTCTTCATATACCCATTATAACCTCTATCAATCATATCCAATCCAACTTCCCAAAGGCGCCACCCACATCTGTAAGGCCATTGACTCCCCAACCCAAGCCATAAAATTTGACTAAACAGTCTTCTCCTCCCGCTTCTCGTCGTCCACGTGCACACTCACGGCATCTACATCCTCTACCTTACCCTTTACATCGCGCTCAGCCTCGTACTTGATGCGGCATTCGTAGGCCGAGAACTTGCGAGCAGATACCTTCGCAGCGAAGATCTCGTCAAGTTCTTCAAGCGTACGTCCCTTCATCTCGGGGATGAAGAAGAAGAAGAAAATGATGCAGAGGAAGTTGGAGCCGGCCCAGATGTAGCCGTATTTAGCGCCCTGTGAGGAATATGTCAGAAAGGGGGTTGGATCGAAGGGAGAGGGGAGGGACATACCCAGTTGAGTTCTGAGGGGTTAATGAAGTATGGAGAACAGAAGCTGGTAAGCCATGCAAGGAGGTATCCGATCGAGGTCGCTGTGCCTACGGTCCAGGTACGGAGCTGAGAGTTAACCACCTCGGTGGCAACAGGATAACTAGCTCCTCCGACGCAGCCATTGTAGAAAAACTTGATCAGACAAGTAAAGGCCACAAGGACTTTGCCAGTTACGGGGTCAGTCGGGGAGCGCACCGTTGCAGCGATGGCGCTGGAAAGATGGCTGAGACCACAAGTAACGGCACCAATTATGAGAATCCAGCGACGGCCCACCCAATGACGCATAGCGTACATGCCACAGTTGACACCGAGGAAACCAAGACAGGTGGACACGATGGAGAACTCAAAAGCTCTTCCGACACCGGAGATCGTGAGGAAGTAAGTTTGGTAACCGATGAGGAACCAGATACCACTTGCTGTCTGGCATGCAATCATTCCATAACAGAGAAGAGTTCGACGGAGATTGACACCTGCATTTCAAGTTAGCTTGGGTGCAATTGGAGCGGTTCTGAAGACCGTCGATTGAAGAATGGCTAGGAGGATAAGGGGGACCCTTAGTGGGGGGGAAGCATACCCTTGAACATATCCCAGAAATGGGCAGTAGTAAGAGCCTTCTTCTCTTCTTCAACACCGCGTAACATCTCTGCCCATTCAAGGTCGATATCGGTTTGGTCGATACCGCCTCTTAGAATCTCTAGAGACCTGCGAGCTTCGGCGTCTCTCCCTCGGTACAACAGCCAACGGGGGCTTTCTGGCACAAAGAATAGCGCGATGCAGAGGATGGTTGGAACGATATAGAGGCAGCCAATGGGGATCTGATAGGAGGACTTTGTCATCGACCTTTTGGTGTAGTTGACAACGATAGACCCGAGAATTGAACCAACGTTCACCCAGTAAGCAAACATAGCAACCATCACACCGCGTAGATGGGCGGGAGACGCCTCGGCGGTATATACGTTGGAGAAGGTGACGAAAAATCCGTTGGCGAACCCAAGGATTAGGCGGCCGACATATAATGCAGGTTTGTTGGTGGTCGAGATTTGAATAGCACAAGCGATGGCATTGAGTAAACACGCAGCCCAGAGGGCTGGCTTTCTACCGAAATAGGAGCCGAAAAACCCAGCAATTAAGGACGTCGCGAATGATCCAAGAGTGAGAAGGGAGGCGATTAGCTGCTGAACGGTTTTCTGTTATGAGAGTTAGCACCAATGGTCCGAAGGAGCAGAGATGCCTCCGCAGAAAGTATGATAGGAAGTGGCTTACATCAATTCCATAACCTGAGGGGAGTTTGGGATCCGCATATCCAAACACCTTGAGGAAGCCGGGCATGGCCTGAAGGGCACCGATTGCTGCACTGTCAAAGCCATACTGCATATTGGCCATGCCAACAGCACAACAAATAAGTAAACATTTTCTATTCGCCCACAGGGAGCTTTCCTTGATGGCGATCGCCATGGTGGGGGAAAGGGAAGAAGAGGATTGAAAGGGTGAGGTGTAGGGTATGTGGCCCAGAAACGTGGTCGAGAGAAAACCAAAGTAGCTACATGGTCCATCTCTTATAGCTTATTATTACAGAACCCCCAGAACCAACAGACCGGTCCATCTCCACATTCTTATTGCCCCATGGGGCTGGATTGCCCTCTTAGATCTCGACTCATCGCCAAGATGCGGAGAGAACGGGTCTCGCCCTGGAGGCCCGTGGGGGAAGTGGATTTTGGCCAAGATACGTCCCACATGGAGGGGCGAATCTGTCTATCTGTATTTTGCAAGGAAGAAAAAAGATGTGCTGCTCAGCGGGTGAGTCTGGCGGGGGAACAGATGAGGGAGGCGGTAGCATCGTCGAGGAGAGTAGGTTGGAGGTGAGAAGTCTGCAAACTTTCCCCGGATAAAATCGATCAACTATGGGGTTGATTCCGGTATTACAGGCGTTTGCACGAGTTGGATAGATCCCATCAGCTCGCATCAGCCACGGCTAGGGTTTGTGGGGCTGCGGCCGTGGTAGCACCGCCACAGCAGGCCAGATTACCGAGCGGATCCGAAGCCAGCCCAGCGGCCCCAGCCTTACAAGTTGTGACCCGGGGCGTCGGTAACTCAGTCATGCAGGGCATGCAGAGTAAGACGTCGGTACTCGTAGAGCAGAGCAGAGCGCCAAGATCAGCTACCCGCCAAACTACCGAGTTTAAACATCTGCTTGCAAGGCATCTCAGACTCCGAATTGTGGGGGATCATGGGTGAGCAGCGCGACCAGCGACCAGCGACGCTGTCATACCTAGGGACGCACGATGCCTTTGAGGAATGTTCTGGATAGCCTCCTTTGTCGCGGCCCGCCAGGCGGTCGTCAGTCTATAGGGTTTCTGTTAGGATGATGACTATTCTAATATATAACAACATTAAAGTAGAGACAAGTATATCAAGTACAGTATATGGGTAAGTAACTATGTATAAAGGCTGCCTAATGCTAAGCCCAGCTTAGTAGCTCCACTCCGTGCCTACCTAAGGTACCTACATATTTAGGTACTCTAATAATAGAATTCGAGGCCCTCATTCAGTCACGTGTTACTACAGTTGTTCATCTGGAAATTCTAGTGCTATCCCTTGACTGAAAACCAGCTCAATTATCCCTCTCTAAATAAAGATTTCGTTTCGAAAGTGCCACACTGCTGCTATAACAAAAGACTTGAAATTCAAATATAACCCTATTCCTAGGACGGGTGCCTAGTCTCACCCGAAGTTTCGTTTCGTTTCCACAATTTTCCTTAGTCCAAACACTTCGATGTATTTTTGAATCATACCCACAGGACCTTAATATGCAGAGAGATTTGTCTATTTCTCTTCCGCATGACCGGAAATACCAAAGGCCTTCTGACCCACCTCCTCGATGAGGGGTTGTAAAGGATGCAATACGTGGGAAAACATTCGGTAAATGCCATTGTTTCGATTCTTTGTTTAATACGAACTTGGGAGATTATCGATGGTTTTATGAGAGGGTTCCCCGCTTAGATAATACCGCCGACCCCCTATTCCAACCGCGCAAACCCTGGCATTTCCCCTTCGGGAACCGGAAGCACTGGTGCCGTCGTGTTTGATGCTGATATTCAGCTCCATAGTCTGACATCTGACTTCCTTTCGCGATGAAGATTATTACTACCGCTCTCAATGACTTCTTTGCAATATGGGAAATATGGGTCGGAAGCCGCGCGTCCGGTACATAGTTTTTTTTTTACCTAACGTTCTCTACATGTTGACTACTTGACAAAATAGCCAATATGGGGAGAGGCCGAAAGGGCCGTAAACCGGTGATTAGTTTTGCAGATTTCTCTTAAATTTTTGATAGGCTCATGAGAGTGGAGTTGAGACTGTGTATTCGTATAAAAGCTCACCAATCTGCCACACACTTTTATTCTGCTCGTTGCGTTTATTCTGATCAAACACCTGGATTGATTACCTACTATATCAAGATGCATATCTCTTCTCTCCTTCTAAGTGCAGTCACTTTCAGCGGTGTTTTTGCTGTTCCCGCAACAAATGCAGATCCAGCTCCAAGTGTTTCCAACAATAAGACAACATCCAATTTCTGGTTTGCTGGTGTCAATGAATCTGGTGCTGAGTTTGGAACTGCAAATATCCCTGGGAAAAAGGGAACTGATTATACATGGCCCGTGGATTCGACCATTGATGTAAGTCCCTAGAACATTAATAGGGAATTGACTCTAGACTAATGTCATGTGTAGACCTTGATGGGCAAAGGGTTCAATATATTTAGAATTCCGTTTCTCATGTGAGACATCTTGCATTATCTGACTGATTGTGCCTCTAATGACGTTAGGGAGCGACTTGTTCCAAACTCGCTCACTGGCGCTGTGGACTCAGCATATCTCAATGACCTGAAGGCAGTAAGTCCATGAGCAAAGTTTCCGCAGGATTCACTTCTTAACAATATTTAGACGGTCAGCCATATTACTGGAAAGTAGGTTTTATATCAACTCTCATTATACCCTAGGACCTAGGTATTAATATTTTTGTAGAGGCGGCTACGCAGCTATCTGTGCTCAGAACTTTGGTCAGTCTTTATTTCCCACCTTTCCATTGAAAATTTACATTCCATGCTAAATAGTCCAATCTATACAGGCCGTTATAGAGGCAGTGTCATCTCAGACACCTCCGGCTTTGGCACATTCTGGAAAACCGTCGCTAGCCAATTCAAATCCGACTCCCAGGTGATCTTCGACACTAACAACGAATACCACGACATGGACAATAATCTTGTCGCGAATCTTAACCAAGCGGCTATTAACGGCATCCGGGCTGCAGGCGCGACTTCGCAAACCATCTTCGTCGAGGGAAACTCATATACTGGTGCATGGACTTGGGTTTCATCTGGCACCAGCACAGCAATGGCTGGACTGACGGATCCAAACAGCAACATTATTTACGAGATGCATCAATATCTTGACAGCGACGGGTCCGGGACCAATGCGAACTGCGTTAGCGGAACAATTGGCTCAGAGAGGCTCCAAGCCGCAACAGCGTGGTGCAGGAGCAACAAGAAAAATTGTATTTTGGGAGAGACAGCAGTTGGCTCTAACAGTCAGTGCATCAGCGCCATTCAAGATATGCTGAGCTACATGAAGTCAAACAATGATGTTTGGAGAGGGTGGCTGCTCTGGGGCGGTGGACCATGGTGGGCGTGAGTTTTCCGGATTTTCTAAGGTTAAATTCAGCGTGCTAATTCATTTTAGTGATTATATGTTCTCTATGGAGCCGCCGTCTGGCAAGCAATATACTGGTGTCCTGCCTTCGATTCTGCAGTATATCTAGGCATCCGCAGGAATTCCCTAATTGCGAAGCGGGATGGTCTCAGAAAGCTGGAAATGGGATTGAATCCAGGAGTCAGGACGACTTGCACTTGACTTCTCCAGCTCTTAAAACTCCAAGGATACTTTCAAGTTCTGTCATTATTTTTGTAAATATCCCTTTCATATGAATATATTCTCCTTGATGAAGTTTGGAGCCCGGTGGATCAAATAAGATCGGTTTGTATTTATGCTTCTATTTGTATCCATGTGAACCGCTAGGATTTTGTAACATAATCGCAAAGACCGAAATATCTATTGCCTAGGTGCATTCGTAGCTGATTACCTACAGTACCTACTAGGTAGGTACCCCTTATACTCCCCAATGACTCGCCAAAACCAGCGCGGCTACGTGAGTGGCCGGGAGTCGTACCTGCACGTTTCCAGTTGATTAAGCTGCCAAGTAATCTACGTAGCAGTGCAGGATCTCAATGGGTCTAAGGCCCAGATAGCGCTAATTACATATCCACAAGACCCACGATTACGATTACAAATCCGGGCAGGCTTGAAGTCCATCTTACACATTCCCCTATCTCTTATGCTATAGCCTCACCGCCAATTCTTTTCTAATAGTTATTGGTCATGTCGTTAATTTAGGTCATGCTATAGCTTTAGACTGCAGAGTGCCCTTCTTGATTTCCATGTTAATATTTTGCCTTCGGGAACTTCAGTATGGATGTAATTTTTCTAAGTTTCTAAACAGATCTAAATAGACCATTAATAGTGTGGAATGCTGCCATCCCTTTAAAGCACAACACCGTACTTCTTTACAGTCTAACTCCTCGAATGTCAAGAGGGTATTGGTGACTTTAAGAGACTCCTAGTGGTCCGGATAGAAGCCATGTACTCCCAGTCAAGTATTTCAAATTTTTTTTAGCTGCTATGTTCATTCTACTCAACCTTGATGTCGGTTGGTCGAAAGCCGCCATGCTTGACAAACAAAAACAACTTTGGTGATTGGTTATCCCCGGGAAAGGACATTATTATGGACGTAAGATAGACAGGACTTCCAAACAAAATCTTCGAAATCTTTTGAGGTCATGATTGGATTAGAATTAGTATGGATATTCTGCCGCGCGTCTTTCCAGCCCTCTCCACGGACTTCGTGACCCTGCGATGAAATTTCTGTGAGGGCGAAGCTTTTAATAAAAGGACATAATACTGATGGCGTAGGTTCAACGAAAGAAGATAGCTTCATGCTTGACGTGGGGAGTCGGCCGAGCTTAGACTACTCCTTTATATTAGCGTAAAGTTTAGCGGATAAAATCCCCGAATTAATTTTCATTGGCCGCCCCAGGTCTCCCCTTAATACGCCTGAATCGTTAGGCAACAATAAGCTCTCCAAGCAAAGGCTGTGGTTAATTCCTAACCTCATCAATCGACATCGCGATAGCTCCCCTCCGCCCCTCCTTTGGTCCAATTCATTGATTTTCCCATCCGCAATCAAAGCATTCTCTGTACGGAGTATTGGTTTCCACTCATTCCTTTATATAGAATAAAACACTCACATCAATTCTCAAGTTACAAATTTCCGTATACCTTGTGCCCACACTCTTTAACCCCAAGCGTTCGAAAGACCATCGTTTAGTACCTTCACGAATTCACATCCCACCACACCAATGGCGGACTCAGGCGAGCTCTTTATCGAAACTGCAGCAGACGAAGGTGGTGATATCTCTATGGTCAGCGAAGAAGTTGCTGTAGAAATTAACCCAGCGTCGCAAGCTCTAGAATCTGGCGCCGACAGCACCGAGAACGGTCTCCCATTTCAAGACGATGCCATGGATGAAGTACCAGCACGCGCCACATATATCGATTATTTGAAAAGCCCGGCTGTTGGTCTCCTAGTGGGACAGGGCGACGAGCAGGGACTTCTTACGGCGCATCAGGCCTTACTTACGAAAAGTCCCTGGTTTAAAGAGCAATGCGAAAGATTCGGTGACGATATCAGGGTGAGTTAAGATGCCTTGCCAATGGTTGGGGGTTGGCACTCATACAACAGCATACAGGAACGCTCAATTACCCTCGTTGACGAGGACCTTGACGCCGTGGGATGCTTCCTCGAGTTTCTCTACACAGGCGATTACTTCCCGCGCAAGATCGTGGGCACCCGCGATCTCGAGCGCGACCCTCAGGAGCCTCTCGTCGACGAGTCTGGCGACCAATTGCTGAAACATGCTCGAGTCTATACGCTTGCAGATACCCTCGGCCTCCCAGCTCTCAAGTCCCTCGCCTCCAGCAAGATCCACTGTGTAAACTCTACGGCAAAGGGCGAGATCGCGTATGCGAGATACGTGTATGCGCATACCAAAAAGGACGATAATGCCATCCGCGCACCTGTTGCATATTTCTGGGCCACCAGATCTCATACCCTGCGCTCGGAAGCCGAAGACGAGTTTAGACAGATGTGTTTGGAGTTTCCCCAGTTCGGATACGACGTCCTCAGTAAGCTAGCGCCCCTCAATCTACAACTGTTACAACGTATCATACTAATTATTTCGCAGCCCGTGTCCTGGACGACAAGCTCAAGAGAGAGAAGCAGGACAAGCTCAACCCTACACCCGGAAGCTCCCGCAAGCGTGCCCGAGGCATCTAAACATCCTTGGTCGTTGGAGTATAAGTCGGTTGCTATCACCTATTTTTGAATTTTTTTTGCTGCGTCTAGCCGCTCCGTCTTGCCTTAGTTGGGTTTCAACCGTATTCATTGGGCTGTAGGAAATATACATATGTAGTAATATGGGCTACGGGAGCTCTTGGTCGGTACTTAGGTTGGCGCTGGCAGGCTGGGATGATGGGATCCCACATTGTATCTGTATCAAACCGGGAATTGAAGCGGGAAGGGCAGGGCAGGGCAGGGCGGGAATGCCCGGAATGTAAAGCAAAAAGGAGCGGGAAAACCCCATGTACTAACTTGCTTCCCTGATGATAGCGTTTCACAGAATGTGATAATCATTTTAAGGATACCAATTGCTACTTTTCTTAATATTCGTTATTTCGTTAATAGGTAGCGAGCGTATCTACCTACCTAGCTATGAGCCAGCCGAAGGACAGAAAAAATGGTTTCCGCCTCGTTCCCATGAGATTTGTTTGCTAGTTCCCAGTCCATATTCCTGGATTCTCTTAATTCTTGCAACGCTCAGACGACCTCGCTGTTATAGCTAAATGAAAATGGTGTAAGTAAAGTAGTTTCGTATAAAGCCTGGAAATTCTTCCCCCCTTCCCAAGCAAGTAGATCAACGCCCTGCCGTAGCGACATCGTAAGTAAGCATAGGTATCATCGAATTCAGTCTCCATATTTTGCGTCGCCTTCCTATCACGTTACCTCGTGGGCTACATCAAGTAAAGTTATAGGGCAACTTCCCCCCAGCATACATAAGCTCCAGCAAATAGCAGATCGTATTCCGTACTGTGGTTGGCCACATCGGATCAAGAGTAGGATGGTGGCCGTTGGTGGTGTTGCGGTTGTTGTTCCTCACCCATCCTCTCCCCGTTCGCATCATCACCTCTCATACCTGGCCCAGGGCCAGGCTCCTGTGGCCTCATCATCTGCATTGGTGCCATCCCTGGCCCTGGGCCCATCATTGAACCCGGATGCCTAGCCTGATTCTGTACCTGGCCTAGCGGAGGCGGGTATCCCCTTCCCGGCGGCGTCTGATTACTGGGATGGTACAACAGTGCGCCGATATTATGTACGAAGAGCGGGTATAGCATTTCGGTGGTTTTCTCCTTGTTGGCGAATTCAAGAGCTCGCTCGAAGGGGATCCACACGCCTTTTAGATGCATCGGCCCGATTTTGACGACGTGCTTGTGCTTCTCGGCCTTGAGGATACCGTCACGGCGGCCACGCGTCATGCCAGCGACATTGAGGAGTTTGGTGCCGTTGATCATATGGTTGTCTGGTATGAGGTGTCAGTATGATGTGTCTAGAGGTGCCTGAGTGCCATTAAGTAATATATAAATTATTTACCTTCTCGTCGAGCTACACAAGTTCCCTTGACGTCGACCTGAAAGCACAGTGTGCCTTCGTCTTCCCACAGTGTAGCTGTGACTCTTGGCCTCGATCCCGGGGGTGCAACCTGCCCTGTGGTGTCCATTGCTATCTCTTGTGGAGGAGGGGCAGGATAACCTCCTTGGCTGATGGGCGGTAAACCGCTAACGGACATTGAGGGGAGCGGGAGGCCCTGAGGAGGCGGTGGGTATTGCGTATGCTGTTGGTGGTTTTCTTGCTGCTGGGGAAACTTCAATTGGATATCATAGGAGTATTGAGGGTATTGGTTTGAGGGCTGAGGCTCTTGCTGTGACTCCGGATGGGGCGGGGGATAGGACTGCAAACCACCAGCCTGGTTGGGATGGGGATGCATCGGAGGGGACTGCGGGCCAGACATCTGCGATGGATGGTACATGGCTCCAGTAATGGTGGACGGTGAGGATTCAGGTTGAAGGGCAGACCGTGGCAGTGATGGTGATGGCGATTGATGATATACTTGTATGTTGCGTGATGATTGTAGAGGTATAAAAGGTCGATCTTTTGAAACCATATCTGGCGCCCAGGTTAGATAGGGTAGCGCGCGCTGGGGGG